AGAAAGAGAAGATGACGATGGAGAAAAAGGGGACAATGATCAAGTAGATATCCTGGCTGGCCATGAATTTGATTTCGAGGTAAGTGTTGCAATTATATTATAAAGTCTAGTTCATTGCTTGAGAGCATATAATAAAGAAAAAGCTGGACATTTGTACGTTAACTCTAGTCTTTGAAGACGCGCGTATTGAGAATGGACTTAATAATATTGTTGTTGTTCAAGCCGCAAAGCACTATAAAATTGATCCTGAATCCAGAGATCTGAGCCTGAAGAGAAAGGGCGTGATGTTTTGGTTTCCAGCACGTGCTGGAAGAAAACGAGCACAAACCTATTGCCCAAACAGCACAAGCTGATTGCCCAAACAGCGCGAACCTGTTGTGAAACAGCATGAACCTGTTGTGAAACAGCATGAACCTGTTGTGAAACAGCATGAACCTTTTCTAAAACAGCGCGAACCTGTTCTGAAAACAGCACAAACCTATTGCACAAACAGCGCCAACCTGAAGAGAAAGCATGCAGGCTTAAAAAAATCCACAATCATCTGCATGCATAACAGGCTTCTTCTCTTTTCGCACTACCATTACCATTGCCATTACCATTACCATTGCCATTGCCATTCTCATTCTCATTCAATTCTCAGAGAACCTTCTGCATCATCCCTAAAGACACGCTTAATACCACGAACAGTTGACAGATTAACTTTATTTGTCTGATCTTGTCTCGCAAAGCGGCCATGTACTTTAATAATTCAGCAAATGCTCGGCATCTCTGCCTCTGCTTTCTCTTTATTACTAATGTTGACTATATATAGTCAAAGCCAACTTCTACTTCCATAGCTAGGCTTCTATATCTCTATATCTCAAAGATCTTAAAGACCAATAATCATCGTCTGTGACGCCAAGTAACACTGATACGATTGTACTAGATTCTTCTCTTGCAACAGCCTTCGCAAAGAGACAGTGGAGGAGAGAACCCTCAATATGCGATAAAACTTTTTTGTCCATATTCTTGTTTTGTTTAATAAAGTTTTTTCTGTTCTCATTCATTCTCTTCATGCTCCCACTTTCCATTCCTCTTCCTGAATCAGTCTGCCTGACCTTGAAACGCAATTCCTTTTTTTTATTCAACGATGAATGATAAGAGTGAAAATTTCTTGTTCGACAAAGAGCATGGCGAAGAGTATGGTGAAGAAAATAACGACGACTTTGATGAATATCATTCATTCAACCAGGAAGTCAATGAAAATCTAGACGAAGACCCTACTTTCAACGAGAATAGGTGCGAATTCGAGAGTGATGATGACTACAGCGGGTTTTCTGGAAGGCGATCGCCTGTAAGTCTATACCTTTGACTCTTAGTTGCTAGTTAATACTTGATATCCGTTGCTTCGAACCTTGTTACTGACTTCTTCCGTACGCGTCAATGCTTCTGTAGTCAGAGAGCCTCATCGACCGACGCGCCCAGCGGCAAGCGCAGGCGAAGCGTGATGTATGGCGTCGTGGTCAGGACAGACACGAACAAGAGCAAGTTGATGTTTACCAAAGCAACGATATAGACCATTCTGGTGGAGAATACAATGTCTTGGGCGTGAAAACGCGCAAAGGGCGTTCAAGCTCTATGTTCGAGGAAGTGCAAACACGTCAGTTGCCCCAGGTGACTTCAAGAAGCGAAGCCAGCGTCGCCGCCAGTAGCATCAGGTCTGCCCAAGCCAAACGAGGATATCCTAAGACTCCTTCTCCTCCAACAAATCAGGGACTGCCTATTCAACCTGCCAGACCTAGGTCATTCCTACGTTCAATCTCAGCATCTCATGTTCTTGGCTCGCCCTCTACATCCACATTATGCGCTCCGCGACAATCCCCACTACCACCGCTACAAAGGGCCGAGAGCTTTCATTATTATCGCAGTCCACAGCCTAGGTCTTATCTCTCCTCAGTTACTTCATCGTACTCTGGACGGCATAGAGATATGCATGGCGTTCAGCCCAAGTCGCCCATCTCCCTGCACCAGACCTCTCGGGCATCTTCATCGTCCTCCTCTTTTCGTGGACTTCCTCAGATCTCACGAGATTTAGCCTATCCTTTATCTTTTGACAACCCACAAGCAACCCTGCTTGCAGCTGAAGCTGAAGCTTTGGAGCAGCATCGACTTAACCTACGTACCAGTCATGGAGCATCGGAGACATGATACACGCTATATGAATCGCTTGAACTTGGCGTTTTACCTTCGCCCGAACAGTGCGACGACGCGCCCGCCTCACAAAAGCCTTTGGCACAAGTCCCAATACATAAGTCCATACGCAAGTCTAGTATCCTTGGACATTTCTATAATACAGATGCATCTGACTTCTTCGAATGCCAGGTTAAGAACAGTCTCGGGGTAAAGTGTGGCATAAAGTACAAGAAGTCAGGGGGCGGCAGATCACGAAAAAAAATCATCTCCTCAAAAACCACACCACAATATATGAGGCTGTGCAGGAATTTCGCCTCTATCAAGGCATGGTCCAGAATGTCAAGTCGTCAAAAGATCAAGATGATGATGATGATGATGATGAGCCCCCTAGACCACAGGGGAACTTCGAAGTGGCTAGAGAGGCTTATCGCCGACAACGGAGCGACCTTCAATTTAATTGGCTCGGATTCTTTCAAGGCAATATGTTTGCAACTTAATCCATTATACGTAATTCCAAGCACAGACGCTATCCAATCAAACATGGATTTAAGTGTAATGCATATGTGGAGGCAAATCGAGATACATCACTGATCGTAAAATTCAAGGCGCAATCACAGCGGATAGTTGGACAAGCGGTGATCAAAGGAAGTTCTTTGGAGTAACATTTCACTTCTAACACATGACTTTCAACCGGTTTCAGTTATGATTGGCATAGAACGTGTTTATGGCCCTCAATCGGCAGAAATTCTATTGGGAAAACTTGTTAAGAGTATAATTACTTCAGCTCTGCCTATTTGCTGTCTGGTTGAGACCTATGTAAATAACACTTTTGGTCCTGGAACTTGTACTCTAGAGCATGTAATCGCAAGGTGGAATTTGGAAGAGCATCTGATCTGTGCAACAACGAATCAAAGATCGAACATAAAAAGAGCCATGTATCTTTATAATCTAAAGACGAAGTTGGCCTGGCTTCCCTGTTCGTTTCATGTAATACAGCTGTATATCAACAAGGGATTGGAACGAAGCCTTGGAGCTAAGATGATTATGGAGAAGTGTCAAAGGATCTCAACCTTTTTCAGAAGCTCCAGCCTTGCTATGGGTGTACTCAACAATGAGCGTAGCAAAAGTAAGAAAAAGTTGATCAAGCTGCCTACAACGAATGTTACACGATGTAGCTCACAATACTACATGGCAGCAAGGGTTCTCCGAGTTTCTGAAGCAATTACAGCGACCTATAACTCAATGAGTTCAGGATCCAAGGACGAAAAAGCGAAAGCTATGGAGCTCGGGCGACACATACTTGACGAGAAGGGGATCAGGGTTCTGCAGGAAATTATCACGCTCTTGGAGCTGGTCACCAAATTCACACGCTGGGCAGACGAACATGATAACCCGACCATTTCGCAAATCTATTTCAGGGTCCACACCATGCTCCCAGCACTCTCAACATTCGAAACGGAAGAGGGAAGGGAGTTATGGCAAAGCTTGGACGAGCTGATCAAAAAATCCTGGTCTCTCCAAAACATTCCAGATGCTGCGCTCATTTCTATATTCCTGAACCCTGCTTTCGCATCACTCGACATCTTGCAGAATACGATGGTTGCTGATGATGGAAATCTGTTTGCAAAAGCAAAAAGACTGTGCAATGAAGCCTTAGGGATACCTGAACAGCAAGATGCAAATTCAATGAAGCCATTGCAAGCAAGTAATATTCATCTACTCGACATGACTTCGAAGTTTGCGGTAGAGATGTACGCTGCAACGGTACGCCCACCGCTGTATACTCACGATCACTTTAAAGACAAGCCTCAGGACTATTGGAGGTCATTTGGCATCGAAAATCATATCACATTTGGGGCTCTTGCCAACCTCGCGCGTTCGTACCTGTGTATCCAATCCGCATCAACTGAGTCTGAACACTTGTTCAGTGACGCCGGGGTATTCCTCTCACCATTCGGGACCTACCTCAGCGACCAAAATGTCTGCAACATCATTTTTAGTCACAGCTCTGAGAAAGTCCGGACTCTGTTAGACTTACAATAAAAAATAAATTAAGTATTTCGTGTAAAAGTAGTATGAAAGACTTAGCCATGCAATCAATCGATTCTTTAAAGTCTCGAATGACAGCCATTTCTAGATCAGTATAGAGTTTCTGTAACATTATATTTAGCGAAAAAAAGTAGCCGAAAAAGTGTTTTTGTTTTTCTTTAGGCTGGAGAAGAAGGATTGCAAAATGATAAATGTTGCTAGATGCGTTAAAGGAGTGGAGGCAAGTAAACGGTGGACAGAGTGCGTCGTGATGATATTACTGATTAAGACTTTTTATTCTTCACTCTTACTCCAAAGTGATGAGAATGTCGATTCATTCCGTCTTGTTCAAGTGAAAATGAAAGATCAGTACCAGCAATTCCGAAAGGCCAACATCATTGAAGAAGTTTTTGTTAAAACTACTTCCACTAATGCAAGCAATGGCATCCTTTCATGTTTCGTGCTCTTGCACGACATTCAAGATGTGTTTCCAGATGCACTGCGATTTAAGTTGGATGGACATCCTGTTTTATTCCTTTCTGACTCTAATGGCAATAGGTATGTTGTTTTATTATGGTGCCCTGTCAGTTGCTCTGAGAAAGAAAAATGAGAACTCAATTTGACATCCATTATCTTTTTTTTTTTTCCTTAATAAGAATCAAACCTCTACGCGTTGCCTTTATCCTAACAAGATCTTGGACGTCATTACAGACGTACCAAAGCCCTGCAGCATCAACAGCAACAGTAACAGCAACAGTGACAGTGACAGCGACAGCGACACCGTCATTAGTTTGCCTACCATGAAGAAATCGGTACATCTGGCCTCTCAGGATCTTCTTCAGTCACTCTCAGCCCTGGTTCAATCTTTCAGATCATCTCTTACAGCGCACAGAAATACACAAACGGAGATGGCCAAATCTGAACTCGAACAGATTAAAGAGTTGCAACTGCATGTCAAAGAGAGGAACGACGGACTGCTTGAGGTACAATCAGAGATTCATAAACTGCAGTTGAAGGCCAAAGAGAATGACAAGGTGCTTAAGCTGCAACTAGAGGTGCTACAACTGCGACAAGAATCCAAAGAAAAGGATGAAAAGAGCACTTGTTTGCTATGTCAAACCCTTGACAAGCCAGCCATCATCCAGAAGCATACTAATCAAACTCCTAACAGAGTTGCCATCCTTCAAAAGCATGCTAAATCAATACTCGCCCAGAACTTTGAGATATACGAGTATACAGTCCCCGACTATTTGTCATTTTGCCTGTCAACAGCACCAAGTGGGACCCAACGAATGTCCTGAGAAACAAGATCCGTCTTCATTTCCTCTGTGAAAGTGGAGAGTACACCGTCGAGGCAAACAAGAGCATTCAAACCCCAATCCATATCACCAATCATGAAGAATATGAAATCAGAAACAGCACTGAGTTCTTCCGCAAGTATGGAAAACACATGGTGATCCTTTTAGAGTGGCTCAAGTTGAAGATGCTCTCTCCTACTTCTCTGATACCTCCCCCACACCTGACTGATGCCGCTATCGATAAATCACTCGAGTACATGCAAGTGCTCTCTATCGAGTATCCAGTCTTGAGCAGCATCAACATAGTTGATGACTATGAAGCACTTGAAGGGACAGACCTCCAACAACTTAGCACATTCCTTCAAATCGACGGCAAGGACAAACAACTTGGTGATATGTACAGGACCACAACTGCAACAGGTCACGCCAAATGGGTTTGTTTTGACCACTATCGTTTGACGTATAAAGAGAAAGAACAGAAAGAGCTCGAAAATGTAATTGAGGCGAATGGTGACGAATATGACAAGCATCTTGGCAAAGTAGTCATCGAACTGGGATCTGGATCCCCAGTTAAAAAGCTCTGCAATGCTCTGGCCGATGCAAGATGTGATTATGAGTTAAATATTACATCCATCTGGAGTTGGTCCGAGGCTGATCTTGTAGCGCTTGAGAATACACTAAAGGTGCCAAATGTATCGATTCTTCGACTTGAACTTGCTTGGTTTCAAGAAAGAAGCAGGGGAAATGCAGTTTCAACATCCGCACCTTATGAAATACTTGTCCGCATCATGGAGCTTAGCAACATGAGAATGATTCGCATTGCTCTAATGTCGAACCTCATAGAGCTTTCTCGTTTACAACCCAAGAGTTTGTCACATCTTCATGAGTTATCCTTAGTGCTACGGCCTCGAGGGCTTGAAACTAATGATTTCCGAACACTTGCGGATTCACTCAAGACCAACACCACTGTAACCACGTTGGACTTGTGGGACAACTCAATTGGGAATGAAGGAGCCTTCGCACTGTCAAAAGCACTCAAAATTAACAAGGCGTTGACCACTTTAGATTTGGCTCTCAACTCAATCGAGAAAGAAGGAGTTCTGGCAATGTCAGGGGCACTCAAGATTAACGAGGCTTTGACCACTTTGAGCTTGAGAGGGAACCCGGTAGAGGATGGAGGAGCTCTGGTACTGTCAGAGGCTCTCAGGATTAACACAACTTTAACCACTTTGGACTTGGAGAATGCCTCAATTAAGAAGGAAGGAGCTCTAGCACTGCCGACGGCGCTCAAGGTTAACACAACCTTGATCTCTTTAAATTTGAATAGTAACCCGATTGGGAAGGGAGGAGTTCTGGCACTGTCAGAGGCGCTCAAGGTTAACACGGTTTTTAGCACTTTGAGCTTGGGATTTAACTCAATCGGGAATGAAGGAGCTGTGGCGCTATCAGAAGCACTTAAGGCTAACATGGCTTTAACCACTTTGAACTTGCGCTGCAATGAAGTTGAGACTGAAGGAGCACTAGCATTGTCAGAGGCACTCAAGGTTAACAAGACGTTAACCTATTTGAATTTGAGTTTGAACTCAATCGGGAATGAAGGCGCTTTGGCACTATCAGAGGCACTCAAAGTTAATTCGACTTTAACCGTGTTGAACTCGAGGGCATCAGTTGTAGCCAAGGGGTTCTGATGTTGCTAGAGCTCAACACTGGTTGATCGACTGGATTATTTGAAACAGTGTTAAGAGTATAGGTTAGTTTATATAAATTACTAGTTTGTAGCAGCCAATTGTTCATAACTGCTTTATTATGTGATTTTGCAGAAGAGTATTAGCATATTAGGTATTTCGAGCCAGTCTTTTGATAAAATCGAATCACACAATGCAAGGTCGCAAAAGCACTGGCCTGTAATATCTCTCTTTACAATTAGGAAACAATCAAAGGAAGTATCCAAGGGACTTGAGAATATCGCCAAGCCAATCTGGAGAGGGAAGAGAAAGGATTGAGAATGTTACGTACCGAGTGCACCTCAAGAGTACTTCCATTTTTACCCTTAAAGTCAGAACATTGTGTGGCGGTCATGACGCGTCCTTAATAAAAGGATCCTGTCTGGCATCAATAATAAAAATAACTTTTGATCTCCTTTACTGAAAACATATCAGTGATGTAAATTGTGCGCCTATGTGATTGTTATGCTTAAATCATATCACGAGGACGGAAAACGCGGCTCTCTCATCTTATTAACTCAACTCTCTTCATCTCTTCACTCTTCACTCTTCATCTCTTCTCTCACTACATTTTTCAAGGAAGGCATATACACGGGGCTCAATTCCATACCTAGGTGCTTTACTGGCTTCTATTTACAAACACGCACGGTAATAGAAATAGCTTCGATTCTTATCTTGCGTGTTGCATATTTCGTCTAATTGCATATCTGATCACACGTACAAAAGGATACCATTTTGTACATTCCTAACACTGCAGCCCTCCGGCCCTCCAGCCCACATTAATAGGATCTCAATTTTATATATAGAAAGTGAATGAATAAATACTCGGATAATGTAGTGCTGTGATCCACATTCAATTCTCACTTATCTTTCAACTTCCGGTTATTGTTTTCCATTGCGCACAATTTCATTTCCAATGTAATGCCATCTCGAGGTGGGCGATTTACGTAACGGGTCGCCTGTGCAGCTGGGGTGCGGATAGATGGCCAAATTAATCTGGCTTTGGGAATTGAAAGTAGAATTTTGGATCCACATTAAACTTCATTATTCATGTTAATTGGCTTATGTGACTAACAGAACAATCCTACTAACAGACGTTCTTTGTAAGATAATAAACCTAAAGCCAACTCCCTCCTACGCGCCTGTATCATTCTCATCAGTTATGGAGGTGTGTCAGGATTTGAAACAGTCTCCTATCGTCTTCTGAAGGCTGTCTTCATTACTCTATTGTGGTGCAATATTCATTAAACACCTGTAATTTGTGCATTAATTTAGAAGGACTTGGGCCGTAGTTTCGAGGCGCAGCTTAGCAGGACATTGCGTCGTCCATCGGATGCATCTGGTGACAAGAATAACCATAAAACTGAGCACGTGATGATGGTTACTTTTGCCAACGAGTTTGAAGATGAGGAGTTGAAAGTCGATGAAGAATCATATGCACACCTTGTTATGCATCTATACCAGAAGGTAAATATCAATGCTTGTGTTACAGATTACGCTTTAAAAAGCTCTGCCAAGCATCTAGTCCTAACAATTTGATATACCTGTATAACATTGTATGGCTGCTCTTCTCGTGATTCCCCACCACAAACAACTTTCTCAAGTGAAATGGAGGAGAAGACATATCACTCTGAGGAGGCGCTCCTTGGCTCCTCGAGTGATCGCAACAAAGTACAGCGAAAAGATTGTTTGTAAGTAAAATAAAACAAATAATAATAACAATAATTAAAAAAAAAAAAAAAAAAAAAAAAAAAACATACTACTGGTTTAAAGTTGACCTACTTATTTCATCTTTTATATCAATACCGCTCTTAGCGGGATCATAAATACTATCGATGATGCCCATGAAGAGTCGTGCTCTAATTTCAAGGACATTGCTGATATGTTTCGACAAGAAGATTTTTTCTCTGTTCCTGAAAGGCAACAGGCTATATTTGATATACTGATCAAGAAACTTGGCTATGACATAAGTACACGACATCTCCGTCGATACTGTTATAGCAGGCGCATCCACTTAGAAGCTGAAGAGGATAGTGGATGGCCCTTTGATATTGCAGAGGCCAAATATGAAGAACTGAAAATCATCCGTATAATGGAGTTTTTGTAAGTTTATTAATGTAGTAGTGTATTAGTGAGTCTAACGGTTTTCCTTTGGAATTTATGAGTATGAATTGATACTAATACATATGTATATAATAGATGTCCTGAGATTGAATATCTTCAAAATATCCCAACGGCTTCTGGGCATGAAGATGCTTAGTTTGGCGTGGGATAGTGTGTATTTTATATGGCGGTAATATCACAGTGCGTATTGGCGAACTTGGATCAAGCTCGACACGAGAGGATTGGAAAGAAGTAGAAGAACAATTTGGTAACAAAGCATCTGACGTCAGGAGCAGGAAGGTCGATTATGAGCCCTCTTTGATGACTAAGAAACCTATTCAAGAACCCAATTAATTACATATTAGTTGCCACCAGTGACTCGTACTGATGTACCGCACACACCTGCTTGCAGTAAAATATACTGATCACGTTTCACAAACATTACCCAAGTAACTTACCAATGAAAGTAAAATATCAGTAAGTGACTTACCGATGAAAGTAAAATATCAGTAAGTAACTTACCCCTAAATTATCCTAAAGGCATTTGTAAAAGATTAATCATCTCTCTTTTTTTAACAAACAAAGTTCGCATGGGTCAGTCGTGCTAAAGCCAAGATGATCGATCATAGCCACACACCACACCTTAGTGGACGGATAGGAGAGTTCTCCTTTACAGTGATTCTTCCGGGAGATGTGCCTTGAAGCATACTGTTCAATGACCTTGACAGCGCTCGTGCATTAAATATGTACTCGAGCGAAACCCAACCTGGATCCAAATTACTAGACAGTAAATGGCAAAAATGCATAGGTTCACTGACCACCCAAGTGTGGTGCGCTGTTATGGCTGTGCTGTTCATACTGGTAGCTCGAGACGCGTTTTTTTACAGGTTGACTTCACTTCTGTACTCGCCACTCTCGATCGTATCATCGGACTTTAATCATAGTAGGAGGCAAACCATTAATTGCTGGTCCTAATAAAACACAGCCATTGGATTCATGCATAATTTTCCCAGCCCTGCCACTTTAAGAGGCTAAGCTGAAAAACAATCAACTAGCATCTCCTAACATTGAGAAATGAGACAACTTTTTCTCTTTTCTTCATCTTGTCATCATCCCTTGAATCACCACCGAAATGACAGAACCTCAATACCAACAATTCCGATACAACAACCTCATTGAGGAAGTTTGTGTCAGAACTGCCTCCATCTCCACAAGCAATGGCAACTTGTCGCACTGTGTGACTTTGCAAGACATTCAACAAGTGTTTCCAGGTGCGCTCCGATTCAAACTTGATGGGCATCCTGTTCCATTCCTTGCAGACCATAACGGCACCTGGTAAATTATTTATAATTATGGCGACTTTGTCAATTGCTCTGAAAAATAAAAAGAACCCAATTTGACAATTTGGCACGTCTTTTTTTCTAATAGGATCGAGCCTTTGCGCATTGCATTCTATCCTGACAAGATCCTAGACGTCATTGCGGAAGTATCACAGTCCAGTAGTAGCAACAGCGAAAGCAACAGTAGCAGCAACGCCATTGTCCATTTGCCAACGTCGAGAGACTCGGATAATTTAGTCTCTCAGAACCCATCTGTTACTGCTCAAAGCTTGGAAGAGATTAAGGAGTTAGTGATAGAAACCCCTAAAATGCAATCGGAGACGGTTAAACTGCAGCATCAAGCCCTTGACAGACTTGCCATCCTTCAACAGAAAGCTGATGCTATCCTTGTCCAGACCTTTGAGCTACACGAGTATCCAATTCCTCGACTCTTTATCATTCTGCCTGTTGACAGCACCAAATGGGATCCAATGAATGTCTTGAGGAACAAGGTTCGCCTTCACTTCCTATGTGAATGCGAGGATCGCTCTGAAAAGGCAAGCAAGGACAGCCAGAAGAACAAAACTCATCTTGCCAGACATGAAGGATATGAGATCCGAAACAGCACAGAGTTCTTTCAAAAGTATGGGAAATACATGATCATCCTTTTACAGTGCCTCAGCGTAGGGATGCCTTTGGCTGCCTCGCTTGGGTCAGTCCCAAATCTCAAAGCCGGTATTGATTATTCACTCGACTATATGAGAGCACTTTCTGTGGAGTATCCGGCCCTGAAAGACATCAACACAATCGAGGACTACGAAGCACTTGAAGGAGCAGATCTCCGAGGACTGAGCAAATTCCTTCAAACCAATGATGAAAACAGGCAGCTTGGCAACTTGTACAGGATCACGACAGAAGCAGGCCATGTCAAATGGGTTTGTGTCGATCACTATCGCTCAACATATAAAGAGAAAGAACAGAGAGCGTTTGAAGATGTTGTGGAGATGAATGAAGGCAAATATGACTCACAGCTCGGTAAAGTGGTCATTGAGTTGGAATCTAGGATCAGAGCTAGAGAGTTCTTCGAAGCCTTGACCAAAGCTAAACATATTTACGAGTTGGAGATCACATTCAGCAAGTACTGGGACTGGACCAAGACTGATCTGGAAGGACTGAAGAATGCACTGAGAGTATCGAGTGTATCGATCCTTCGACTTGACCTTGGAGAATCTCAAGAAAGCATAGCCAGGAACCTATTTTCAACACGATATGTAAAACTTGTAGGCATCATAGAACTTAACAATATGAAAACGATTCATGTTGTGCTTCCTCCGGATGTCAAATATCTTTCCAATCTACAAAGCGTAAAATCGTCACACCTTTGCAAGTTATCCTTTGGGATGAGGCTTCGAAGCATGAGAGCTAGTGATTTTCGACGGCTTATAAACTCACTCGAGGTTTTGGTCACTTTGGACTTAGCATCTAACTCGATTGGGAATAAAGAGACTCTCGCACTTTCCAAGGTACTCAGGACAAACACCAGTTTGACCAATTTAAACTTGCGGTACAACTCAATTGGGGATGAAGGAGCTCTGGCACTGTCAGAGGCACTCAAGACAAACACCAGTCTGACCAATTTGGACTTACGATACAACTCAATTGGGAATGAAGGAGCTCTGGCACTGTCAGAGGCACTCAAGACAAACACCAGTCTGACCGATTTGGACTTGACTTGGAACTCAATTGGGAATGAAGGAGCTCTGGCACTGTCAAAGGCACTCAAGACAAACTCCTGTCTGACCAAATTGAACTTATGGAACAACTCAATTGGGAATGAAGGGGCTCTGGCACTGTCAGAGGCACTCAAGACAAACACCAGTCTGACTAATTTGAACGTCAGTCACAACTCAATTGGGAATGAAGGAGCTCTGGCACTGTCAGAGGCACTCAAGAAAAACATGGCTTTGAAGGTTTCTGTATGAGGAATGCTTTAATCGATAAGTAAATAACTCTGGTGCTGTTAATGCCGCTTATTATTGGCTGGCGTTGAGTCATTTTCTGATTTAGTTGATTGGTTTGATCATTGAAGTAGTGATGAGGTCTTTAGTGGTTACGGATAGTAGTTTATTTTGGATTAAAAGCTGACTTACGGCAGCTAAGCGTCCGTAGCAGCGCTGCTTTTTTTTTTTTTTTTTTTTTTTTTTTGATCGATTCCTCCTCCCCTCGCTTGCTAAATGGCTCTAGCATCCGAGGATTATTGAAAGCTCATCCTTTTTGTAGCAGCTCTCTCTAAAGGCAAACCAAATATGGCCATCAAATGCATTATAAAGACAGAGAGACGTGTGAGCATCAAAGAAAAGTGTCCAAGGGAATTTGGGTTTTCTATTTATTAGCCCCAAGGGAGACTAAGAGAAAATACGATGGGACGCTTGCTGAATCAGATGCAAAGAGTACCAAAGAGAATATAAGTGCCAGAGACATCTAGAAGTGTGTGTGCCAGTCAAAGTAGGGTCCTAACGAAGGAGTAGGCCGTTGTGGGATGTCACTCCGGTAAGGACCGCCTAAAGTTAGACAGAAGAGAACTAAAAAGTGATGTTCTCTAATGAGGCCATAGTCGGTAGGAGTGAGGTCCTTTGGCCAAAAGCTTTATTATAAATGGTCGCAAGACAGGTGCGCTAAATGGGTGGTCTCTCCTACGTATAGCTGTGTGTTGTATTATAGATAGTTCATATAGTACCCTAAGTCGTTTGTTCTTGTTTGTCACTCTTCAATATTGTCAATTCCTTAAGTATCATTTGACCTTACATTTACAGCCAGCTGCAACCTCATGATGGGATGTTCTTTTTGCAGGTGGAAGCATATCGTTAGAAAAGGAGCCAGAGCTACTCAAGGTCTCTGCAGGATTAGTGTCAATGACTCATCAAATTGTCAAGGGATACTGTGGGCTCTTTTGTTGACATCTAGATACCAACTAAGCGGTGAACTACAAAGTAATTTAATCACAAGTCAAATTATAACACTTTGCTACGGATATCAGTTGATCGAATCAAGTAAAGGCCCCATGTTTATGCCTATGCCCATCTCGAATGTATCCGGAAGCGCCTAGAGTAAGAAGGATTGAAGACCTACATTAGATAGAAACAGCCGCCAGTCTTTTAAAAGTCATTGTTCTTCTCTTTACACATTTCTAAAGGACCACCAGCTTCATATTTGTACAGCTCATGCCCAAGCAGTAAAGGGCAGGTCTTGATATATATGATCATCATTGTGGCTCAGCAGCATCCATCGCAATCGCGTTAAAGAACAAGTACAAAAGTGATATGCTTGCTTACATAACGTATCATTCACTTGATGGCCTCACTCTAGCCACAAGCTTCTCGTGTTATGATGGTGGCATAGACTGAGAAGGGCTCAATTCATAACATTTTGAGTTGTCAGTAAACGTTGAGGCGAAGTCAGGCTTATGCAGGGGCTTGCCAGGTGCACCTGGAATACGTTAGGACATAATGGAAGTGGAGAAGAAAGTGGAACTGCAAGAATCTTTAGTGATGTGTAGGGTCTTGATGCGTAGATTACTGGAACTGGACTGATGTGGCTGTGAGAAGAGCCACGGATCGCATGTCTAGTATCGGTATGGCACTATTAGTTACATTCAGTACTATCGATACTATAACTACCTGAATTATCAGCACGGGAACCCCTCACTGCTATCCCTATTTATAACCTCTATTGGAAATAGCCACAGTCATTTGGAGTTCAAGAATGTGTAGTATTCATTAATGTCTGTCCTAGACTAGTACACTGATGAGTAGAGTGCTTTTATACTAATTGTGAAGGCTCCATAAGGGCCATGAGTGCGGCAGGTTCAATGTGGTTAGGTAAAGCCTTTTGTAGTCATGTTCTTTCTTTGCAACATGAATGAGCAAATTTGAAAAACTATACAACCTAATACATATTTTTTTTATCCATACATTTTTCAAAGCAGTTTTTCTTTTATGCTCATCTCTACGCCTGTGAAGCTCCAAGGTCCTCCTTGGCCTGTAATGAATGACTTTGTAATAAAAGAAAACAGAGACAATATATACTCACCATGAGAAACATATTATACGTATTTATTGAGTCCAGTTTGTGTGTGTATTTTTTTTTTTTTTTTTTTTTTTTTTGGCGGTGAATCTTGAAGGGTTCGACCTTCTGCTTTTTGTTAGATTTGGCATAGCAACACTTAAAGCCCTATATATTCTTACATACTACAGTCGCGATTGCATAGAACGTGTTTATGCTGAAGACAGATATGAAGTCAAAGTGACTAGCCATCAAACGAAGATAAAGGCTATTTTTCCAATTCAGCTCTTCAACGAATCTCTCAACAGACAATTAGCTCGATACCAGCAGATACCACAGAGCTGAGGTTACCCAATTGTACAGTATTGGCGAGCAATAACCAAGAGCGGGGCAAATTTTGTAAAAATCCCTTCTAGTCTTCTAGTCTTAAGGCGCCATACACTAACATACAAAAAAAATGAGTCCAAGGTAACCTATCAGTCAACTTTTCTTTTTATTACTTAGGAACCTATCTATGTATATAGGCACAGGCCATACTCGTAACAAATAAAGCCCCCATCTATATACGCCAAAATTGTGCATGGTTTTATTTCAACTTGACCCCTTATTATGCCAGCTCAATATAGACTTTCATAAAACCCCTTGTGCCTCCATGACATCCTAGATAAAGACCTTTTTTGCCTGAAGGAGCTAAGAAGGGATCATTAGTGCTATACTATGTCCGATAGGGTTAATTCGGTAGTATTCAAAGCCAGTGACCAGGATCAGGCGTCATCGCAGGCGATGTACGATTCGAGAATGGACGACACAAAACGCGTGGCGGCAGTAGATAAAATGGAAACAATGCTGATATTACTGTAAATAAACAACAATAACAACAACAACAGCATCTTATCTTCCATGAAGTGGTCACCTTGAAGGGCCAACCTATCTGAGATCTCCCAGGAGGATCGACTCAGCTTCTGGATGCAGGAAGAAGCCTGGCGGCTTATGAAGTCTTTCTTCCAACCAAAGTATGTTGGTTCCTTAGGCTGCAGGCAATAGCTTTTCACTCATGTAAACAAAATAGAGCGGGAGAAAAAATTACACATGTCTCATTTCGCGCATTTTTATTTTTAATTTTATTTTTATTCTCAATTGTGTTTTTTTATTTTTTTTTTATTTTTTTATTTTAGAGATAACGTAAAATAAATGTACTCAAAGCTGTGTCCTGTTTAGTGCCTGGTTCTGAGTGTCTCTGATATTGCCAGAGATACTTCCTTCGCGATTAACATATGACTCAATTCCAACCTTGTCAAAGCGATGTTGATCTTGAGTACCTCTAAAAGTACGGGAGCTCCCTCATTCCCAATTAAGTTCCGAAACAAGTTCAAATTTGTCAAAGCCTTGTTGGTTTTGAGCGCCTCTGAGAATGCGATGGCCCCTCCGTTCCCTACTTTGTTATCCCCCAAGCTCAAATCTGTCAAGGTCGTGTTGACCTTGAGTACCTCTGAGAGTGCGAGGGCTCCTTTCTTCCCAATCAAGTTACTCCCCAAGTCTAAACTTGTCAACGCCGTATTGACCTTGAGTGTTTCTGAAAGTGCTAGGGCTCCTTCGTTCCCGATTGAGTTATTCCACAGGCTCAGATTTGTCAAAGCCTTGTTGGTCTTGAGCGCTTCTGAGAGTGCGAAGGCTCTTTCCTTGCCAATTGAGTTCCAAATCAAGTTCAAACTTGTCAGAGTCTGGTTGACCTTGAGTGCGTCTGAGAATGCGAGGATTCCTTGATTCCCAATTTTTTTGTTCCCCAAGTACATTATGGTCAAAGTCGTGTTAGTCTTAAGCACCTCTGAGAGTGCGAAGGCTCCTTCATTCCCAATTTTGTTGTACTCCAAGTTCAAATTTGCCAAAGTCGTGTTAACCTTGAGTGTCTCTGAGATCGCGAGGGCTCCTTCGTTCTCAATTGAGCTATCCTTTAAGTATGAACTTGCCACACCCCTACCCGATAGTCGTCCCATAACTGGGGTGTTCAGAGGCCCAAACTGGTCAAAATCGTACTAACCTTGAGCGCATCTAACAATGCCATAACCCCTTCCTTCTTAATCTGGTTGTCCCTCAAGTCCAAAGTGACCAAAACTGCATTAGCCTTGACCATGCTTTCAGCTATTGTGATACAAGATGCCATGCATAGTCGCCATAATGCCATTTTAAACTTCCAACAAGGGTTTGATCCTCCACCAAAGGATATAATGGATGTATCCCAAATCTAGTCAATGCTTATATCGATAAATCACTCGACTACATGAAAGCGCTCTCTATTAAATGCAGTTTTGAGTAATATTGACACAGCCGATGACTGTGAAGCGCTTGAAGGGGCCAATCTTCAAAAAGCGAACACATTCCTTCGAACTAGCGGTAAAGGTAAGGTACTTGACAACTTGTAAAGGAGCACAACCGAAACGAGGTATAAAGAGGAAGATCAGAAAGCACTCGAAAATGTAATTGGGATGAATAGTGGCAAATACAGTAAGCGTCTTGGCAAACTAGTAATCGAATTGGGATCCAGTATAAGAGCTGAAGAACTCTTCCTTGCTTTGGCCAATGCAAGTTGTGTCTATGAGTTAGACATCGCATTCAACTGGGGTCGGTCCGAAGCTGACCTTGTAGCATTTGAGAAAGCATTAAAGCCGTCAAATGTTCCGATCTTATGACTTGGACAGCTCCGAGGAAGCAGTGGGGAAGCGTCATCAACGTCCAAAAGATATGAAATTTTTGTTCTCATCATTGAGCTTAGCGATTTGGGAGTCCAGATTCGGTAAATGAGATGTTGTTACTATCGTCTTTGTCCTCTATTTCCGAGGCATTAATCTTGTTAAACTTTTCATTGCCGTACTATACATATTGCGATGTTTGCAACTACAACCTTTTGTGATGAGGACATTCAAACTATTGCCAGTAATCTGCAGCAGAATGAACAGAATGTGTTGACATAAAACGCAACATTTCCATTCATACTATTTCTTGAGATTTTTTATTCTCCCTTTCTCAAAGGATCTTTCACTCTAGGGATCCTTCTCTCTGGTATGGTATGGAGATATGTAGAGCCACGTTAACCTTCAATATTCCAATGCCCAGGTCATTCTTTACCCAGTTTTTCAAGAGAGTCCAAGGACGAGGTTCTTATGGTACCATTATCATGGATGAAATAATCAATTTCTCGGAAGGAGACTATGATGAGGCAAAATACGATTCTGATCCCTCTATGAGCTTATTACGAAAAAGCAATAAACGTCAACTCAAGCCCTGCTAGCGTAATGTAATAGTTGATCTCCTCTTTTTTTTTTCCTCTCGTGGCGCTTTGGTTCTTTACTGGATAGCTTGAATTCCTACCCTTTTTCTTTTTCTTTATACACGACATTCAAGCATTCCTTTCTCGTACTCCTTGTATTTATTCCCCGAGTTCCCTTTACATATTATTTGCTTTGTCTCTTCAGTTCTCTGCCCTTTTACTCGTACCCGGGTCACACAAGACGCCCATTATTTATATAAAGCCGGCTCTACTCCCAGGAAGACCTCTCATATAACTATATCCAGACAACCTACCCTCTTCTTATCTCAACATTACTTGTTTTCTTCTTGACTCAAAAAAAAAGAAAAAAGAAAAGAAAAGAAAAACTTCGCATTTCTACAATGAAGCTGATTGCTCCTTTCCTACTCGCTTTAGTCCTATCAAGCACGGCTGTTGAGGCATTATGGTGTACTTGTGGGAAACCCTCTCACTGATACTCTTTGCAAATCGAAATCAAAGATACTCCCAACAAAAAGGTTGGCGTGGAGAGTTGGACAGGCATATGATGCGGTGCACTCCCTCTCTGCGGCTAACTTCTCAAGCTCTGGAAGGGCACGATGCGCTACGATGAGATGAAAGGTTTTGGGCAGTCAAGTAGACAAGTATAGTGCCGTTCATCAAAAATTAAAAAAGGGGGAGATCGAATTGTTATTCTTCTTTTACAACGCGTTCTTGCAATGACTGAAATATGATTGGTAAATCACCGACGCAACCACCGGGTTTGTATTTTTATTTACCTGCTGTTCAACAACATGGCTAGACACATATTTTTCGATATGCATCCATGTCTAGGGAGCATTTCCTTGCTTATTTTCGAAGACTCATAATGTTCACTGAATTTGAAAGCCTTTGGGCACGGGCTTTTGTAGTCTTTTAGATATGTGACCACATTTTGGTCTGGTGTACTGCCGAGAGCACACCATCTTTTTTTTTTTCTAAAGATACACACAAGATACATGAAAGAAAAGATCTATTTTATTTTATTTTATTTTATTTTATTTTATTTTATTTTATTTTATTTTATTTTTTATTTTATTTTATTTTATTTTATTTTATTTTATTTTATTTTATTTTATTTTATTTTATTTTATTTTATTTTATTTTATTTTATTTTTTATTTTATTTTATTTTATTTTATTTTATTTTATTTTATTTTATTTTATTTTATTTTATTTTATTTTATTTTATTTTATTTTATTTTATTTTATTTTATTTTATTTTATTTTATTTTATTTTATTTTATTTTATTTTATTTTATTTTATTTTATTTTATTTTATTTTATTTTATTTTATTTTATTTTATTTTATTTTATTTTATTTTTTATTTTATTTTATTTTATTTTATTTTATTTTATTTTATTTTATTTTATTTTATTTTTTATTTTATTTTATTTTATTTTATTTTATTTTATTTTATTTTATTTTATTTTATTTTTTATTTTATTTTATTTTATTTTATTTTTTCCTTTTGAAAGAGAGGATGATCGATGTACGCCAAAATGGTAGTCAATACCACTTCAAAAACAATGGGACTAGATGAGCGGCACTGTAGTAAAACATGTGGGAGTAAGATGAGAGCATACATACCATACCCATAAAGTATTTATTGGAGCTTTATTAGATTTATCAAGGACAAAGCAAAAGCATAACTACGGATCTTTCTACGAGCGACATGGATAGGTGTGTATCCATGTTAAATATTTTCTATAGGATCAAACAATATATCGAAGCGATGGATCCAATGTGGTAAGCAGAGAACTACCGACGTACTCGCAAAAATGATCTCCAGTCTTCAAGACCTTGTAAAGAGCCCATTCATGCTATCGATGTCAACGAAACATGCCAGGGTCATAAAAAGTAACGAAAACGAAAGAAAGATTTGGTTTATTATGGTCCAGGGATCTTCGTTAAATAAAAGAGGGGGGAGGTAAAGATCCTAACTATAGTAAAAATCCATTAAAATGACTGCAACAAAACTCCACCCTCCCCTCAAACAAACGTCTAGATAGACGCGTGCTTTGGTAAGACTTGGAAGGGAAATATACAAAAGCCTTCATAGTAAGATAGGTGCTGTGAAGGAGTAAAATAAAAATCTTCAGGGTCTGAAAGAATATCAAACCTTATTTTTTGTGTGCCGATTTAAGACTCAAGTGGCTTAGTGCATCTAGCCTGCCTGGACTGGACTAGGTAATGTAACCTTGATACCTTAATCTTGTGAACAAATTGCACAGCTGCCATCACCTCTCGTCATTCAATTCAACTCTTCAAAAAAAAAAAAAAAAGGGAAAAAAAGAGAAATCACCGCCGACCTTTAATTATCAAGATTTATATACCATGATCGCATTGGGACTTGAAGGAAGCGCTAATAAATTGGGTGTTGGATTGATTAAACATGACATGTCGACCACACCACCGACCGTGACTATCCTCTCGAATGTTCGCCACACATATCACCCTCCACCGGGTGAAGGGTTCTTACCCAAGGACACGGCACTACACCATCGTACCTTTATCATAGAGTTGATCAAGAACGCGATGGCAGAAGCAAATATCACGCCAAAGGATATCGATGTCATTTGCTTCACAAAGGGGCCTGGTATGGGAGGGCCTCTGACGAGCGTAGCAACCGTGGCTAGGACATTGGCATTGATGTGGAATAAAGAACTCGTGGGTGTCAATCACTGTGTTGGACGTAAGTTTTTTTTACTTCTCCTCTCCTTCTCTTTTTTTTTTTTAAAAAAAAAAAAAAAAAAAAAAAAGCTGGTATATACACGTGCATGTGAAAAAGTGGCCAGAAAGCGCATGTTTGTTGATCACTTTCTTTGCATCCTTATATTTTATCGCCCAAAAACAAAAAAAAATTAGACATTGAAATGGGCCGTCAGATCACAGGGGCAGAAAATCCTGTAGTGCTCTATGTCTCTGGAGGGAACACACAGGTGATTGCTTACGCAGATAAACGGTATAGGATCTTTGGAGAGGCATTGGATATCGCGGTCGGAAACTGCATTGATCGGTTCGCCAGAGTCCTTGGTTTACCAAACGATCCTGCACCAGGTTATAATGTAGAACAATTGGCAAAGAAGGGTTCCAAATTGATTGATCTGCCCTACACAGTCAAGGGTATGGACGTATCCTTCAGCGGGGTGTTATCCTATATCGAGACGAACGCACCGGCGCTTTTGGCATCTGGAGAATATACAGAGGCCGATCTATGTTTTTCATTACAGGAAACACTTTTTGCGATGTTGGTGGAGACAACGGAGAGAGCGATGGCGCACATTGGTTCGAAGGAGGTGTTGATTGTGGGAGGAGTTGGATGTAATATGAGATTACAGGAGATGATGTCGCAGATGGCTAGTCAGCGTGATGGGAAAGTGTTTGCGACAGATGAGAGGTTTTGTATTGATAATGGGATCATGATCGCACAGGCAGGTATTCTTGCTTATCAAACTGGGTATACAACTCCCTTGGAGAAGACATGGTGTACACAACGGTTCAGGACAGACGAGGTGTTTGTAGCGTGGAGAGACTAAATGAAGAATAAATAAATGTAGAGGGAGGATTTCATACTGCAATAGAATAAACAGTGATGTAATAATATATATTTATATATTTCTATTATAGTGTCTGAAGTAGGAAAGTAGGCCGATAGAGTGAGACAATGGTGTTGTATGCAGCTATGCCGAGAGAAAGAGAAAGAGAAAGAGAAAGAGAAAGAGAAAGAGAAAGAGAGGAAAAAAATCATACAAATAGCAGCAATGGACCTCCTTCTTCTTTTTGCTACTTCTTTTTTTTTTAAAAAAAAAAAAAAAAACAACCTCATAACACACTCATAACGATAAAAAAAAAAAAAAAAACACCCGTTCACTATCTTTATCCAGCTCTATTCCATACTATTTACACATCATGGACACATCTTCATCCAACAAGGTTCAACAAGGTCCCGTAAGTGGCAAGGATCAAGTCCACAATGGAGCTGCAGCTGCAGCTGGAGCACAAACAGCGCAAACCACAAACCAAGAACACCAACCCGATTGGGATATGTATCCAGGAGCTATTCGCAAGATCGAAAATCAAGGCAGCGACAAGGATGTTGAAGCACTACATAATCTGGAGCACAGCTGTGAGAAAAACACACAACGCAAGTTGTAAAAAGAGAGAACAAGTTGAAAAAGCTGGAATAAAATAAAAAAAAATCTTTTATTAACTCGAAGCATTGGTGGAAGGAGTTCATTACGGGATCTTGGTTACCTTTGATTATCGAGTATCGAAAAAGAATAAAAAATAAATTATGAGAGAGTATAAGGTGCAGGCAAAAAAAAAAAAAAGTTCTCACGGGCTTCAGTCCCTCCGATCGTTTTTATTCTCTCCGTGCGCGATCGAAGGATGAACGTTTATGCACAAAAAAAAAAAAAACCAATTGACCTCAAGACCTCAGTGAAAAACAAGTATTTCAACAGCTTTTTCTTCTTCACATCTTTTTAACTTCTATAATTTCATACACATCAAGACCTCTCTTTTTCTTTTCATCTCTCCCTAACCTCTTCCAGTTTCTTTATCCGAGAACTTTGATACTTTACTTCTGCTACGCTATGAGTCCTAATAACAGAATCCAGGGTAACATTCTAAAGGGCAAAGATGACATTGTGTAGAAAGGAAGATGGGCAATGCTTCTTTTCTCTTACTAAAGAGGCTTTTTTTGTACTTTTTTTTTTTTTTTTTTTTTTTTTTTTTAGGAGGAACTGTGGTTGAAATGCAGGTAGAGCAAGGAGTAGTCATATAAATATATGTGTGTATATTGTAGGGATGCATCGCTTTGGTTACTGACAACTGCGCTTGGCATTTACATGCGAACATTTGCTTGTCATTCCGATTGTCTAGGGTGATGAAATGACACGCATCATTTGGGATGTCATTCGAGACAAGGTAAAAAAAAATATTGTTTATTTTTGGAGCATGGAGAGCATGGGGCACATTTCACTTTTTGTGTTCGTCATTTGTGGAGGTCGTTACGTAGCACATACATGTGTTCAATTTTATATTTTTTCTCACAGTTACCATGTTACCATTACTGCATCCATAGCTCATCCTTCCTTATGTCGATTTAGACATCAAGTTCTTTGATCTGGGAATCCAGCATCGTGATAAAACTGATGATCAAGGTAAGAAAAAGAAAAAAGAATGGATCAAAAGTAAAACAAGGTGGGAAGGGAAGCGGAAGGGGAAGGAGGGGAAGGAGTTTCTTTTATGTCTTCACCACGGTCCTACTGGCCCCTCTCCTCTTTCAAATGGACTTTTTGACTAGGAAATGGACTTGATTTGAGAGAGGCCATGATGTTTCTTTCAATAAAAGAACATATAACACTTTTTACCCATAGAAATGTTATTCACTGGCATTTTCTTTGGATAGTTTCTGTTCTATCGACATTTATATAAATACTTTTATTATATTTTTATCAATCTTATTTTGTCTACTGCGGTGCCTTACTGGATTCGCTGACTGACATAAACGCGTGCTCTCTCTCTTTCTTTTTCTCTTTGTTAAAAAACTATTGCAACAGTCACGATCGATGCCGCTGAGGCAATCAAGAAATACAAGGTCGGAATCAAGTGTGCTACGATCACTCCGGATGAAGCCCGTGTCAAAGAATTCAACTTGAAGCAGATGTGGAAGTCGCCTAATGTAAGGATCTCGCACAGCAACATTTATACATGTATTTTCTTTTTCTTTTCTTTTTTTTTCCCTTTCTTTCTTGAAGAGCAGTTTTACAGAGTTGATCTCTTTTATATTTTTTGTATCCAGGGAACAATTCGTAATATCCTTGGAGGCACAGTATTCCGTGAGCCGATTATTTGCAAAAACATCCCAAGGTTGGTCCCAGGATGGACCCAGCCCATTGTCTTGGGACGTCACGCTTTTGGTGACCAGTACAAGGCTACCGATTTGGTCGTAGATGCCCCCGGTCGCTTGGAACTTGTTTTCACACCCAAGGACGGATCTGAAATAAAAAGCTTTGTCGTCTATGACTTTGAGGGTCCCGGTGTTGCTTTGGGCATGTATAACCATGGTGAGGTAATTCCAGTCCTTTGTATACTTTTATAACAGCAGATATAATACTTGGGTATATCGTATATACATTGGCCTTAAAAAAAAGATCCTTAGCCTCATCATTATGGATCTTTAATCTATATAGTCAATCAGAGGATTTGCTCACTCTTGCTTCAAAGTGGCCTTGGACAAGAACTACCCTCTCTACATGTCCACCAAGAACACGATCTTGAAGAAGTACGATGGTCGATTCAAGGATATCTTCCAGGAAATCTATGACCGTGACTACAAACAACAGTTTGAAGCTAAAAAGATCTGGTATGAGCATCGCCTCATTGATGATATGGTTGCTCAGATGCTAAAGTCTTCTGGTGGGTTCGTTTGGGCTTGTAAGAACTATGATGGAGATGTCCAGTCAGATATTGTTGCTCAAGGTTATGGTTCGCTTGGTCTGATGACCTCAGTTCTGTTGACGCCTAATGGTCAGTGTTGCGAAGCAGAGGCTGCACATGGAACTGTGACACGCCATTATCGTGAACACCAACGTGGTCGTGAGACCTCGACCAATTCTATCGCATCCATCTTTGCCTGGACTCGAGGACTCGAGTTCCGTGCCAAATTGGATCAGAATGCCGCTTTACTCGACTTTGCACTTCAGTTGGAGCGCGTGTGCATTGAGACGATCGAGGCAGGACAGATGACCAAGGACTTGGCTCTGATCATCCATGGCGATAAGCTGAAGCGTGAACATTACCTCAACACATTTGAATTCTTGGATCGTTTGGCTGAGAACTTGCAAAAGAAGCGCGGACGCAAGTCAGCTTTGTAGGGCAAATAATCTTTTTTTTTTTTTGTGTGTGTGTGTGTGTGCAATGGAGTAATAAAAATAAATTAATGTTATCGATAAATTGACGGGCAAGTATTAGGTGTGTTACCAAAGCAAAAGAGCATTGCTCCTTTATCAGAGAGTGTACCCATGACCCATGCATTGATGAAACTTCCATTCCATGACAATTCGATGTTAAATGAATAAGTCGTCGCAATAAAAGGATTTCATCTTCCACATTGTAGCATCGTTGCATCAAAGGGTCCAAACTCAGGAACAAAGCAATAACGCATCAAAACAACAAACATGGGGCCAGGACAGGATCAGCCACGTGAATCTCATCTCATCTCACTCAAGGTGATGCGATTGTCGCGTCCATCACTTGTTACTGGTCATAGTCTCTACTTTGGGTCACCTCATGGGAAATCAAATCTTGCAACGGAAACAGAAACGACACTACAAACAGTTGGGGGCGCAAGGCCCAATATGACCTCTATCCTCACCAATGCACTCACCGAACTATCCCATAGTCAATTGGAAAGAGTCCATCCACCTTCTCCTGCAGCAAAAGTTATTCACCCTACATCTTCCCTTGAAGACCACGAGGAAACTGATGAGGCTCTGGATATGGGGGATTTCGGAGTCTCCGAATTGCTAACCATGCCAGCATCATTTGGAAACATCTACCTTGGCGAAACGTTCACATCATATATCTGTGCAAACAACGAATCTGCACACCCTGTTCGAGATGTGATCCTCAAGGCAGAACTTCAGACCTCCACCTTGCGGTTCGCCCTTTCAGACACTCTTAGTAACCAACAACGACATCAAGCACCCAACTCAAAATTATCCCAGGATACATCATCACCACACCTACAGCAACAACAACAACCACAGTCACCCACAGCCGGAAAACATATTCAGCTCCTAGAATCTGGGAAAACGAATGAAATAATTGTATCGCATGAAATTAAGGAGTTGGGAACCCATATCTTGGTATGCTCGATTCAATATACAACACTGGATGGACAGCAAAAGTCCTTCCGAAAGTTTTACAAATTCCAGGTGATGAACCCACTTTCGGTCAAGACCAAAGTCAACCATCCTTCTCCACCTACGGTCATAAATCAGGAAAGCAACCATAACGGAAGTGTTTCAGTAGCGGCTATGAGTGCCTCAAAAAGTGGACTTGTCTTGTTGGAGGCGGTGATCCAAAACGTCTCTGGGGTGACAATGTGGATTGAGCGGATGCGGTTCGAGGTTGCAGATGCGTTTACGGCCAGAGACCTGAATGTTGTGATTGAGGATGATGACGATGAGGATGATGACGATGAGGATGATGACGATGACGATGACGATGCTACTAAAATTAATGATAATGGTACGAAGGATACAGAGCAATCAAAGGTCAGCATTTTCGGGGAACATGATTACTTTGCACCAAATGATGTCCGACAATACCTCTATGTACTTACACCAAAACCAGGAAAGGAGCTCTTAGCAAAGACAACAAACATCCTAGGCAAAATGGATATTCTCTGGCGATCCCAATTTGGAGAGACAGGTCGGTTACAGACGAGCCAGCTGACACGAAAGCCAGTGCCGTTGGATGAGATTGCAGTCCAAGTGGTCAAGATACCAGAGAGAATCTATTTGGAAGAGGTTTTCACGATGGAGATTGTGATCAAGAACCAATCCTTGGGAGGATCCACAGCGGCGCAACAACAACAACAGCAGCAACAATACCAATCACAATCACAATCGCAATCGCAAACGCAGTCATCTCAGAATCAATCCAATCAACCGCAACCTGGTCAAATATCCCGTTCAAGTTCCACGCAATTTTCAGGACGACCAGCAAGTCCAAGTCTTGGTATTCTAGCGAAACCTCCAGCGGCGGTTGCAAGGGGAGGCGTAGTTCCAACCAATCGTTCATTTGATACATCTTCAGGGCAATCGAGTCAGCAACAACAACAACAACAGCCACAACAACATCAACAACATCCACAGCCATCATTGGCACAGGATCAAAATTCGATGAAATTAATTTTGACAGGTGTGAAACAAAAGATGGGAGCGGTCCTGTTGAGTGGACCGAACAGTCGGCAGTTGGGGGCTGTTCCTGCAGGGGGCGAAGTACGGGTTCGATTAGATTGGTTCCCGTTGGTGGGAGGCGTGCAAAAGATCGGAGGTATTCGAATTGTGGATATCATTTCTGGATACACAGTCGAGGTAGATCATTTGACAAACTGTTTTGTTGAGCATACGTGAGAGAAAGAAAAGAAAATAAAGATACAAACACAAATAAACATAAGATGAGTTCCATAAATGAATGAATATTCATTCACAATGCCTTTCATTTGTATGGCTCCCTGGTTTTTTGTTTCAGAACATGTGTTCTCTTTCTTTCTCTCTTTCTTTCTCTCTCTCGGTCTATCTTGCTCTATCTCAATCTCCTCGCTCAATCTCCAAATTTCTTTTTCATTGTAAACAGGGCAAGAAAAAGAAAAAGAAAAGGAAAAAAGCTCCCATGCTATGCAATGTCCTCCCCGTCCTAGTTCGCCACTTTTATCTTTTGCAATTAAAATTGCATCTTCTTAGTCATTACTATATTGTTATTTAATATTAATATTGTCATTGCTATTAATTTAGTTTACTGTTATTATATCATAACCGCTATTGCTTTACTATTTTTTTTTTTTTTTTTTTTTACCTTATTATTATTTACTGCTTTAATGTATTCCCATAACTATGATGTCTGTTATCAAGAAAGGCAAAAACGCACAAATAAAGTCGAATGATCGAATATGATGCCATCGAACCGACAGAAAATAAAAATCTGTATGGGTCTACAAGACAACGAGAAACAGAGCTGGTCGGATCGCTCGACTCTTTAAAGTTTTATTACAAATCGGCGCTTCTTTCCCATCCATCCTCCCCCATCTGCATCCGCATCTGCAACAAATCTTTTTTATCTGCGAGAATGAGATTTGAAGAGATTAAGACATGTGACAAAAAAAAATCGGTTATTCGCCTTTTTCTCATTCGCTGATAAGCAAAACTTGACGTGACTTAAACGGTTCTGCAACATCTCCCTTTCTCCATTGAGATGGAGAGAAAGAATGAAAAGAAAAAGAGAGTGGGGTATAAACTAGATGGTTTAAGATATATATCGCACATAATAATGGGTAATACAGTGAACCAGGCACAGAGAGAAAAAAAAGAACGACCTAACCCACAGGTTGTGTAATAAACAATCGTGGGAATTAGGAAATTAAAAAAATAAGCCGATAAATAAAAATAAGCTCTATTGACATGCCCTGTGCGGGGAGGGATGAACAAATGGCGAATGAGTGTGGGAAAGAAAAGAAAAAGAAGAAATGAACGTGGCAGAGCACAATGTTTTTCCTATTCTTTCGCCTCTTCCCCCTTTTTTCTTCTCTCTTCTCTTTCTTTGCTTCTTCATAGTCATAGTCCAGCATCCCGTCTCACCGTCCTTTTTAGGAAAGCATTCAAAGTGAAACCAGGGTATTTTGTGGGGCATCAAGGAGTATAGTAAAATGACATAATTTGCGACTCTACTAATCCATTGGACGTAAAGAAGAAAAAAAAAAAAAAAAAAAAACCTGCGATCGTCCGACTATCTCCTACCTCTACTCCACCAGGGTGTAAAAAAAAAAAAAAAAAAAAAAAAAAAAAAACGGTAGAAGATCAACAGCCAGACAGCCAACAGGTTGCAATACTAAACCAACCACAATCCCCACAACCTCATTCTAAGAAAGCAAGTGGACTCTTTAGTTTTTTTTTTTTTTTTTTTTTTTTTTACAAGTAATAAATAGGCTTTGGATCTCCCACATTTACTTCTTTGACTTGACATGACAAAAAGAATAAAAAACAATTTCAACTAGTTTCTGTTCCTCCTCTCCCTTTTCATATTATCTCGTATCCATAATTGCTCAATCTTCCGAGTCAGAGATACAATTGTTTGTCTGAAATCCTTCTATATCCTCACCACATCTTATACCTTACATCTCACATCTAAAATGATCTCCGATCCTCACTTCAATGTAAGTTGGCCTTAATTTTTTAATTTGATCGTTTATTTTTTATAGATAGTACTAAAAAAAAAAAAAAAAAAAAAAAAAGAAAAGAAAAGGAAAAGAAAAGAGGATAGTTTTTAAAAGAACCTACTACAGTTTAATTAAAAGAATAAAGAAATAAAAGTAAAAAAGGAAAGAGCGTTGCCAATTCGTGTCGTCAATTGCTTGCATCAGGCGCAACTTTGTGCTCACGATTAGAATTAATAACCCTTTTTCTTTTATTTTTTTTATCTTTTACATTGCGTTCTTCTTTAATAGAAAGATGCTGTCATCTCATCAATACCCAAAGGAAGATCCTCAAAAGATAACATGTCAGCCATCTCACGGATGCCTTTACCGTTTTTTTCAAGTAATAGGGACAAGACCTTTGGCCCTGAACAAGGATTGAACCCCAACAAATCAACAATCAACAGCCCTGAACAACCACCTTCCTCTTCTTCTTTTACCCTAAATGTAAATCATACCCTTCCTTGGTCAAAACGCTTCGCTCAAGCAAAAGCGGTCAGACCTCTGACTGTTTCCACCAATTCCTCCTCCTCCTTCTCTTCTTCCTCTATATCCTCCTACACCTCCTCCTCCTTTTCTTCCCTCTCTTCCCTTTCAATTTCCCTTGGTTCAAATCATCCGGGTGAAGGTGGCAGTAATGTTCGTGAACTTTTTGCTACTCGCTTCAGACACTTCCGTAGCTCCAGTGGCTTCCTGTCATTCGCCGTGGGTCTCGCTCTTTTCGTGGACGCGTTATGTTATGGGGTCATCATGCCCATTACCCCTTTTATCCTCGAGGATCTGGGGTACAATTCCACAGCGAATGGCGGGCTTGTTGCGTGTTATGGTTTTGGTCACTTTATTGCTTCGCCCATCGCGGGCATCATCTCTGATAGGTTAAACAATCGCCGGAAACTGATGATTGCCGGACTAATATCCTTATTGATGTCCACCTTCCTGTTTATGGAATCCACAGAGAGCTTTTCGGTAAGTTCTAAAGAGCATTTTTATTTTATTTATTCATTTTGACGCAGCAATCAATGCTAAATAACTTAACTTTATATTTTTGTTTCCTAACTTTTTTTTTTTTTTTTTTTTTTTTTTTTTTAAAAAAAATTGTTTTATCAAGCTTCTTTTGCTTTCTCGCTTCTGCGCTGGTCTCGCAGGAGGCTCGACTGTCACTCTAGGCTTCGCTTTGCTCTCTGATACCTATCCTTCAAACCAGTTGGGAGTCGAGATGGGCAAGGCCTTGGTTGGTCAGGCCGTTGGGTTGATGGCTGGCCCTCCCCTAGGAGGTGCTCTCCTTGAACATGTTGGTCCAAGAGCTCCTTACATCTTTTGTTTGGTCCTCATCGGGCTTGATCTTTGTGTTCGCCTGTCATTTATCGAGGCACAGAGGGAGAAAGTGAAGGCTATAAAGGACTTTTTGAGAAATAATTACAATCAACCCCTTGATAGGATCACAGTCCAGAGTCCAAGTGATGATACATTGGACTACAACTCTACTTTGCCATCAATGACCACAACAACATGCACATCCAGATTTGAGACGATTAAAGGCCTTCTCTCGAGTAAACGTTTGATCACTGCGCTGTCGATCAGTTTCTTGGATGGCTTTCTCTTTGCAGGTAAAAGAAAGAAAAAAAATGAAATAAAAGTGCTTTTTCTTTTTTTCTTTTTTTTTTTTTTTTGTTTCATGTCGTAATTAGCAATTGACACATTTTTTTCCCTCCTTCTTCTTTATTTAAACAAATCCAGTGTTCGAGCCAGTGTTACCTCTTTACCTAAGTCGTCAATTCAATCTTTCAGAGACCCTGATCGGTCTCTCCTTTCTTGCTTTAAACCTTCCTACGTTCATATCTCCCATTGCCGGCTGGTTCTCGGATAAACATGGAGCAAAGATCATGTCTGCTGTTGCGATTGGATTCTGTACTATCTTTGTGGTCCTCCTCGGTCTACCTGGAAACCCTCTTTGGGCTATTGTCCTCCTGTTGACTGCGATTGGATCCATGTTCTCAATCTACTTGACCCCAGTCCTGGGTGAAATTTCGGCCGTAGTTCGGACCACGGGTGCAGGCGATGGATTTGCTAGGGCACTCGCGTGTTCCAACATGTGTTTTTCACTGGGGACAGCTCTGGGATCTTTATTAGGGACAGTTGTTTATGAGGGAGCAAGTATGATCTGGACCTGTGTCTTGATCGCCATTGCGAATATGTGTGTGTTGCCATTGGTGTTGTTGTTCATGGGTGGGAAAGCTCAGAAGGCAAGGGATCAAGCACAATATGAGAAGGATATGTTGCAGATTGATACGATGTGGAGCAAGGTTGAAGAAGAACAACGGAAACTACAGCAACAACAGCAACAACATCAACGTCAAGAACAAGAGCAGCATCATTATCATCACCATCATCATCAATTGACAGAGAAATTTGATGGTGAGGAGATGGAGGAGGTCATTATTGTGAGTGATGATAAAGTTATACCCCCTTCAAAAGCCTAAAAAGAGGACCGGAAGGAAAAAAAAAAAAAAAAAAAAAAAAAGACTTACAAGACACGCTTATATACCTTATACTCCCACCAATCTATTCAATCTTCTATTTCTTAAAGTCGTAGAGGTTTCACAATGAGCTAAGAGATTTGTTTCAGACTAAGCAGTCACATCACGAGCCTAACAATCAATAATTTTTTTTTTTTTTTTTCAATAAATGCGCTAGAGTCCTCGCCAAAAAGTCATAAACTGGATATATTTTAAAATACTCAATTTGAATTAGAATTTGAAGAACAAAAAAATTACGTACCAAGACAGAAATTCATATACTTTTTGAATAGAATGAATGATTGGATGCCATCAATTCAATCGTCGTTCTTGATTAAAAATACTAGAATTTGCTGGGAATGGACAACCTCATCCTCATTGCCAACCTACTTTACTCGTACTGTTGAAACAGTGGATCTTACGCCAGATACTGGAAGCATGTTTGATTGTGAAAGAGAATAGAGGAATATCTTGTTGATAACAGATCCGTAAAAATTAAAACTTTGAAGTTTGTACGAATTTTAAAAATGGAAGTATTCTATTCAATTTAAAAGCCTGAAAAATATATCCAGTTTATGACTTTTTGGCGAGGACTCTATTTGCCCTTCCAAAAAATGAAGACCCCAATGATAGGTTCCTTAAACCCTTCACATACATACAGTCGTCCCTCAGTAATTCGTAAAATTTTTGAGGGAACTGGTCTGTTATTATTCACTCCAATTCAATTTCAATTATACATATTGGTGGGCTCCTTTATTCTTTTTTTTTCTCATTTTTTGAATTTTTCATATTTTTTTAAACAGCCACCCTTTGTGTGTTTTGTATGCAGAATAGTGAAAAATACATAGGGTGGCTGTTTAAAAAAATATGAAAAATTCAAAAAATGAGAAAAAAAAAGAATAAAGGAGCCCATCAATATAACTGAAATTGAATTGAAGTGAATAAAAACAGACCAGTTCCCTCAGTAATTCGCGAATTACTGAGGGACGACTGTACATGATAATAATAATAATAATAATAATAATAATAATAATAATAATAATAATAATAATAATAATAATAATAACCAGGTTTCAATGGCAGGTCCCTTCAACTCTTGATACATAGTATATAACCAGATACCCATGATGAGTTTCCTCAACCCCTAAAGCATAGAATAACTAGACCTTAATGATGGCTTGCTTCAACTATTAATGCATAATAATTCATTAGTTCCTTCAAACGTCGCCTATGAGCCTCAAGCGTATGCCTTTTAATAACCACATCTCAATGATTGGTTTATTCAAACGCTATTAATACGGCCATGAGTTTGAGACGCTTTGTCGCTCTTTTTGGTTAGTCCTTTTCAATTATAAGAGTTTTGTTAAGTAAACCATTTATATTTGAAAAGGGGCTAACCAAAAAGAGTGACAAGCTTGACCTTAACTTTAATTGAGAAACATGGTCTGTGCCTAGGGGTACGGACTACAATCACGATCGCTTTAAAGATAAGCCTCAGGACTATTGGAGGCCATATGGCATCGATGAAAATATCTCAGTTGGGGATCTTGCCCACTTCGCGCGCTCGTACCTCTGTATCCAGTCCACATCAACTGAGTCTGAGCGTTTGTTCAGTAAGGCAGGGCTAGTCCTCTCTCCACTTAGGATCAACCTCAGGGATCGAAATGTGCGCAACATCATTTTTAGTCACAGCTTTGAGAAGATTCGGACTTTGTTAGACTTACAATGAAATAAATTAAGCGTTTTTATCTACACTGCGCGTCAACAGTGTTGTATTTTGTCCACTACTTGTGAAAGTAGTATAAAGTGATCGGCAATATTAAGTTTTAATCGCTTTATTCTGAAAGATGCTTCTATATTTTGGACTCCATCAATGAAACTCGCTATATTTTAATCAGTGCTCCTATTCGAACTGAAACTTTGTCAATTATGATGTTTCAGATTAAAATAATAAATATCAATTGACAAAGTTTCAGTTCGAATAGGAGCACTGATTTTAATGCTCAGACGGAGGCCCAGGCCGTTGTGATGACATAAGGACATCTTCCTTTGACTTTGCAGCTTTTTTTCTGATTACTCATCGTAATGTGGTAATTCTTCATCTATTAATTCTCGAAGCTAATATCTAGGATCAACTAGAGGATTTACAAACCACTCATCAATTTCAAAGAATGTATTGATCAAGCAGATGTCGGGCGCGTTTCACCCCTTTCTTTTATGAGAGCGTTCTTGAGTTAGAAGACAAGTCAACTAATAGGACATTGGATAGGCCAGAGAGCAACTTTAACATGGCATTATGTTTAAATTTTACTTTGATATCCCGATGAGAATATGCCGTATCGCCATGCCGGTTGAAGAAACAAATGATAAAAAAACTATCCCTCATACCATTTTTAATGATTTACACTTAACATCTGCCTCAAGAATAAAGTATATATTCCACGGAGTGACAACCATGGTGCCTGAGGGATAGGGACTTCAGCATTGCTAAGCCAGGGCAAGACTTCTTTTACTAAACCCAAAAAGAGTGGCAAGAGAAGAATCTAGTACAATCGTATCAGTGTTACTTGGCGTCACAGACGATGATTATCGGTCTTTAAGATCTTTGAGATATAGAGATATAGAAGCCTAGCTATGGAAGTAGAAGTTGGCTTTGACTATATATAGTCAACATTAGTAATAAAGAGAAAGCAGAGGCAGAGATGCCGAGCATTTGCTGAATTATTAAAGTACATGGCCGCTTTGCGAGACAAGATCAGACAAATAAAGTTAATCTGTCAACTGTTTGTGGTATTAAGTGTGTCTTTAGGGATGATGCAGAAGGTTCTCTGAGAATTGAATGAGAATGGCAATGGCAATGGCAATGGCAATGGTAATGGTAGTGCGAAAAGAGAAGAAGCCTGTTATGCATGCAGATGATTGTGGATTTTTTTATTCAAGGACAAGCCTGTGTGCTTTTCTTCAGGTTAGCGCTGTTTGTGCAATAGGTTTGTGCTGTTTTCAGAACAGGTTCGCGCTGTTTGGGCATTAGGTTTGTGCTTGTTTTCTTCCAGCACGTGCTGGAAATCGAAACATCACGCCCTTTCTCTTCAGGCTCAGATCTCTGCACAAGTGTGACTTGCATTGCCAAGCTCTTTTTTTTTTTTTAACGTACAATGGTATGAAGCTTGGGAGTTTTTTGGGTCTTCAAGGAGTATGTGATGAGCATAAAGGGTTGTATGGTGCACAGGCACAACATCTTAATAACATGATCAACTCAAGAGAATGTGTCAATGTTCCTTCAAAAAGCTGAATGGCCTATATGAGGAATGAACAAATATTGACAGGGTATATTGCCTCTGCTGCACAAGCAATGATAATAAACAGCCATTTTATGCAGGAATCCCATATAACACCGCACATATTGTATGTTAACGATTGTCTTTATAGTAGTCCACTTAACTTTCAGTGGACATTCTAACAACAGTCCTGCATCGTTCTTAGGGGCTCAATTGCAATAGAAGCTTTTAAGGCTATCATAAACTGTAATCAAAGTTGTATTATAGTAAAAGCGGAAAAAGTGATCAGTTGACATCTGACAAATTCAGATTTATAATCCTTTTCAAATGTCCCCTTCGATGATCATTTCAGTCCTCCTGGGGAGCAAGTAGAGTGTGAACAAACGTTTATCTGAGGGACATGGAAAATGAGAAATGAGTTCTTTGCGCACTAAAGATTGTCACGTCACAATGACCCAGAAAATGGCACGTGGCTGATTTGAAAAAAATATTTTCTCACACATCGCCTAACCTTAAAATAAAGGATCAATTGCAATTGTCGCTCCTTTCTTTCCTTTCTTTCCTTTGCTTCACTTCATTTTTGCACTCTCTCCCTCTTCCTTTATCACTTTTTTCATATTTCACCCCAGTTTTGCTCCCATCAATTTTGCTCTTTTATTTATTCCAAGCCTTCATCTATTGCCTTTCCTTTCCTTTCCTTTCCTTTCCTTTCCTTTCCTTTTTTTTGCCTTACACATTTTTCATTTTTGTTTTCATACAGCGACCACGAGTGTGAAAGAGTATAGAATATACCTTTGCCTATTTAACCATCATTCTCCCTGCATTTCAACCACACTCAGTCCCACTCATCTTAATTTTCAATGGCCACCACAAGGAGCCAAGCACAAAAAAAAATGACTGCAAATAAGCCTGAGGATGCCTCCACACTCAATAAACGAAAAAGAGCAAACCAGCACCCACAACGAAAAAAGCGCGCCATCCCACTGCTGCTGCTGAACTGCGTTGTCGAGGGAGAAGCAACGTCGTTCCCAGTAGAGATTTTCTGCGATAAAACGGTCGGGATGCTCAAGCAAGCCATCAAGGTAGCAAAGAAGCCAGAACTTGATCATGTTGCTGCAGATAAGCTCATCCTCTACAAGGTCTCCATCCCTGACAAAGGCGAGGCCATCTTTGAGTCAGAAATCGAGTCAAAAGAGGCTCTTACAGTCGCATCAAAGGAGCTTGGGGACATATTTAATTCTGAACTTCCAAAGGAAACTATCCATGTTTTTGTCAAGCCACCACAGCGAGGTATATCTTTGGCTCTTGATGGACTGATTGTTGATATTTCCAGCTGATGAAGCTTGGTTTATATCTTAAACGGCCATGTGCATAATATCACCATTTGGTTTGTGTCTTGATAACTCAACGTTCTTTCTCATTATTCGCTTTTGATACTTAGCTCAGAAAAGAAAACAAGATGGAGATTCTGGTGAGTGCTTTTGGCCGAGAACCTGGTTATTGATCATTTTAGAGTGATGTGCAATAAATCAAGAATATTAACTTTGATCACTCTATCTCCTTTATCAGACTCACCCTCTAAAAAAGCTCGTCCAAGTATAAGTAGAGATGCTCTTATGGATGCGATTACAGAAGCAGGGCTTGTAACGAAAGGGATAGTGGATGGTGACCCTGACATCTCGCCTCTCAACTCGAAAGAGAGGGTCAAGCTGCTTTCGTACATGGGGGCGGCATCAAGAGGTAGTATTTACCACAGCATTATTAGCGTGGCTCGCGAGCTCCGAAATTCTGGTGGTATCAAGGGTTCCAAAATATTGACTGCCCCTGAGGGTCGTGTCTTCCCTGTTGTCGGAACAAGGCATCTTTATATCAGAGAAGAATATAAAAAGCTTTATGACCATATTACAACCTTAATCAAGACTCCTCGTACAAGATGGCGCAAGAACCGATACTTTGTCACTGGAACGCCTGGAATTGGGAAGTCAGCCTTTTTGGTCTACTTTGCCGTCCGCCTCCTTGCAGAGCATGACGAAGAGAATCCACCGATTATTGTTTTCCATGAAAAGAAGAATACCAATTGTTATGTTTATGGAGGAACAACTTGCCAACGTAAAGGGAATATAACGATGTTCGAAGATTTCCTTGACCAACGTGAAACGTGGTATTTAGTTGATAGTGGTGAAAATCCTCAACCAGGTATAGCCAGGACGATATTTGCGGCATCACCAAAAACTCTCAATGAGCAGTACGCTGAACTCAGCAAGGAAACTACACCAATTAGCTACTATCACATGTCACTCTGGAGTTTGGACGAGCTTAAGGAATGTAGAGCCAATGTAGAGGATTATCATCCAATGGATGAAGAATTTTTGGAGGAGCTTTTTTACAAGTTGGGGGGAGTGCCAAGACAGGTTCTACAGTGTCCAGTCGATGTACTATCTGAAAAGCAAAAAGATATTAACCGCGCTAAAGACGCTGCGTTTTCCCGCGTCAATGCTGCCATTAACGCAGTCAGGAACCCAGCAGATCTTGTAGCGCTCTTTGCACGAGGAAAAGAAGCGAGTGAATTTAGTGGTCGTTTACTCCATAGAGTTCCCACTTCTGACCACTTCGGCTTCCACCTGGTATGGGCATCTCGTTGGGTCGAATCACGGATTATCGAGGAAATGAAAGATGACACTTGGCGCGATGTGTTGACGAAACTTGTCAAACGCGGAGAGGATATAGATAAAGGCCCACTGTTTGAAGTCTATGCTTATCACTTATTTCGACGTGGTGATATTAGATTTCCCTTTAGGGATCTTCAGTCAGGCGAAACAGGATTTCTTGATTTTCCAGCAAAACCAGAAGTGGTGCATATCCGGACTTCAAATGAATTATCAGGGCTCACTCAAGCAGCTGACAAGTTGTTTGTACCATCTATACCCACCTTTCCGTGCATTGATTTTGCATTGGGGCCCAACAAGCTATTTCAGGTTACAGTATCAGAGGAGCATCCGATCAAGCAAGCACCATTCAAGGAGATAATTGAATATATTACTGGACCCTGCTTGAAGGGAGACCAATCAAAGTCGAAGGGAAGTGATGATACCATTTTCCTCTATTTTGCGGTGCCAGGAAACATATATGATAATTTTAAAGTTCAGAACTTTCTTACCACCAAAGATACGGTCGTCAAGAATCCATATGTATGCTTAAAACATGTAAGACAGCGTGTCATAAAAATCGACATCGAAGCTGCATATTCAGGAGGAGCAGCCGGTACGAATCTGAAGAATTAAATCGAATACCAATCAAGTGGATGAAATTTTGTCTTTTTTAAAAAAAGCATTATACCCGTTCCTTGAGAATTTTTTACAATGGCTCATTCTTTATGAATGAAGCCATCATCATCCACTTACCTTTTAGACGAATAGATAGAGCGGTTTAATCCGTCCTCCCTTCTACTGGGGCATATAGAACTTTATAAAGCTTCCTGTGATCATCATGCGATCTTGTGTGCAGGATTTTGTGATACTATTATCAAAGAGTTTTGTAAAAACGGATAGAGATGAAGAATCCTGTGGAGAACCCAGTGAGAGTCTGATGATGAGACCCAAAACCATATTATTATCACCAGGACAGCTGGCATAGGAAATTATCCTTTCTCATATGTTTGTCATCTGGATGCTTGCCACTTGCGGAAGACCCATCAATTATTATCATCCAAGGCGCCAGAATGTTTAACCAGGAGCTAAGATGACAGCTCCGCTCTAAAGACATAAATGTCGTTTAAGCCCCATGGTGCGTACACGGAATGGCAACCTGTGATCAATGAGATCATATTAGTTGTATGTTCGGCCAATTCAGTGTCAGTATGTGAAGACGGTGCGTCTTGAATCTCTAGGCGTCCAGGGACATGGAATAAAAAAACATCAAGAATGTGGCCAAGGCTGCCACGCGCTTGACCGGTAAAATGTGATACAATATTGGATTGTGTCGTCAGTATATTCATAGTTCTCGGTATATTAATGCTACATGCTGTTGAGGGCATCAATCTCGCCAGAATCATCCCCTCTCACATCAATTACCTTGGGAGCCATGCTAGACGGATGGGAGATTAGGAGGAAAAGGTCCTTGATGTCTGGGATATCCACGCTTGTTTATAATCTCACCAAATGTTCTGTGTCTTGCGTTCATAGGCGGTTAATCGCAGTTTGGTTTTCGTATACCCCTTGAAGAACGTAAACAAAAATGCCTTTATGTTTTATATTTGATACTCATCAATTTACCCTTTTTACTTGTCCGAAGGTAGAATGACGCCTAGCCAATGGATGCTATTGCAAGTGTGTCCACAGGTCCTTGGAGAAGTCCATTGAGGAAACTCGGTTCCATCCAGGACAGATTTATTCCCAGCACTCTTCACAAAAGTAGCAGAATTACTTGGTGGAGTTGGCTTTAATTGCCTTGACAAGCTCCTGCAAGATTGGTTCGACAATCTAATCAGGGCCCTTTCGGAGCGGCATCAAAGCAACTCTAGGTTTTTGGTTGTTTTGAACGAGGCGCAGGATATGGGGAGGGGAGGCTAAATACCAGTGTATTAATAACGACGACACTATGCGACCAATATTATCAGAATTCTTTCATGGATTGGAGGGCTTATCAGGGGATTTACCACGAATTTGCATAGTTCCTTGCGGGATAGGCTTTTGTATTTATGATCCTGCTTGGGTTAAGAGAACTGGCAAAGCTTCAAGGAATATCGAGAAGTTCTCGATGACTCGAGGTTCAAGAGTGCAGTATCGTTTCTTAGATGGGATAATCAAGCAAAAGTCCGGACATACTTCAAGACACTTGTGCGATATTTGGAGAAATAAAGTTCCTCAAGCACTGCATCAAAGCTGAGAGATCATTTTAATGATCAAGCAATCGAGATGCTATATGCTTGGCCCTGTGGTCGTCTCCGTCCAATGATCACTATAATAGAGAACGTCATTGGACGTGCCGATGCCGGCCTTTGGAAGCAAGAAATCAAGGGCCTGGTGTGGTCGCTCACTGATCCAGGATATGAAGAATCTGGTAATCTATGCCATGAGTAATCAAGGATTCTGAAGCGTATCAACAAAGGGGATACAGGAATTAAAACCAGTGTCGACATCAGGGAAACCTTCGGTCGAGCCGTAAAGAATGAATAGATTACTATATAGTAAAGACTTGATATTGGAATACAATGAGCCTGTTCCGGTCGAGGCTTCGTTTGCTCGAATTGTCGTTAATCAAAGGAAGAAGGAGTTTACGATTATCGTTGAGCCAATAGCATTTAACTTATTTGAAGTGGATGACCCTGGATTGGTTAAATTGGTTAATAGTGTGTTGCTAGACGCCCCTACGTCTGGCACAAAGGGCACACATTTTGAGTATTTCAGTCCCGCTTTGTTTAATTTCAATCTTCCAGAATTATAACAATGAACGAATTCTTGGATACTCACTGTAATAAAGACTCAATACATAAATCCAAGTTAATCTCGCTTTTTTTTTGTTTCCAAAAGAGAACCCGTCTGGACCAGATATCGTCTTTGTACTGGAATCGGAGGGTAAATATTATCCTGTTTCCGTACAGTCAAAAATCGGTGATAGGGTCAAGAATTAAGGATGCCCACAATACAACTTGCCATAATTGCCTCAAGGAGCACCTCTCATCATCATCCTCTCTACCCGTTTTTTGCTCGAATGACATATTCTTGTTGCTGTTGTTTAGGCCTTACTTATCAAGTTGCCTTATCATGTTGTCTTATCATGAACAAGGCGATTATTCAGTAGCTAAAGCCAAAGAAGTTCCTGCCATCAAAGACAAACGAATAGAAACGACGTCCTTAAAATTAGCTTGTTGAACTTCCTTGAAAGCGCAAGGGAGTCCCTCAAGAAGCCAGAATTGACTCGAGTTGTGGAGGATGAGGGAGAAGGAGGCAAGGAGGACATCAAAGAGAATTGCCGATAAAGCTCAAGCTATGGAAAATAGGGAAGAGCTGAGCAAACCCAGCGGATCAAATAAAAGAAAAAGTGAGTCGACTCAAGTGGAGGACAACAAGCCCGATAGGCCAAGCAGAGATAAGGGACTAAGGAAAAAGTAGCGACCGTTTCTTTTACTTCTTTTTACTCGCCATTGTTTATGACAATGGCACAGACACAATTTTGTAATATAGCACTAATAGATAAATTAAAATATCGCTATTCAATAAACCTGAGCAAGGAGAAGTGAGCACACCAAGCGGATTGCCGCAGCTGCATCATCAGAATTTTCTCAAGCAAGTAGCAAGTTGTTTCTATTGTCTATTCCTATCTTTCCACCCACAAGTTTTGTGTTGGGGCCCGACAAGCCATTCCAGGTCACATCAGAGGAGCATTCGATCAAGCAAGCATCATTCAAGGAGATAATCGATAATATTACTGGTTGACATGATTGTACAGTGTTACAAGATTACAAGGTTACAAGGGAGTATGAGTGCAGAGAGGCAAAATGTTGTTGATCTCATCCTTTATTTGTTTCTGTCGAGAAAATGTTACGTTCAGAACTGTACCTGATATGCTTTTAAGATAAGCATCTCTTCCTTTCCATTTTCCTTAAACACATTGTAAAGGACACACGATATGAGAAAACCTGCTACGATAGAAATTTGATGGATGTTGAAACCGTCTCACAATGTATTTAATGTTCTTCCTATCGTTACCAACTTTGACCACGTAGGGATCTTTGAAGCGCATCACTATTTTGACATTCGATAGAAGCTGAGGTGGTAGAGTAGCAGAAACAGCGACAAAGCAAGTGCCTCGATCTACAAAAGAGCGCAGATATCCAAGTTTCTCGTAATCCGTTCTGAATTTTCCACCCCATGTCCCAATGCAGTGTGCCTCATCCACAACTGCTGCAAGCAATCGGCGCTTCCAACACTGATCCATCCAAAGTGTACTGAGCGCATTGCTCGCAAAGAGGATCTCTGGTGAAACGAATATGGCTTTATAGCGTCCTTCTATCAAGCTTTGGATCGGAATGAACATTTCGCTCTTAAGATGAATGCTATTGATGCCTAATGATGTCAGCTTTTCAACCTGCTCGTCACCCAACACCTTCAGTGGTGTAACAATGAGTATGGTGGTTTTTGGCCAAAGTATTAGAGGGAAAAAATAGATCAACGTCTTCCCCCATCCAGTACCAGCGATTAGGATGCAATCTTGACGTTCTTCTATCTTAGTCACGATGTCAAGCTGTTCATTTTTCAAGTCAAATCCGAAAGCTTTCTTGGCCTCTTGACGAATATCCTCGGAGGGAATGGGAGGAGTTAGTTTTTGTGCGAACATTTTTAATTGTTTGATTTATGATTTTTTGTTTTTACTTTTACTTGTTTTTATTTTTATTTTAGTTTTTTGTTTTTGCTTTTGTTTTATTCTTTATTTTTATTTTGTTTTAATTTTTTATTTTGTTTTTGTTTTTGTTTTGTTATTTTTATTTTGAGAGGTGAAGTTCTAAAAAAAATCTATTTAATGTGCACTAGTGAGAAGAATGAAGAAAGAGGAGGAGAAAAAGGGAGTGAGATGAAGAGAAGATGAGAGATGAAGAGAAAGGAGATGAGAGATGAAGAGAAAGAGAATGAGGGAGAACTGTAGTGGGTACAGACGGAAAGAGGCAAGGCCATTTCCTCGCAAAAAAACGACTTTGACAAAAAAGAGAGCCATTCCCGTGGAAAAACGACTTTGACAAAAAAAAGAGAGCCTCACCCCTACGATCTGCTTGACTTTGACAAAAAAAAAAAAAATTCCCCTGCGGTTCGTGCGACTTAGAAAAATTTCAAAAAAAAAAATGTTGACCCCTTTAAAATCGCAAGTTTGGTCCCAGCGTTAGTGCAATGCACATAAGCCACACAGGCTGGTGACGAGCCTACGACTTGGGCATGGTCGAGTAGAGTGTGCCATTACTATCCCCTACTATATACATCGGATACATCAGATGAGAAAGGGATTTGTCATGGGAGCTGTGGAGGTAAATTGCTCCGACCTGAAGATAGGGCTTGCCGACATGAACCAGATCAACAGATATTATCTTTTTTTATCTTTGAATGTCCTTATTCAAAAAAAAAAAAAAAAAAAAAAAAAAAAAAAAGTACGCAGAGAGTTCATATTGCTATATCCTTTACCTCAATTAACAGCCACTTCTACCTTTCAAACAGAGGTGTGCTTTTTATGTTGATTGTAGTCTTTATGAAAGTTAGAAATGAAAAAAAGAAAAAATATCTACAATCTTTTTCAGAACATGTAAGATTACTGTTACACTTTTTTTTATTGATGGCAGAATAATTGACAAGTAAAATCGATATGAATTATGTAGGCAGGGGAGAAAATGATATGCAATAAATAGAACTTTTTTGTCTTTTCTCTTCCCCCACCTTTCTTTCTTTCATGTTGTACACAAATAGTCCATAGTATTTTTTTTTTCCTTTTTTCCTTTTTGCTTGCACCTTAGACGCAAGCGGCAGCTATTGTTTGAGGGTTGACCGGAATTTGGAATGAAGCAAGATCTTTTGACGCAGAAGCAGCTACACTCTCCCCGACTTGAGCCACGGTTGATGTAGCCCGTTCATCCTTTGAGGGAACCGGAGTCATGGGTGGAGTAGCAACACTTTCCAAAGAGGATGATCGTACGATACCACTACTAGCGCCATTGCTATTACTGCTATCGGTCCCTACAAGAAGAGGCCCTCCCTTATGACCACCTATCTCCTGTTCTGGAACAGGGGTTACAATCTCATCCAGATTCAGAGCCACGGCAGGGCTGGCTAACGATTCGATCGCATTAGCTTGCATCAAAGCTTCCGCAATCAACTTTGCTTTCTCTTCCAACGGCGGTACAGGAATGGACGATGGTGGAGAGGGCGGAGATGGTAATGCTGAATCGGTTGAATTGGTATTGTTGACAGCCACCGGTGCTGATTTCGGTTGATTAAGAGAGTCTGCTGTAGGATAGAGTGAATCTCGGAATGTATTGGTTGTGAGGTTTGAAAAGATGATTCTAGGAGTCTCTTCAGCTGCTGCGCTCAATAGCGTCTTTCCATGGTCTTGTGTGAAAGCATTAGCGGCTGTTGTAGTTGCTGTTGCTGTTGCTGTTGCAGGAGGTAAGACTGTAGATGGCGCATCAATAAGAGGATCGTCATGATGAGGAGGTTGTTCTTGGGTATCGACAACACCGTTAGGGAGTCCTGCGGCCTTTGGCTTGGGACGATGGGTATCAACGGCTTCGATGTCAACCTTGAATCTCTTTTCCTCACATTTATATGCGCCCGGTGTCAATTGAATTAAAGTGTGTAATGGGATCTTGATATATGGTAATCTCTCGAACGAGTAGTTCATAAAGTAGGCATAGAGACATCTCAAAATCGCCTGATGTCCAATGACCAAGACATGATCCTGTCGCTCGAGGTCCATAATCACAGACTCCAGACGTGCAACTACATCACGGTAGGACTCGCCATCCTGATACCGGTAGTTGTACTTGTCATTGTCACGGTTGGCAAAATCTTCAGGAAAGCGCTCCTCGACTTGCTCATATGTCAATCCATCGGCTTTGCCAGCCTCGAGTTCGTCCAAAGCCTTCCAAGCGACCTTTTTGTGAGGGAGATGAGCTGCAGTAGCAATGGTTCTCTTCTTGGTTGATGTCCAAACCTAGAAAAAGAAAAAAATTAAATAAAATTAAATAAAATTATTATTTTGTTGGGTTAGAAACTTTTTTTTTTTTTTTTTTTTTGATGATGTTGTAATAGTGTGTTGTAATAGTGTGTTGTAATAGTGTGTTGTCATGCATTAAAAAAAAAAAAAAAAAAAATCGTGAGAGAAAGTGACCAAGTATCTCCTGAATTATTGTGTAAATATGGCAAGTCCGGTCTGAATCAAAAAGTTTTAATGAAAAAGGACAAAGTGATCGACAAACAAAAAAAGACTGAGGGGAAGTGGGGATGGAAGGTAGTGCGAAAAGGAGAGACCTCAGATTGGTTTTGAATCGTGGTTTGAATTGCATTGGAAAAGAAAATTATTCGGAATCCTATTCCCACCCAAGAAATAAACTAACCATTCAATACATTCGATACATTTATTCAATAACAAACACTTACGGTCAACCGATCCGCATTGGGAATATGTGTTGCCACCAGTGATGGCAATGCCCGTGCGTACTGTTTACCACGAGCCGAAAGATCAGAGTCTCCTCCTAATAGACCCATCACATTAAACAGAGACTCGCCATGCTATTTATTAAATCCATCCCCAGCAAAAAAAAAAAAAAAAAAAAAAAAAGTTAGAATTAGGCTTTACGCAGGGTTAAAATAAAAAAAAAAAATAAAAAAAAATAAAAAATAAATAGCAAGCAATGTAGTTCAAATTAAGTCCTCCTTGTATTACCCTACTAAAGTAAATGGTCTTGGGAGCAACACGCAGGTTCATAAGATAATAGACGATCCTTGACTGAAGGTATCCACGGATGCGGTTGATGATGATGTGGCTGCCCGCATCGACCAACTTTATAAAAGTCAAGTCTCGATCCTGCTCCGTCGTCATGCTCTCGTAATTAGCTTCATAATGACTCACACGGGCTTTAAAATCCTGAAGGGCCAATTCGGGATCCATCTGGGCATAATCCGGGCAAGATCTCTGGATCTCGGTTGCATTTGTTTGATGCCATGCCTCGTTCTCCAGCAGGGCAGACTCGATGAACATGACCTCGACTTTGTGTTGTTCACATTGTTTCAAGATTGAGTCCCGTTTAGCACGAGTTGCATTGGTCGCATCATAAATACCGACCATGGAACCAGCCCCAAACTCTACATCCTCTGTGGCGAACCAATTGAGCATATCGTTGAAGGCTGTTTGACCTGCTTCGGTCCTGAATCGACATCCGACTTGGTTAGAGGGGTCAAAGAAATGATGAGGTTGAGCAGCCCCAACAAGCTTGCGGCGGTAGTTACCGACATTAAAGACCTTTGAATTGATTCCGAGCCATTGAAAATATCGGCAGACTAAAATGGAGTAAACCAAAGACAATGTAACGATGAGGAAGGGAAGGAAAAAAAAAAAAAAAAAGGACACAAAAATGAGACCAGGTGAGGGTTTTGGAACAGGGCGGACTCAAAAAAATACGCAGACGGTGCATGTGCATCGAATTATTGATGCAGATGTAGCCAATCAAAGCGGTTGTAGAAAGGACCCAGAGCATAAATATGCTTCTCAAACAAACATGTGTAATTTTGGGTCATAAAAATAAAAAAACTCTTTCTAAATAAGAGGGTATCATCCAAGGGTAGTCTCGGAACAGCCGAAACCAGCTGTCAGACGAGGGAAAAAAAAAAATAATAAAAAAAAGCTCTTTTTTACTCCGGGATGAGGAAAAAAGAATGTCATGCATTACAATAGAAAGAATACAGTCCAAACATTCTCGTAATTGAACAAGTCTCCTCCCGTTCAAACATTCAAACAAATCAGACGAGAAGAAAATAAAGGCTTTGACAAGCCCAAATATATTTATCAACGAACGATGAACCAATTCCACAAATAGTTTCTCACGAGTACCGTGCACTCCATTTCATCTTTTTAGCGGCAAATAGTGTGCTTGCACATTGATTAATTGATCCCTTTTCCATCCTTGTGAGGTTTTTAATAATAATAATAAAAAAAAAAGTTTTCTTTATTACCTTTCTGTGCTACCAGAGTCTTGGAGGTCCCTGGCAACCCGACCAGCTGTTGTAAGAAAAAAAGAAAAAAGTTGGTAAGAAGTAGGAACGAAAAGTTTAAAGTAAAACCATCTAATACTTTTAATTCACGAGGGCTTACCACACAGGCAACCTTGGAACCTGTTTGACACGTTCACGAGGAAAAGGGTAAAAAGACCGGAGCAAGAGCGCGAGGGAGAGCAAAGGAACAAGAGCGTGATTTTTTAACTTTAGCTTTTCTTCTTCTACCTCTTCCTCCTTTATAGTTCCATTAGGTTGAAAGAAAGAAAAGAAGAAGGAGGAGAAAAGACACCAACCTGGATTAATGCTCATGAGTAGGAGTAGGCGAGGGAAGGATGGGGAAAGAGAGAGTGTAAGAGAGAGAGGGAGAGAGCGAAAACAATTTGACGGGAATGGTTCTTATTGCTGCTGCTGTTATGGTTATTGTTGTAGTTAGTAATGGTGATAGTAGTAGTAGGGAGGTTAGGAATGAAGGGGGATTGAGAAAAGGAGAGAAAGAGAAAGAGAAAGAGAAAGGAGTTTAAAAGAGATTTGAGTGTGTGAATGTTGGTGTGATGAAAAGTGGTCCAGTGTGGGGTAAAAAAAAAAAATTGTCTGGACAAACAAGTAATGTGTCCGTGGGAGAGGTGTTGACTGGTTGCACACATTCACCTGTAAAAAAACGTTGAGGTTATTTAATTTAACTGATCCGCTTTTTTCGATCTCCTCTCCTTCAACATGTGCCTCTTAGTCCATGGTAATGAAAATAGACTTTATTTTTTTTTTTTTTTATTTTTTTTTTTTTAGCTCTCACATTTGTTTCTTTTTTCTATTGCCATTGTTGTTGCTGTTGCTGTTGCTATTGCTATTGCCACTGCTACTGCTTTTGCTGCTTTGGCTGTTGCTTCTTCTGCCTTCTACTTTTGCCTCCACTTTTGCTTCTACTTCAGCCCCTGCTGCTATCACTGTTACTGTCCTTATTATTGTCTCTCTTGTTTTAAGCCTATTGAAGGCATTTCCTTTCTCTTCATCTCTTTTTACTCAAGAAACCCCTTCTATTGGTGCACAACAATTAGATGATATTAGTTTTTTGGCTTGCTTCTTCCATGGCCCAAGTCTATCCTGTTTGCATTTGAGAATGTCTGTGTAATGAGTCCGTGTGTAAAAAAAAAAAAAAAAAAAAAAAAAAAAAAGCTCGAATGGGCGCAATAAAGACAAATTATGCCATCATTCTTACGGGTCCATCAAAAAGGGGGAAGAGAAACGTCTATGGTGATTAGTCTCACAAAATTAAATCTTTGGTCAGAAACAACTTTTCTTCGTATGATTTTTAGATCTATTGAAGCCTCTCGCTTTTGACATTGGACTGGAAAGCATTATTACAAAAGATCCTAACATTCGTATTCACATCCACTTTGATAAAAAAAAAAAAATCGTGCTCGGGTATGAAGAAACGGGATATTCGAACAAGCAACTCATGGTCAGAATGGAGTTCTGAAATGATTCATGTAGATGACTACAGCCTTAAAAATCACCGAATTCCTCTGAAAGCAGAATAACATGGATCAAGTTAATGGTTCTCTTTTATCAGTTTCAATCTACTTCTTTTATGACAGTTGCAGAGGTAAAGAAATAAAACAAGATAAAATAAAAGCGTAGTCTAAAAGGGTTACGTACAATAATAACAACAGCAATAATAACACATTTGTAATAACTAGTCATTATAACAATAACAATAGTAATAAAGCTCTTCGGCGCATATTTTAAAAGGAAACCTCATTGTGCCGAAGCAATTCCAATACAACTACCCAGATCATCAAATTATCACAACCAACTTGAGACCGCCCATAGAGTAGCCAAAGTGCCCGTAGTTGACAACATATTCGTGTATCTAAACTACGCCACAGGAATCACATGCAGGACACTTCTTGAGAGTGGAAGCATCATTGACACCAACAACAACGTGTTTATAGTGCGCCTTTTAACATTCATTACTCATTCTCCTTTTCCTTTCTTATGATCTTCCCTGCCACCACAGTTTCTCATTCTCATTTGTCCCACCTCTATGGACTGTCTGTCATCGCCATCGCCATCCATGGCCTAATTAGCATTTAATTGCAATTTGCTTTCAGCACCTCATTGCATCTGCTATGGCAAATTATAACTTCTTATATTTTATGTTCCTGTTACTTCTCCTCTCACCTAATGGTTCGAATGGTTCGAATAGGAGCACTGATGAAAGGTAGCAAGCATTGTTACGCGTAGCGTAGGCTCGGTCATTATGTTATTACACCCAACCAAAAAAAAAAATAAAAATAAAAATAAAAAATAAAAATAAATAACATCAATAAAATCAATACAAGTTTAATATTATCATTTCCTATTGTGCCAATGGTTCGAATGATTCGAGTATTGAATAGCATTCGAATCGATAACGAACTTACCTCATTCGATTCGAACTCGATACTAATGAAATTCTATTCAAATGGTTCGAATGGGGCTGCAGATGAAGATGGGAGCTTTATTAATGCAAGGTATGAGTGCTATATACATATGCGGCTCCAAGGAATAAAAAAGAGAGGTACAATGAAGTGGAATATCCATCCAGTTTTGCATGTTTGTGTATCAACACCACCTTCGACGATTTCCTCAAACTCATCGCTTCAAGTCCACTCTGGTGATTTCCCAATAATTTCTGATTCGAACCCAAGAAGATGTCCATTTGAGATGAAAGTGCCGTTGACCAGTTCGCTATCCATGCAATAAACGGCTTCAATGGGTGTTCGATCTGTTTCCTTTTCCTAGGCAGTGCTCCTATTCGAAACACTCGAATCCACTTTCACTGACTTCGAATTCGATTCGTTTTCGAATAGAAATCTAAATTCAAATGCTACTCGAACCATTCGAGTCGAGTCATTCGATACTCGAAGGGCGTTATTCGAGTCATTCGAACTATTCGAATCAATCCAGATTAGGGCTTATTCGAATCGAATAGGAGGAGCACTGATCCCGACCAATTTGTTGGATATAATCTTGCTTCTGGCACTTGTTTTTTTGGAGTGGGTTCTTTAGGTTTCGAAACTGTTACCCGCTTGGTTGCTGTCCGCTCAGCTTGTCCATTCCGGAGATAGGATTAGTCCTTCCACCAGTGTTGTTAACAGCATTCACTTTTGGGATTGGAGTTGTTACTGTAGTAAAGATGAATGTGAATGAGTTGATTGGAGAATGAAAATGGGAAGAGGAGAAGTGGAAAAAGAAAAAAGAAAAAAACTCCAGTACTTAAATCATATGTCGCTCTCTTGATGCCATTGTGATATATCAGTCACATGTAAGTAGTAATTTCGCCGATCAATCATTAGTTATCATTTAAAGATTTTCTTTATCCCTGTTAAATCAGTAGGAGGTGATCAATAAAGGGACTTTCCTATCCAAATGCTCGTTAGAAATTAGTGCAATGATGAATCAGAAAAAGATCACGTGTGCTTGATTAATTTGTTCCCTCCATAGTTTTTGTCTGTCAAGCCAAGTCGCGTCTCCTACAGTAGTTTTCTAGCTCCGTGAATAGCTCCAAGAATTCTAGAAGAGCCATAGATCAAAAGCCAAGGCTCATGGCGCCAAGGAACCTTGAATTAAGATTGCATCAGATATGTTCCTCGGATCCTGTGTATTAAGTTTGCTCAACACTTGGAGCTCCGCATGTGGTAGAAGTCATTAGGAAGAATTTGAGTAAGCTTTATTTAGAGTTCTTGAAACGCGTCTCCGCTCCAGCCAAACAAATATAAATATCGTAGACTTGTAACATAAAGAACCTCAGTCTGCAATAAAACTATTCTTGAATCTATTCTAGTCCTTAAGCTCATTCGTGTTTCTCATTTACTTACCTTTCCTTGCAATCGTTTTGTCAGTCCTTGACATTCGAAAACAAATCGAAAACGAACTTACCTTATTCGAATTGAACTCGATATCAGTGAAATTCGATTCGAATGGTTCGAATAGGAGCACCGCTTCTGGCCAAATTATTGAACTTGCGACGCTGCTACTTCTTCCTGATTTTATCACAACCACCCGAAGAGACAAGGCTTCAAGCCAAGAGGCTTTATGGCTCGTTCTGTTCCGGTTGTCATCATACATTGAGCTCGATCGCATGTCCATTATTTTTGTAAGAGATGGCAGTGCAATTTCAAGAATTATCAAGGAAAACATCGGTCTTATTGCGCGACGATTCGAACCTATCTTGATGTGGGATGTGCAGAGACTGACAAGGATGAAGCTTGAAAACTATGCTGCTGCGGTCTCTTGTAAAGGTGGACATCCAAGAGTGTGGTCCTTCGTGGATGGAACTGTCCGAAAAACCTGTCGACCATCTTTTGGACAGAGGGTAATGTACAATGGGCACAAGCGGTACCGTGCATACAAATATCAGGTTCTAGTGGTTCCAGACGGTATCATCATCCACGTAGGCCCTGCACCACTAGGGAAGACACATGATTTGACGATGTGCAGACAATCAAGATTGATGGAGCTCCTCAGGCAACATGTATTTACTTCTGAAGGACTTAGGCTTACTGTCTATGGCGACTCGGCGTACCAACTAGGCCCTCATTACCTGGAACCATACCCTGCTCATGAAGGGACGTCGAGACGAGAAAGAGCTTTCAATCGCAATATGACACAACATCGGGTAGCTGTAGAATGTGCAATAGGAACAGTCTCGCTACTTTTCCAATCTGGAATTTTCGTCTACCCAACGCATTTTGATGACACCAATTACCCTCCACTTTCGAGTAGCAGTTTTTTTAACCAATCTTCACACTTGTTACAACGGTTCGAAGACTGGAGACTATTTTAATATGCAACATCCCACCCCTCGTAAATACCACAGCCATTGAAATATTCATCTCAAAAATAATAATAATAAAATAATAATAGCAATAAACGCCTAGAATATCTTACCATTACTTTCTTGAACCTTTTTTAGCACCTCTGCCAAAACCTGACTTGTCAACGTTGACTGCTTTAGTACTTGCAAAGTTTCTCTATATCTCCGCTCCTCTGCTTCTGCCTGTCTCAATTCACGCTCTTGATCCATTTTCAGCCTCTTTCTGTTATATTCCTCTTTGATCTCAAGGCGCCTTTTCTCGAGCTCAAGCTTCCGAGCTGCTCGTTCTTTACGTTCTCTCATGCCCTCTTTCATAAGTTCCACTTGCAACGCAAGAAGGTCTCGTTGTTCTTTAACAAAGGCAATAGCTTCCTATTGCTGTTGCTGTTGCTGTTGCTGTATCTCCAAAAAGTAGTACTTTTTTTTTTCCGTACTTTGTTGAGGCAGAGCTGGTATCCGACTCTGATTCATATCTTCTTCTAGCTTCAGTGGATTCCGTAAGGTTTAGCAATTCTTGGCCAAAACGCCTATCTTCGGCTGCCTGCTCCTGTTGTTGAGTTTTCTGTTGTCTGGCTTATACAATAGCGTCATCGGCTGCTTGCTTTCCTTCACAGAGCTCTTCTAGCAGCCTCCTCCTTTCTGTTTCATCGGGTGATATGCCTGTAGCTGATTTAATGTATGCCTCGTACTTCTTCTGCTCTTCCTGCAGCCGATCCCAGGTGTGCTGACAGAGGTGCGACGTTTGACCTTCGTGAAGTATGGATTATGGGGTCTCTCTTTCCAATCATAGTTGTGAAGAAATTCGACCACTTTGTCCCATGTCTCAGCGACCTGTCCGTGAGGGGCACGGAAAGGTTGATGCAACGCAAGTGCTCTGAGTAGTATGAGCTCCTGCATGGAATCTTTTCGGAATTTAAGCCGCGTAGCGATTCTTGGGGTCTTATTGGAATCTTCTCGTTCAGAAAGCTCTGTTGTTTCAGCGACGCATGTTTCATCGACATCATTGGTTGAATCACCTATAACAATGGTGCTCATGTCAGATTTACGCGGCATGTCGACAAGTGAAGTAGAAAGAGAGTTTGACAGTGTGTGTTGGCCTGACAAAATTTGTTGAATTTTTCGCTTGACACCTTCCCTTTAGTGCAAAACATCTGATCCCTTGGCCGTGAAGATAAATAAATTTTAATTGAAAAAAAATCACCCAATTAACAACCATCTTGTCTCTCCCCCGCAACTACCGTCGTGAAAAGATATCTCGTCGCGAACGAGCAATATATCTTGCCATCGACCTGGCAACCGAAGAAATCTAACGTTGCATCGATGCCCCAAAAAAATGGCATGTATCTCCTGTGCTAGTGAATTCTATTGTCACCATCTATTGGTTAAAAGGCGTTCGATACCTGAATCCTTCTCCGTATGGCATTAAACCTTCCTCCCCCCTTCTACCGTGATGTTACTCTCTCAGAACTATCGCCCGAAGACTTTTTAATGCTTTCCATAGGACACCAAATCTGTTCAATTTCATTGCGGAACTTATAGAAACACACCCTGTCTTCAGCTCCTCTGGAAGAAAACAGACCGATGTTGTAGTTCAGCTAAAAGTGGCACCTCACCGATTATGCCATTATGGATCTCTCTCAACGAAACCGCGCCATTCGTCGAGCCATGACATGTCCATCAGGCTCAGTAGGTCGGTTCGTTAAACGATGCAAGTGCGCTATGCACCAGATCAAGCAGAAAAGGCCGTTATTATGAAAGCCTTCGAAGATCGTTGCTACATCCCTTCCATAATTGGTGCTATGGACGGTACAGACCTATCACTTTTTCGTGCACCAATCATGTCTCGACACTCATGGCGCACTAGGAAACAATGATTTGCAATGGGTGCAACAGCTGTCTGCGATTACCGTGGCGAGTTCACCTTTGTCTTTACAGGATATGTTGGGAGCTGCCACGGATCTTCAGCTTACAAAAGTACTTCCCTGTTCACGCACACAAAAAAGTACTTTAACGCTAACGAACGCTTGTTGGGAGACGCAGCATATGGATTGCCTCGGACGGTCTTAACAGGATACAGAAAGCAGAATGGCGAAAGGTCTCAGAACCAAAGCACTTTTAACCTCCTTCATTCATTAGCAAGGATTATCGTTGAACACGGTTTTGGACTGATTAAAGGTCGTTTTGGATGTCTCAAAGAACTCCGAGCCGATATTACGAATGAGCGAGGGGTTCGCCGTGCATGTCAGATAATATATGCTTGCGTTGTTTTTGCATAACCTACTCAAGCTACCCGAACTAGTCGTTCCCGATCTGGATGAAGGAGTTCTCATACGCTACAAAAAGGAAGCTACAGAAGAACAGTAGAAGGAACTGGAAGGTGAAACGCAAGGGAATAAGAGAAAAAGAAATGACGAGGATGAGAGCGAAGATGAGAATGAGGAAGGACCTAGGACCCTCGGAAACAAGACAATGCACGCCAAGAAAGACATGATATTATGAACATGGCCATTGACAGGATAAATACGAGTGGTAGATCAAAGAAGCGCCCTCATTATTATTATTAAAAACTGCACTTGGTATTTATATTAATTGTTTTTGCTTGAAGTATCTGACTGTGTATTTATAATTGTGGATGAGTTTGGGCCGGACATCCTCTCCATTTTGAGACGTTTACACTTGGCAAGTTCAAGCTGCAGCTGGAGTTCGAGTTGCCTTGTTTTTTGACGCTCTACTTCCAACCGAATCTCCTCCGCCCTGCGCTTAGTTTCCTCTTCCTCCGCCCTGCGCTTAGTTTCCTCTTCCTCCACCTTGCGCTTAGTTTCCTCTTCCAAAGTAATTCGTCTTGTCACCTCAGCTTGCTCTATGCGCTTGCTTGACTCCTTTTCTACTCTGGCCTTTTCCGATAACTCTCTTGCTTTATCAAGGCCTTCTATAAGCTTGTCAAGTTGATGGTTTCTCTGTTGCCTCTTCGTAGTTCGTGATGTATCCTCTACAACTCGCTGCTTTCGCTTATTCAATTTAGTAGCTTTAGCAGTAGTTTTAGCATCTGCAATAGACTGTTCTTCCTCGCTTTCTTCTCTTTCTGTGGTGTCATCTTCGCATGATACAATTGTGTGGTCTGTTGGATTAACAGTACACTCAATTATTTTCCTAGGAGCCAAAGACCATGACGTAGACTAGACCGGCTCTAATATGTAGAAAAAGCTGCATCTATTAAGAATCTTGGGCCTCAAAGTTTCTTCATCATTGTCGTCGCCATTGCCTGTACTGTTCTTGAATGCATTCCTTTCCTTCCAGATTTTCTGCATATGTGCGATCTTGTTCTTGATTTGCGCGGCGTTAAGCGATGCTCCATACTGCTCATTAAACTCCATGGCGAGCTGTAGATGTATTTTACTTTTAGGTGGTAGCGCTTGGTTTCTCTCGCCCGCGCCTCGCAAGACTTCATTAGTACACTCATTCGAGAGTTTCTCTGCAAGGAATTCATCCTGTTCTTCAGTATAGACATGTTTCACTTTCTCGTTGTCATTTAATCTGGCCTTTGCTGTAGCTCTAGATTTAGATTCTGAAGGCTTAGTTACTTTTGAATCCGGCTGTTTGCGTTTTCGAGTGCCAGTTTCTGCTAACGAAATAGCAGGTGATGGTGGAGGCGAAAATGGAGAGGTCGCAGTGTTTCAGAAATGGAAGAACTAATATCAGGCTGAAAAGTAATTAATTAGATTGGCAAAATTAAAATTCTGAATATATTGAGCTACTCTAAAGTCATGGTGGTTACATATACCTGTATGTCTGACTTAGGTTGTTGATGACGGGGAGGCTGATGGATTATTTTATAGTGTGGTTGATAGACTGGTTGATAGGCTGGTTGATAGGTCTGATAAAGAGAGTTTTGAAGCAATGGATGATGGAGTTGTGGATATTGTGGGGGCTGTTGAGATTGATAATAGTGGACTGATGGTGCAGCCCTTTTTATTCGCACATCTACAGGAATACAAGATGAAAATGTCGAAGGGAGAAATTTGTTTGAGTTGACACGAAAGAGCACTTCAGTGATTTGAAACTATGAGGGGAAGCAGTGGTTGAAGGATTGAACCAAACTTGATAATGATAACTTAGCATCTTGAGAAAAAGTCCGATTTACCAGCTTTCTCGATGTAGACAAAGGGATAACGACTTTATTGTTGTTGTTGCAGCTGCAGTTACAGCTGCAGACCTGTGGCATTTCTGTAATGACCTCCAGGACCTTGTCAGGATAGAATGCAGTATGTGGAGGTTCGACTTTAATAGATAAAAAAGAATGAACTTTTTCAAATTGGATCCTTTTTAGAGCAATTGATAAGGCACGATGATAAAGATACATTGAAAACTTTCCATACCTGTTATCATCAGCGTCTAAAAGAAATGGAATGGGATGACTATTCAGCTTGAATCGTAGTGCATCCGGAAACACTTCTCGAATGTCGTGCAACTACACAGAGCATGATGAGTTACCATTACTTGCAGAAGTGGGGGTGGTTCTGACACAAATTTCTTCAATGTTGTTGGTATTTCGGAATTGTTGATGTTTTTGTTTTTTTCATTTCAATGGATGATGAAGGACGAGAAGATGAAGGATTTCCTCATTTCTAAAGACTTTGCCAACTTTTTCACTCTTGTCACTCCAAGTGGCGAAGGAGGAAAAAGAAATACCGTCTTTTGTTTGATCCTGAAGCTCACTCGCTTTTGCGCTTTGCTCATGTTGTACAGCTTGGTCTTGCTTGTTTTACTAGCCACAGGACATTGCTATAGTGCGTGCCAAAACTGATGCAATAAATTGCATTTTTCCATTCATTCCTCATTCTCCTTCTTCTTTATGATCTTCCCTGCCGCCGCCGTTTCTCATTCTCATTTGTCTCACCTCCATGGAGTCTCATCGTCATCGCCATCAGTGGCCTAATTAGCATTTAATTGCAATTTGCTTTCAGCATCTCATTGCATCTATTATGGCAATTAACAACTTCTTGTTTTTATTTATTCCTGTTACTTCTCCTTTCCCCTAACGATGTTCCCTCCTTTAGCCTTATATAACTCCCTCATCCTCTTCGGCATACCACAGTATAGTTTGTGTAAGAATTCAGGAGGGATATGTGTCCATACGTCTTGGACTCTCTCCCAGAGATCCTCCATATTCTTTGCCTTGTCTGGATAATGATCCAACTGCACCTTCATGTATGCCCATATGTTTTCTATTGGGTTGATGTCAGGAGAGTTTGCTGGCCATTCCATGAGAGGTATCTTAGACTTTTGGATATAGGTCATTGCTATTCTTCCGGCATGAATCCTAGCATTGTCTTGCTGAAATATAAATTTGTCCTTATCCATCAAGTAGTAATCCCTGGACTTAAAAATATAATCCTTGAGAACGTCGACGTAGGTTACCGAATCCACCATGTCTCGGAGCCAGCAGCCATCGCCTGGTCCGTAGTAAGTTATACAACCCCAGAACATCATTTTCCCTCCGCCACCTTGCCTTGTCTTTTTGATATGATGTGCTCGTAGAGTTTTATCCCATCGATGCTTGTAGTAGTACTTTCTTCCGCAGGACCCAACTCTGCTAAAGATGGTCTCATCTGAGAACATGACGCTCTCCAGTCTTCTAAAGTCCAGTCCAAGTGATCCTTTGCAAAATTATATCGAGCATAGATTTGCTTCTTCGTCAGATCAGGCTGCTTCTGTTTTACATATGCCCCCATATCATCCTGCATAAGGAACCTCCTGATGCTCGATTTACTAACCTGCACTCCTTCCCTCAATTGAACAAGTTGTTGGCATCTTTTAGGGTCTCCAATACACCCATGTCAAAAAATCTTGATAAAAGCTGTTTCGTTTTCTTAGTGACTTTGCAGGGTCGGCCCCCTCTTAGCACTGGAATACTTTCTTCGCCTCTTTTCCTAATCCTTTGAGCTGAGGTAACAGATATCCCTAAACTCTTTAACACTTCTCTGGAAGACTTTCCCTGATGAAGTAGAGCAGTTGCATTTTGGATAGTTGATTTGGATAGCGATTTCATGTTATGATAAAGATATGCCAGATATGTAGAGTGTCGCTTGGTGTATCAGTGGTGATGGTGCTATAAAGAAAGAATAAAGAATAAGAAAGAAGTAAGGGATGGACAAACCTGACATGTACTTTTTACCAAAACTGATGCAATGAGACATGACTATACAAATGGCTAATTGCGTCATTGATGAGAACAGCGATGACAGTCCACGAAGGTGAGACAAATGAGAATGAGAAGCGGTGATGGTAGGGAAGATCATTAGAAAGGAAAAGGAGAATGAGGAATGAAGTTAAAAAATGCAAATTATTGCATCAGTTTTCAGAAGTACGGCAAAATCAGTATTCCTAGAAACTAAACTTTTGCGCTTTCCATCTTCAACCTCATCTCCAGCACACAGGTTTTAATACATTCTATTATTGTCTCTAGCAGAGACAACCAGATAACAACTGTTCAACTATTCAAAATGGCTCTGTCTGCTTCTATAACTTAGTCAAAGGAAGGGTTTACAGAAAGCATTTCGGTGATCTCGGAACCTGCCAAGGCGCCCCTAGATACGACTAATTCCGGCGACAGTTGTTTTGCAAAAATGACATTTCATGATCTCTTGCGCCATAATTGGAATCCACTGTTGCGATTAACAGTCATTTGTATAGGTTTATTTAAACCAAGACTTTTACCCTTTTTTATTTAACAAAGATCACTAGATGGTATTAAACACAACTTTTTTTTTTTTTTTTTTTTTTTTCGTTCTCGTTACTTATTATGGCCCTGGCATGTTTCACTCAGGGAATCCCCTAAGCCATTTTAAGGATTCATTGCGCCACACCGTGCCCCTGTTGCTGATTGTCGGAGAATATATTGTCCCCTAAGATACTCTCTTTTGTGATCCCTTGCAATAGAAATGCATCCCCTCGCACATTCCTCTTGGCCGAGATCCCTTCGGTTAACTTCGGCAATTTCGAAATCAACCCATCCGTTAATGGGGTTATTGACCTCCATCCTGCAGCGACTGTGAAATCCACTGGAGATAAATTCAAGTATCTCTTCCATGCTAAGATCTACGTTGTTAGACTCTTCCCTTTCGGGCCCCACAGAGATTACACCAAGCCTGCGTAGGTTTGAGGGCCTTGGGCCTATCTGGAACTCGAAGGTAATGCGCTGTTCAGATTTTGTCATATTTAGGAACTCAAATTCGGCGCGAGCTGCTTCATTAGGACCAGGTAGGACCGCATGCATGGTGATAATTTGGAGAGGCTTTGCCTTTGGATTATGGCGGTGGTCATTGGTGAAATACTGTTTTTCGCGTTTACACATTTTGTGCTGGCAAGAGTATAGAATTAGAGATTATGCTTCATTAATGTGAATCCAACGATTGCAGTCCAAATTATTGGGGACTAAAAACTTACGTTGATAGTGGAGTAAGAGTTAGGGGACTGAGTGAGTTGAGGGTAAGACGTAGTGTTATTCAAGAAATTTGGGGATTCTGGCTTCATATAAATATTTGTGGGAGTAGTCCTTTACTTCGTCTTTGCCTTTATTTTGTTGGTCTTCAACACCAATTAAAGTGAGAAGTTGGCTATAAAGGCAGTCAAAACCGAAAATCCGTCATGGTGACACAGAGAAAAATAAGGACATGTCTACTTTATTGTTTATTCTCTTTCCGTTCTGCCTGTCATCTGCTGCTTTGCTTCGCCCTTTGCTTCGCCTTTTGCTTCGCCTTTTGCTTCGCCTTTTGCTTCGCCTTTTGGAACAATTGAATGAATTCGTTGCGCCGCTCGCCCCTGAACTATAGGGTCTTGTTTTAAGGTTGGGGTCAGGGAAAAGATCTGCCAAAAGTCGCATGATCTTTTTTTTTTCCTGATGGATGCGCAGTGCGGCAAAATGGGCGAGGACTGATAGAAAGGTGGATAGTATATAATATAATAGAGTCGTATGATACCATGTGTCTTTTGTTTAACGAAGCAAGGACGCTTAGTACACACATTGTAGGCCTTGGTTAATTCCGCATGACCACTTGGACAAAATTTGGATAAATTTCTCAGCCCTTTTCGGTCGGTCAACTTTTAACTTACCTTTGGATAAATTTCTTTATTCATTGGAACAATTTTAAATAAAAACCGATAAAGTTTATTTTAAATGGATAAAACAATTAAAAACGCTGTATAGATATATATATAAGCAAAAGGTGTTTCTTTCACGGTGCATCCTTTCAGAGTACAAGCTTTATTGTTTGGCATCCCGCGAGAGAGACTAAATGGTGTGTACAGTCTTCATCCAACAAGCCGTAAATTTTTTACGGATTTGTGGATTTTCACTTCTATTCATATCAATTCAATAAATATATCAAACTTTTTTTTTTTTTTTTTTTTTATACGATGTTCTTGCGTAACCACTTTTTTTTTTCACATTCACTTCCCACATCCATCCTTATGCTTCGAAAAATGAACCCAACAAAGCCTAGAAACCAGTCTTCTCGATCGAGACATGCACTCAAGAAGCACAGGCTGCACAAGTCTTATTCCTTAGCCGACAAAGTGAAACTCATTGAAGCCGTCGATGAACTACGAGCAAAAGGGTTCAAAGTCTCTGTTTCTTCCATTGGAGCAGGTTTGGCATGAGCCCTTCGACGGCAATAGACATTTATCGTCGAAAAAATGAGTACATTCAAGACGTGAATTCGCTACCCCTCCTAGCTAGTCATGCAGTCAAACGCAAGTTCGATCGAAACATGGAGCCCGTGGAAGCTTTGCTGGAGTGGTTCGCTGCTGAAAGAGACCTCGGTAAGGCGGCATCTCTATCATTCTAGAGAGAAAAAAAGGAAAAGGAAAAAGAAAAAAACCATTTTACCTTGTGTGTTTTAATAGATCTCAATGTGACTGATAACCGCTTGCGAGGAACGGCAGAAATCACCAAGCAAAAGGATATCGGGGTCCTCAATTACCTCACTATGAACTACTGTGAAGGGCCTACAGAGTCGATCCTCGACGCTGTTAAGATGATAACGACATCTGAAAAGCACAAGCATCGCTTCGTCCCATACAATGAAGATGATATTGTCTACGAGGACGATAATCTAGACGATGACGAAGATGGTGTTGACTACGAATCCAGTGTTCTTGACTCAGATCCCCAAGGGCTATCAGACGAGCTCGAGTCACCTCCATCCAGTCCGACGATAAATGGAGCTACAAGAAAACTTTCAGCGATTTATGGATGCTTGGGGCAAAATCGATGACCCTCTGCTATTGAAACGCTGGGTTGCAGCTCAAAGGCAATTGGAGCTATTTAACGAATATCGCGATTTACTGAAGGAAGTGAATCAGACTGAGTGAAAATGAATGAATGAGAAGAAATAAAGTTTGATATATTTATTGAATTGATATGAATAGAAGTGAAAATCCACAAATCCGTAAAAAATTTACGGCTTGTTGGATGAAGACTGTACAAAAAAAAAATTTGCCAATTTAACTGGTCAAAAGAATATTATTTTAGTGTAAAAAAATATTGTGATAAGTGAAAAAGCCCATATAAGTGTCTTCCACTTAGTCACGCACTTTTTTTGTGAAAAATAATGGACCACGGGGGAAATGTATGCCCTCACTCTCCATGAGCCAGATAAGAAAACTCATCGTAATGTTGTTCGTTTGCCAATTCTCTACAAAGTTACGATGGGTTTTTATCGATACGACTTTTCCTTTCCAAGTTCATAAAGAAAAAAGATGGACTATTTTACTATGTGAGGTAAAAATTGCACCAAAAATCTTAAAATATGATTGGCTGAAACTTTAAATGAGATGACATCATAACGATATTAAGGGTAGTCTACTCTGTCCTCAAATCCCAATTGGCTGGAATACGCCTATGAGATTTATATTTTTTCGCTTGCAGCTCGGCAACGCGGCCAGACAAACCCTTCCTATATGCGTCCATGTATCGAAAACTCCTTCTTGCGTACTTTCGAATACTGAGTATAGTTACAGAAGCCAATGCCGCTGGTATTGTTTCTTGCAGCCCCTTGAAAGTATAATCACAGTTTGCTCTAGTATAGCGCTTGCTTGCACCCCAGAACATCTCGATGAAGTTCAATTCGCAGTGGTACTTTGGATAGAAAATGATTTGCTGCCCATGTTTGTCTGCAATCTCCTCTAGAAGTGATCGCTGCGCCATAAAATCCTCTTGTAGCTCCAAAATGCGTGTACAACAACATGAGCTTTGATTATTAGAATTGAAAAATATTTAGACAGTAGTTATCAGAAGCTAAGATAAGTGAGAATAAGATGTGGGTCCACACACCACATCCATGGGGTATTTATTCATTTTCTGGTAGAGAGACTCGTACCAAGTAACTACATATCTATCTAGAAGCGACATGGGATTATTCAGGAACCATGTCGGTGTTTTGTCGCGTTTCTAGTGACGCGTTATTATTATTATACTTAGCGTATTAATTTTAGGAATTCCCCTAGTGTGTTCCTAGTGCGTTTTTAGTATTTTTCTTAATCTTCTAGCTGGGCCGTTATTATCTTGTATATTGAAATATACAACAGACTTGACCTCTACCGCAGCACAACGAAAATTCTGGTCGGTGCTTGGTGTTTTTCACTCGTTCTTCAAGGAACATGATAGCATTGCAATAAGGGCACCAGACCATCTGCTCTAAGCGGTGTCTATGGCGCTCGATATTGGGGCCTGAGATTAATTCTTGTTGGAACCTCCTTCTAGCGGTGGGGATAGCATCCATACTATTGGAATATAGAATCACAAATTTTTATTAATATTTGTAGTCACAATATCTTGGTTTTCAGACATCCTGCTGCTTCTTCATCTCCAAGTCATTCACGTCAACTTTCAGCTCATCTCCATTGTTATCCAATCTGACGTTATTTTGTAGCACTTATTTGTATTTTACTTGCATTTATATTTTGTATTTTATTTTGTACGATAAAGATAACTTACTATGTTGTAAGCATTAAATTTTATTACGAGGCAAGAGCAGGCCGTGGCGAAGCCACGGTCTCCGGCTCGTTTGAAATTATTACAATAGCTAATTTTTTTTTACCTTTGGACCAGGGAAAGCGAGACCGATTCTTCCAAAGTATTGACTGGATAACGAATACATATTCAGCATCTTGCTTTTCCGCGCCTGCCAGGGAGTTTATTAAAAAATGAAATAAAATGAAATATAATATATTACAATAAAATAAAATAAAATAAAAAAAGCGGCGTAACGGGGATTGAAAATGAGTAATTTGCACACCTGTGATATCATCCGTCAATTTTCATATGCTCGCAAGGTGGAGAAAGAGAAAGCTCTTACGAGTTGGAGGTGGGAAGAACATTAATAAGATTCCATCCTCAAAGATATGCAGGGTCATATATACATACAACAACAAGAGCACGAGCCACATTGTGAGGAGTATGGGTGATCAATATGAATAATATGGATTGGAAAGTGAATGAGAAACGTTCATCCCTTTATTGATCACCTCCTACTGATATAAATAGGGTGAAGGACAATCTCTAATTGACAACTAATAATTAATAAGTGAAATTACTACTTACATGTGACTGATATGTCACACATTGCTCTCCTTGTATGGTGTGCAACAAAGAGAGAAAGAAAAACAGTGAGCGGTATGATACGACTAAAGTAAAAGGACAGGATTCAGAGCACAAGCTTATCAACACTCACCACATACTTCCATTTTTCACCAGCATTAAGCTCGAGTAGCTTTTTTTCCTTAGCAGTTGACTTGGTTGTTGAGTGTTTAGGGCTTTTTGGCGTAGCATTGACTGTATTTGTTACTTAACAAACCCTCATTTTGAGCGTGAGGTGAGACGAAAAAATCACCTTTCTGTTGAGGGGTCGACGCCAATCGTCGAGGGTGCGGAGTTCTATGATGAATTAATTCAGAATCAGAGTCAGAATCTTGATTAACCTGTTGTTATTCTGTGCACTGTGGTGCGTGTAAATCCTTATTCGAATCTTGCTGAGGTATAGGATTAACAGAGGAATGACAGTCTCTCTGTTGTGAGGACAGAGACTTGCAAGAAACAATGCTGTTTTGAGACATGGCTATTTAATGAAGCAAGAAAAAAAAAGCAATTGAAAAAAGCAATAAAAAAATAAAGTTCAGGATATTCAGTTACGCGTGTCGATTATGGACGAAAAATCTTCAAAAGTAGATTACGTTGATTATGGACATTTTCCATAATCGGCTATAAGGTTCATAATCAACTCCAATAATCGACCTAATCAAAAAGTAATTCTGCCTGCCGTGCTTTTGAAGGAAGGGGCATGCAAATGTGGAATTAGTTTATCACGGGCGGCAAGGATTTGGATGACCCCAATACATTGAAAAAGATGTTTTACAAGAGGAGGCCACACTACGCATTACACTCACACCCATTCATCAAATTTTCATTCTGATCAGAATTTAATCGACAAAAAAGTATATCCTATGGTTGAACATAATGAAACTACGGCATCTGTTGACAGTAATGCTCTCATCGAAGAGATTTCTTTAACAAATCAAATCAGGTACAAATGCGACTTTTTTTTTATTCATTATTGTTTATTCACAAGAAAAAAATAGGAAAAAAAGAAAAAAAAAAAATCGACCAAGATGCTGATTAAACCTGCCGTATCCTGCCATGTGTCAATGATTTACCATTTATCACTCTTTAGTAATCTTACACCTGGTTCTATTGATCTTTAGTGTACCATGGGAGGAACTGCGCTTAATATTGAAGGCACGACTTGTTCATGTACTCGAATCCAAGCAACTGATATACACCCCACCTACTGTCACCAATCCCCTTACGACCAAGCTTAAGCCCTTAACAGATGATATTGCCGCACCAGTCTCTTCTGCAGTCCTTATCCCTTTGACTGATCAGACCAACTTCCAAACCAATGCTGAGAATCCCCCTCCGACACATGTCTCTGAACAAGGAGGTAAGGAGGAGGAGCAGATAGCCAAAGGTAATACCAAGGATGAACCAAAAGAAGAAACAAAGCCTAGTGGGCAGGAGAGCCCAGTTACTGCTTCAGCTGAAGGCCCAGTGGAGGGAAAGACCACATCTGAGACATCGACTGTGGGACAGACTGAAGTATCAGACTCTACAAATGCAAGCCAATCGACAACGCCAGTAGTAGAAGTAACAGCAGAAAATAGACCCCCCATGATCCCCATTTCCAAGGATACGCTCCTAGTTGAAACGCCTGAGGGATATCATGAACGGATTAATGGACTCTTGGACGCCTTTACGAGCGCGCCCTTTACTATTCAGCGAGTGTGTGAGTTGCTGCACAATCCAACAGAGCATCACTCCAATCTCATCAAGTACTTGCGCGCTGTAGAGAAGGTATTGATAAGTATCTTGGTTAACTCTTTTATGTCTTTATTTGTAACAAATTCTAAGCGTTCTATGTATTCTCTTTATATATCTTTATACATATATAGGTGTTGATGATTACATCTTCTATAAATGAGTTTTCAAACCCAGCTTATAATGGACCAAGTGCTTTGGATGAGGATACTGAAAAAGCAGCAGGGGCAACCATTGCAAATGGAGATTACTCCAAAGCAACAGATCTAAATTTTGCTCTGATCTCTGAAACACCCTTACCAACACCAGAATCAGAGGATGTCAAAGATAGTGATGTGTTGCCAGTAGATGCGGTCGAGGGTGTTGCACAAAATCATCAGGCTAATCAGGCTATCAATGGCTCGGATGAGGCTGTGAAGGAAGATGATGGGATGGATGTAGAGAAGACGATGGCAGATGTATCGTCTGATATGGAAGTAGATGCAGCGGCAGCGTCAACGATGGATGGGATTGAAAAAGAAGTAGACAAGCATGATATGGAGGAACGGAAAGATATCCAACCAGGTTCTGATGTGGTTGGAAGCATGGAGCTGGACGAAGCATAGGGTGTCTGAACAAGATAGATTAAAAATTTTGAATCGATAATAAAAGTAATAAAAGAGGACAAAATATAAAAAAGATTTTTTTTTTTTTTTTTTTTTTTTTTGACTAATGTTGCACTAATCAGATCTCTTGTGTAAATCACACGAGCAGCTTTGCCACTTTCCTCTCCACATGCAGCTTAAAGAAGACACACAAATGGGCTATTCTGGTTCTTCAGTTTCTTTACCCTTTTCTTTCCTTTGTACTTTATACGTTCCTCAAAGGGCCATCCATCCCCTCCTCTCCTTATTTGTACATAGCTTCCTTCTCCCTTCCCCTACACCATGGCCCCCATCAGCTCTGCACCAGCTCCCATTGACCCAAGTGCCATCTACTCTGCATCCCTGCTGAGTTTGATCATTCTGATCCTAGACCTCATCGCTCTCGCTCAGGTCCTCAACTCGGATAGGACTGTCCTCTCAAAGTTCCTTTGGTGTCTCCTCATCTTCCTCTTCCCAATCTTTGGAATCATCATCTATTTGTAAGTCATGTCCACTCAATCAATCAATCAATCAATCAATCAATCAAAAAAAAAAAAAAAAAAAAAAAAAAAAAAGACAAGCCTACTCCAACGACGTGTATAAAGACCATGTAGGCAGGATTCTTTTTTGAATCCTGACAAACCTCTTCAGGTCGCACTTGTTCTCTCCTTACTGCTTCTACAGCCTACTTTCAATGTCTATCCTTTTTCCCCCTTTGTTCGGCACAATTTCTTTTTTCTTTTTGCTTTTTTCCCCTCTGTTCGGCCTGTTCGGCACAATTTTTTTTCTTTGATGTATAGTGGGAATGTGTGTAATCCAAAAAGGAAACACTTTCTTCCTTTGAATCTAATCAATCCACACGTGTTTTCTCTTCTCTTTAGTATGTTTGCCGACCGTGAGAGGCACCGCCTCCGTTACATAACCATCCCATGAACTATTTCCACAGCATAATTGGTGCAAATATACATTATAGACGTTCCTGATGCAAGACAAGCCCAAGTAATAATAAAAAAAAAAAAAAAAAAAAAATACGCGTCTTCTCTTCTATGATATTCAATGTGCGACAAATGACACGCTGAATTGTGGCTTCGTACATATCCTTTACAGTGTTAGAGTGTCCATATTACTTTCATACATCAGTTTTCAGTTTTCTTGTAGTTGAATTCAGATACAGTCTTTAGTGGCAATGGGCACCACAGATCATATTTGAAAACTTACATGTGGGGGTTGGTGCAATTCACGACAATCAAGGAGGGATCAACACCTTTTAAGAATTTTTCAACCAGAGCCCACCATCACACATTGTCAGGAACGGTAAATATTCATTCAATTGGCAAGGGCGCTAGTATATACTATGATAATCACCTCAGTCATATTGTCGAGCATTGTGGGAACATAATACTGTGTCCTACTTGAGAGTGTTTACCTTTCCCAACAAGCGGGAGGGGATACATCTTACCGAAGTGCATCTTTGGATCAAAATGCGACCAATGGATTAGGTAAGATCAGTTTATTCAAAAGATATACCACTTTGTCAAGCCAAACGAGCTACAGGAAGGAGGGGATCTAGCGGAAGACTAGTTCTGAAGTTGTTTTCCTTTTTTTTTTTTTTTCTTTCTTATTTTTCCTTTGTATCTTCAAGTGATGAGTTTGTAGTCCGAATCACTTGTTCAGATGAAATCGACAAAGCTTCATTTCCAACAATTCCGAGAGAATAAGACGATTGAAAAAGTTTGTGTCAGGACCGTTTCCAGTCCCGGAAACAATGATGCCTCTTCACTCTTTGTGAGCTTGCAAGACATTCGAGACGTGTTTCCGAATGCTCTGCGATTCAAGTTGAATGGAGATCCCATCCCCTTTCTTATAGATCTTGAAGGCAACAGGTATATTTGCGATTGTACTAATATTTTATCATGGTGACTCCTTGTCCAATTGCTCTTTTAAGAAAAGTGAGTGGACCCCTTATTCATATTATATTTATCTTGTTTTATTTTATTCTATTTTATTCTTGTTCTACCAGAATCGAGCCTCCGCGCATTGCATTCTATCCTGATGAGGTCCTGGACGTCATTGCAGAAGTTCCTCAGTTCTGCAACAGCAACAGCAACGCTGCCTACCATTCGCTAGCATCGAGAGAGTCTGAGAAATTGACCTCTCAAGATGTTCTTTTCACATTATCGACCTTGACCCAATCTTTAACTAAGTTCTCTCAAAATGAGAACACAAATTTTGAAAAGATTACGAAGATGCTGCAAGCGGCCGAAGAGAAAGAGGATAGGATAATTAAACTACAGATGGAAGCAAAGGAGAAGGAGGATAAGATGATAAAGCTGCAGTTGGAGGCTAAGGAAAAGGAGGACAAGATGATTCAATTGCAATTAGAGGCTAAGGAAAAGGAGGACAAGATGATCAAGCTTCAATTGGAGGCGAGGGAGAAGGACGACAAGATATATAAACTGCAATTGGAGGCCAAAGAGAAGGACGACAAAATGCTTAAGATGCAGAAGGAGGCCCTGAGTTTGCAGCATCAAGCTCTTGATAGACTTGTCATCCTTCAAAAGCACGCTGAAGCTATTCTCATCCAGAACTTTGAGCTCCACGAGTATCCAATCCCTCGACTATTTATCATTTTACCTGTGGACCGCACCAATTGGAACCCAATATATATCTTGAGGAACAGGTTCCGCCTTCACTTCCTTTGTGAATGTGGAGATCATTCCGTCAAAGCAAACAAGAACATTCAGAACCAAATGCATCTTGCCAGGCATGAAGGATACGAGGTCCAAAACAGCACAGAGTTCTTTCGAAAGTATGGGAAGTACATGATCATCCTTTTACGATGGCTCAAAGTGGGAATGTCCTTGATCTCAGCTGCTTCTCAGACACCAGTCTCAGACCTGCTTGATGCCGGTATCGATTATTCACTCGATTTCATGGAAGCGCTCTCTGTTGAGCATCCGGTTTTGAACAACCTCAATACAATTGATGACTATGAAGCACTTGAAGGGGCAGATCTCCGACAGCTGAGCACATTTCTCCAAATCAACGATGAGGACAGACAACTTGGTAACTTGTACAGGGTCACGACAGAAACAGGTCATGTCAAATGGGTTTGTGTCGATCACTACCGTTCGACATATAGAGAGAAAGAACAAGAAGCATTTAAAAATGTAGTGGAAGTGAACCATGGAAAATATGACCCTCACCTTGGTAAAGTAGTTATCAAATTGAGATCCAGAACCAGAGCTGAGGAATTCTTCACTACCCTGACCAATGCAAAACATATTTATGAGGTGGATATCACATTCGACTGGGATTGGGCCAAGACTGATCTTGAGGCGCTTGAGAATGGACTAAAGAGGTCGAGTGTATCGATTCTTCGCCTTGATATTGGATGGTTTCAAGAAAGCATTACCAGGAAGCTACATTCAACAACCGCACGATATGAAATACTTGCTCGCATCATAGGACTCCACAGAATGAAAACAATTCATGTTATATTACCTCCGGACCTCATAAGGCTTCCAAGTTTACCGCCCCAAAAACCGTCGCACCTCCACAAGTTGTCCTTTGAGATGAAACCCCAAGGAATTAGAAGTAGTGAACTTCGAGTACTTGTAAACTCACTCAAGACCAACACAACGTTGACGTATTTAGATTTGTATGGAAACGGAATTCGGAAGGATGGGCTTCTGACGCTCTCAAAGGCACTCAAGGCCAACGCAACTTTGACCACCTTGGGCTTGGGAGACAACTCTATTGGGAAGGGAGGAGCTCTGGCACTATCGGAAGCTCTCATGGTCAACACCACATTGATCGCTTTGGACCTGAATAACAACAAAATTGGGAAGGAAGGAGCTCTTTCACTCTCAGAAGCGCTCAAGTCCAACACGACTTTGACATATTTGGTGTTAGGACATAACTCAATTAAAAATAAAGGGACTATTGCACTGGCAGAGGCACTCAGAATCAACACGGCTTTGAGTACCTTAAAGTTGGAAGGCAATCTAATTGGGGATGAGGGGGCCGTAGCGCTCTCCGAGGCACTCGCGGTTAACACAGCTTTGAAAGCTTTATGTTTGAACGAAAACTTAATTGAGAAGGAAGGGGTTCTGGTACTGTCGGAGGCGCTTAAGACTAATATGACATTGACTATCTTGGACTTGGGTTTCAACAAAACTGAAAACGAAGGAGCTCTTGCGCTGTCGGAGGCACTAACAACTAATAGGACCTTGATCACTTTGGATCTATATCACAACTCAATTGGACAAGAAGGGATCTTTGCTCTGTCAAAGGCACTCAAGACTAATACGACGTTGACCAACTTGTGCTTAGAGGGCAACTCGATTGGGAATGAAGGAGCTCAGGCATTGTCAAAAGCACTCAAGATCAACACAGGCTTGAGTAATTTGGACTTGAGGGCCAACTCTATTCGCAAGGAAGGAGCTCTGGCATTATCGGAGATGCTCAAGACCAATAAGACTTTGACCGAATTGATATTAAGCCAAAACTCGATTGGGGAAGGAGGAGCTGTGGCACTTTCAGAGGCCCTCAAGGTCAACAGGACTTTGACCATCTTAGACTTGTATTATAACTCGATTGGGAAGAAAGGAGCTCTTGCGCTGTCAGAAGCGCTCAAGACTAATACGACTTTGGTCACTTTGTACTTGGGGGGCAACTCGATTGGGGATGAAGGGGCTCTGGCGCTCTCAGAGGCACTCAAGATCAAGACAGCTTTGACCACTTTGCACTTGTGCTCCAACGAAATTGGAGGTGAAGGCACTCTTGCACTTTCAGAGGCGCTCAAGGCAAACGCAGCTTTGACCATACACCCTCTGAATGGGATTTCATGATAATAAAGTTATTTTTTTTTAATTTTTGTGAGCCTTTTAAAGATGCGCCATCATTGAGCGCGTTGCACCCACAGTCGATGCATAGCACTCACCCATTAGCCGAATCCTACTCAAATGAACCAACCAATAATTGCTGGCCGTTCACTTCGGCATCCGAAGACAGTAGCTGTTGAAGAAGAAGAAGCATTTTCATCCATAAAAAGATCTTTTTTTTTCACGTGTTTACTTTAGTTGAAATGATAAGGAAGTTGGCTAGACTGAGTTAAAGATTCAGTAAGCTCTTGGTATGGGATGGTGGTGATGCTGCTACCTTCTTTATTCAGCTCTTCACTTGATCCACCTGATATTGGCTATCAGCAATTTGCCGGTCTTCACCGGTTATATCGGTTTTAACAAGTCAAGGTGGTTCTCATTGGTTCTCGATTATTCAACTACATCAGGAAACAATCAACGGTTAAAATTTTTTTTAGTTGATGGTCAAAATTAGCCGGTTAAAATCGTTGCGCAAAATGCTAATCTAAATGTACAGTCACCTGAAACAAAGATTGGACAAAAAAATAAAATATTGAAATAGTTACGTAGGGAAGCGTTTCCTTCAATCTCTTTCCTTCCTGTTTTTCACATACAAACAGCTTGAGTAAACCACCATGGCGAGACACTTAGACATTGAGAATAAAGGTATCATCGTTGGAATGCACCTCGCGGGCATGAAGGCTGCGGAAATCGCATTGCAACGCGGTGTACCCCGAACCTCTGTTATTAATATTATCAGGGTGTACCAAGAAAGAGGCACCACTGCTTGCACTCCGATCCCAGGACGGCCCAAAGTACTAAGTGAACGGGACCTCAGGAGCATCGTTCGCCATACTAAGCAGAATAGAAGGTGTACTCTTAATGATATCACTAACCAATTGCCGAACAAAGTTTGCGAGAGGACAGTTGCGAAGGCATTGCATTCACTGGGTATTTTCAGCCGGATTGCAGTAAAAAAACCATTCTTAAAAGAAGGACATATAAAAAGGAGGCTGCAGTTTGTCAAAAAAATATATGAGTTGGTCCATGGAAGACTGGAATCGGGTAGTTTGGACTGACGAATCATCATTTGAAGTTGGTGAGCATTTTCGTCAAATAAGAGTTTGGCGTAAAGTAGAGGAAAAGTACGATCATGATTGCCTCGCACCCACTTTCAAAAGTGGTAGAACAACTCTGATGGTCTGGGGGGCGTTCACAGCAACCAGAAAGTCTCGGTTGGTTGTATTTGAAAGAGGTCGTAAAGATGGACGGTGTTTCGTGGAAGATGTATATCAAGGCGAGCTAGCCAGATTTATGGCTGAGGTAGAGGATGGCATACTTATGGAGGATAATGCTCCAGTTCATACTTGTAAGATTGCAAAAGAATGGCGCGAAAAAAACAGCATCCCGAGGATTCCAGACTGGCCTTCATGCTCCCCAGATTTGAACCCTATTGAACATGTATGGTCACTTCTTGCGGATGCACTCGATAGGCGCGCTAAAGGGCCAAGAGATCTTCCCACTCTCACACGGGCTCTTATCGAAGAGTGGAATAATTTACCGCAAGAGAGGCTGGCCAGCCTTGTCGCTACCATGCCCGAAAGGCTGGAAGAAGTGAATGGGGTCGATGGTAGGAACACTCACTATTGAACCTACATGGCACTTTTGCTACTCTAACAATGCCGTCTTCAAAACCCCAATAAATAACAGTATTGACCTCTTTAGTGAGCATGTAAAATTTCATGTGTATTGATGAAGTCTTTATGTATGTTGCATATGAGCTGTTTGTCCAGGTTGTTCAAAAAAAAATCAAGAAAATCCATTTTGTCCAAACTTTATTTCAGGTGACTGTACATGTACAAACATTGGCATACGGAGTATGAAGAAATGAAAGTGAGTGCAGTTGGCACCAGTACTCAAGAGAAAGTCTGGTCCCTCGACAGTATTTTAACATGAACAAATTCTTTTTTTTTTTCTTTTCTTTTTTTTTTTTTTTTTTTACAAAGTTTTATTCTAGCGAAGGGATAGCCAGACGCAATCAATTAAGGCTCAAGGAGGAGTAATCTTAACAAAACTAAATAGCTGGGACAAGTCAACAAAGCGACGCGCGCTCTTGTCAATGTATTTGTCAGCTTGTGCCTTGAGTAGCCTTATCAATTCCCTGTTCTGCTCAATCTGAACTCTGATGGCTCCGTTCTTCTCAAAGTCGATCTTGGATAGAGCCTTGTCGGTGTCAAAGATGTGGCTAAAGAACGATATCTGGGTATATAGGCTTCCATCCGAGTACTAGAAAAAATAAACACAAGTCTTCATTAGTAAGGGACAACTTGCTTTGAGACAGTATATATAGATATAGATATAGATATAGATATGTATATCCAAAAAAAAAAAAAAAAAAAAAAAAAAAAAAAGGAAAGGAAGTCAAACAAATATAAAGTGTAGCTTACCTCATTGTGCATGGTACCACGACAACCATCAACTAGACAACGCCGTCCAACAACACTGACCATTCTCGTTCTATTGCGACATGACTGTTCATCGCATATTACCCATCCTTGATAATATTTATGAATGTATTTACGGATGGCTCCTATCAATTGCACGCATGCTGATGCTGGTTGAGCAATTGTCATACAGTTGGGACACTGAAGTCCAAAGTAACTTGTTGAATCCTAAATATAAAAAATAATAAATGAAAATCAGTCTTTGCTTTTCTAACAGGGTCTGTTCATTCTTCCATTAATCAGGACATGGGTTTTATGTTTTATGTGTTTACCATTTCCATTGCTAGAGCCGAGCACTTGTAGCTTGATTGACAACCTCTACAACGCAGCTCAAAGGCCTCTGCACCCTTATAACGCTCTGCATCTGACAACTGCGAAGCCAAAGTCTGAAATTCCTCCTCTTGACCATCCGTCCTAACGACCGCTCTGAATTTTGATGTATCTAAACCAAGACAGTCTGCTAATCTAGTAGCATCAGTTCCCTCAATCGGACCACACAATCTTTCTACAGGCGGATAAACTTGTTGATTCAAGTAGTATTCAAAATCTAAAAACAAAAAAAAAAAAAAAAAAAAAAAAAAAAAAGTGGTAATAGATGATGTATCAGCCATTTTTTCCATTATTTTAAAGCCAAAGACACGAGGATCATAATGTGCATTGTTACCAATGGAAAGTCCCGAGTCAGGCTGTAGCATCTCCTCTGGGTGGTATGCGCGTTCTGCATAGCTACCCTTTTGTGTCGGCGCATTTTCATTGATACAGATAACATATGGAACAGTATCTCCTGCTCTAATACTGATTCCTTTACGCATGCGTCGAAGAGCGACTTGTACATGTGGTTGTGACCTTGCATCTGCGTAATCTTCTGGTGCTTTTGTCAGGCCCTGATTTCAGAGATAATGAGTGAAAATGGAATCAGAGATATAACTTGGGCCGCATCGACGAACATAACCAATGAATTAATAATTTAAAGGGTCCAGTCAGTTTACTTACCTTGTTCACAATAAATTTATCAATGGGGATGATGCCTTTCCGCGTTTCCTCGGCAACTTTTCGTAGATGGCTATGGATCTTCTCAACAACTTGTTCCCTGTCTTGGTTATCGCCTGATAAAATTAGATCTAAAATAGTGCTAATATCCATATGAAAGGTACTTTAGTTTTTTTTTTTTTTTTTTTTTTTTTTTTTTTTGAAGCATACACAAATCAACAAAACGCCATATCAAAACTTACTCGGAGACATCGTGACTCAATCCACACCAGTCTCGTCGGACCATGTCAAGACCTTTGGTTTCTTTTACAGTCTCAAAATTGCCATCCTTCTCTTCCACCTTCAGCGCTGCATACTTCTTTTTCTTCAACAGCAGCATGCGTTGGTATATGCCATCCATTTCAATCTCCAACAACTTGTATCGAGCATTGACAAGCTTCTTCAACCCTTCAGCTATAGGCTTTACTTCTTCAATTTTTGTCGTGTTTGTGTTAATCATGATTGAATCAGTGTCACCATATATTACCTGTTTATGAATAGACAAGCATTACACATATATTTATGTTAGTTCAATAATTCTGAAGAAGCATTGTACGTTACAAATCTGTGATTGTGGGCTACAAGTCAAAGACACTTACATCAAGTCCTTTCTCGGTTGCAAGATCAACTGTATTTTGTAGAATCTCTCGTCCTCTGGACGTAATTAGCATTGCAAGTGGCTTTGCATGGAATCGAGAATATGTCGCGCCCAAACATCCATACATCGAATTGGCCGTCAGCTTGAGACCTTTTTGCCGAATATCGTATTCTTCATATTTGGCTCTAGATGCAGTCTTCATCAATTTCTTGACCTCCCGTCGACGCTCCACAAGATTCGCAAGTAATTTTGGGAGAATGCCCTGTGGCAAACCTTCCTCAGGATAATCCGGTAGGGCATCTTCATCTCTATCCTTATTCTTATTAACGGTAGTAAAGCAAATATTATATTCCTGGATAATGGAAGGATACAAACTGTTAAAGTCGAGCAACAGCACATATTTGTCGTAAAGGCCTTTCTTGGGTTCCAGAACAAGTCCTCCAGCATACTGAGGCTTGCGTCTCGTTCCTTTTTTAGGCATTGTGGCCTCGTCCTGATCATCCATATCGTCACCAGCAACCAACATGGGTGCTAGAATATTCTTACTATCCTTGGAAAATGTCTTATCTGGACAAATATATTTGTTCTTATGGAACTCGTGCAGCAGCAGATATTCGTTGCGTACAGCGCGACCAGCTGTCAAGGTCATGGACCACAGGTTACCTGACAGTGTCGTCAGTTGCCTTGATAATGGGAGCAATTGGAGTGAGAACATGAGCTCCGCGCACAAGTAGGTGTCGAAATTAGCATGGTTCAACATTTTTTCCAGCTGCTCCGCATTGTTGAAGCACATAGGGGTCTTTTCATAATCAATATCCTCTCGTTCTTTATGCAGTTGTACGTCTACCAGGTTCGTAAGACTGTAACTCTTGGCTCGAAGATGCTCCTTGGCCCCAAGGTATGTATCGCACATTAAACGCCCAGCCATGATACTCTTTTCCTGTGCTGTAGTGTCTCCCATCCCTCCAGCACCTGTTTGCAGTTTGGGCCATCTATGTTGAAGAAAATAAATAAATAAACAAATAAAAAAAATGTAAATGGAAACAAGAATACAGCAAGCTTCATTATCTTGAGTTGCTGCAAGCCCTTACACAATTCGACGAAGCCTTCCTAAACTGGACCAGTGGTCCACTTTAGTCTGCTTCATGCGGTGGAGCAGCACGTCAAGGTCGAAGCCAACAAAGTTATGTCCGACAATTACATCCGGATCCGAGTTGAGCATACGTGCTAGTAATAGGTTAAGCATTGCGCGTTCCGAAGTTTGCTTGATAATCTTTACTTTGCTTCTTTCGATAATGCGATCAAATCCTGGCGGAAAAGGGCTATTGTCAAGCTTACGGACCAGTGTCTGTTTCGAAATCAATTTCTTATTGCTCTCCACTGGATCGTCCAATCGGACTGCCATGTAAAATAACATAATTATTACAAACTTGCTTAAATATATAGGCAAATATAACACACAGCAGTAATATATTCAATATACCTTCATGGTAGATAGAGAAGCTCACAGCAACGATCTCGTTAGATTTGTTTTTAGGGTTGAGAATTGTCCTTAAGCTTAGCGACATAACACAGAGTGGAGGCGGCGGTATGTCGTGCGATTCTTTCATTGGTATGATATCCTTCGGATCAGAGACTGTGAACTCGCTCTTACACCAAGACACCTATAGATATCGTATTCGTTATTATACGTTATTATGAATTTTGATTGCACATTCATATCCCCTAGCGTACAAAGTCGATTTGACAGCCTTGGTGATCTCGTTACCTTGGAGCTGTTCATCTTGGCTTGCTTAATCTCCAACCATGCAGGTCCCATCAAGTTACGTTTGATAACAAAATGTTCTAAAGCGCTTGTGTTTATGCCAAAGACATGGCTAAATGTTTCACCCTTGAGATCCATAGGCAAACTAGGCACTACAGAATGCAATATTCATTTACAGATCATTAGCAAACAAACTACGGGAAACTCATCATCTCAAGGGCAATAATGTACTTACTAGAATACTTATAGACGACCTTGAGGTATTCTGCCACTGAAGGAATATCAGGTAGATCAAAGGCATATTTTCTCTCAACTGGCTTCGAAAGCCATGTAGGAATTTTGTATTGTTGACGGATACTATCGAACTCTGTATATACGTCTGCCATTTCAACTTCAATGTCTGTCTCTTTTCCGTTAGCGTCAACTCGTCGTTGGCGCGGGAGGACGTAGAGGTTGCGCTCCATATTCTGCACTACAACACAGCAGCTAATAAAGGTGTTTGTTGCTTTTTGTAAGACCTAAAGTGTCGACAACCAGGCATTATTAGATTGAGTACATGAAGAAGAGCTTTCCTTCTCTTGGGATACAGACTATAATTGATCTCTTAGAAGGATTGAAATAACACAAAACTACCTTTCCAAAAAGATACACAACTCCCTTGACTTCACAAGCATCGATCCAGTACATTCGTAATGTCCCATCTTCCTCTTTAAGGTTGGTTTCCTGAATATCCGCTGCATTATCGTTTGCCTCGGCCTTAGGTTCAGTATATTGATTTAAAGTGTCGTTGACTGTCATCCAGTCCTGACGGTTGTCACTTTCTGACTGCTTAACGACCGTTGCCTTTTCTTTAACATTTGTGTTATTAATGTTATTCATAAGTCCCTTGGATTCCTTCACTGTGATATCCCTGACTGCTGGCGAAAACCCGTCATCATTCTTGCGATAGTTTGCTTGGAATGGGTTGCTCAGATCAATGGGCTCCTGCTTAATTTCCTTCTTAATATTATGCTTAATTTCCATCTGCGGCTCCGGGGTCTCCTCTACAACGCCATAGTCATCAAAGCCATCATCAAAGCCATCATCAAAGCCATCATCAAATTCGTCCATTGCATCATTCAATCTGGAAGCGAAATTTTTAGGAGGCACATCAAGTTCCTCGTCTTTAATCTTTAGAGGCTCCATTTTCGATATAAGAACACGCTATATTTATAAGCAAATTTTAGTCAAAACATCCTTATGTTCATATGATAGGATACAGTCGCGATCAGAGCTACATTCTTTTTTAAGTGTGTAAAAAAGAAAAAAAAAAAAAAAAAAAAACTTACTGTAGGCGTGTTGATCACAGCACGCTTGGGTGCCATCATTGGCTTTTTTGTTGGCGTTGTGTCGAGTGATTCATCCATCCCCTGTAGAATGGATGCCATAAATCCATCATCTGCTTGAGGAGCCTTGGCCTATGTTATATATAAATAGATGATGCTTATCAGATAAAAATGTATGACAGTTTGACTGAATGAGTTTCATTTTCATTCTCTTACCATTAAAGGTTTGGTCGCTTTTGGCTTTGATTCAGCCTTCATAAATGCTTCCTTGATATTCTCTTTAGCCTTGGGTTTTGAGCCTTCCTTGATAACGCCTTTGCCCTTGTTATTTTTTTTAGAGCCTATTAAGCATTATCGAGATCGAATGTGTAAGTTGTTTTTGAAAATATGGATCCGTACGTGCGTGCATATATGTGTATGTGAATGTGATCCTAGAGGGTGAATATGTACCTTTATTGGTTGTCCCTTCATCTGAATATTCATCAGAATAGAACCCTCGCTCATCCTCATCTTCATCATAAGCGTAGCCACGACCATCGTCATCCTCTACGAAATCATCAAAGTCCTGTCGTAGTTTCTTGCTCAATCGATCGTCAACTTCATCATATAATACTTCTGCTTCATCAACCTGCCATGGTGTTGAGTTGAATGAATTAGCCCATAGATATGGATACGTTTTCACAAAGCCATGACTAGTAAACAGTATATAGTAATAAAAACAACAAATAATAAGAGTATGAGGTATACCTCGTACTGCTGAATGCGTGTAATGCCTGAATCCCTAGCAGCTCTTGAAGCCCTCAGAGCAGCGATTCCTGAGGCTGTAGACCGCTCTGTTGCTTTTCGTTTGATCCTGCTACTCATTCGATGTAAAGGTCTTTAGGATGAAATCGATGAGAAAGAGGAGTCGACAATAAAGGAGGAATTAATTAAACAGCAACAAAGAGGAAATAAAGAATCCAACCAAGACGCGTTGAAAATACATAAACAAAAACAAACAAAGGCGCGTTTATTTCATTTGACTGTTTGTAGCAGAGTCGCCTCTGAACTTAGATTTACTTAATTCCAACAACTATATCACATGATAATAAATATCTTTGGGCAATACCCTTTAACAAGCACAGAAATATCTACTCCGGATTGCGATAGACATGGACAAGAATCGTGGCATTAAAAGCGGAGCCCTCAAAGAATTTTTGAAAATTCTGCGAGAAAAAAAAGTGGGACAGTTTCTCTGACGAGGGTCGCATCTATTTTTGTTGCCGCGCGCAAGACCAGATTAAGGAGTTCAAGACTCAGGAGAAGATCTACACAGTGACCTGTACTGATGTACTTAACATACGTACTGAAGTTTTTTTTCAGTAAATTTTTACTTATTATTTACTTAAACATCGGTAAAAAAGAAAGTAAATTTTGAGTAAAACAAAAGTAAGTACTTACTGAAATTTACCGAAAATATACTTTTGTTTTACTGAAAATTTACTTTTGTTTTACTCAAAATTTACTTTTGTTTTACCCAAAATTTACTTTTGTTTTACTCAAAATTTACTTTTCTTACTTTTCTTTCGGCGGGCCTGCACTTGAATTTCCCGTATATGCCCCCCTGAAAGAAAAGTAAGAAAAGTAAATTTTGAGTAAATTTCAGTAAAACAAAAGTATATTTCCAGTAAATATCAGTAAAACAAAAGTAAGTAAAAAGTATATTTTCGGTAAATTTCAGTAAGTACTTACTTTTGTTTTACTCAAAATTTACTTTCTTTTTTACCGATGTTTAAGTAAATAATAAGTAAAAAATCAGTAAATAATAAGTAAAAATTTACTGAAAAAAACTTCAGTATATACGTATGTTAAGTACATCAGTACAGGTCACTGTCAGTGATCTACAACCACTTGCTCAAGGTAACGAAGCAAAATTCATAGTGGAATTGACCATAAAAATAAATGAATTGACCCCACAAAAGATGTGTTCTAAAACCTGAAACTAAAGTCACATTCACTACCCTTTCTTTTCATATCCCCAATTCGTTTCCTGGAAAAACCGCTTATGTAGGCATTATTCATAATGGGCATCAATAAAGGCTCCGTCATCTTCTATGTAATTATGATGTACGAGACTTTCAGTCTGATTTTTAATTGAAATAATTATATTCAAGAAAAGTATTTTCCTTGCTGCAAAATTAATTACAACTATTGCGGGCTGTGCAATTAGAGAAAGGAGAGAACAAATCAGGCACCTATCATACCTTTTTTTTTTATTGGACCGCCTCACTTTCCTTCAAGCTGAACTATTAAGAGGACTTATTTCTAGTCCCCCAGTCCCATCTTGTTTTCCTTCATCAACATCACTAAATTAGCTGTTTTACCCTCATCATCACCTTTTGTGCAGCTCAGGAACAGGGTAGATCAGAACAGAACGGATTGATCAAGCAACACGACACATCCAACCTCTCACCCTCATTCGTGCAGTACCAACAACTGACAAGGGAGAAGGAAGGATATCAGGATAGATTGGATGACCATGCCACTTGTAAGGAGAATACAGGGATGTTTTATCTTAGAATCAGTTCAATCAAAAGGGTGAGGAAATATAAAATAACTGACAAAAAAAATTTATAGTCTCGGCCATCTCTATATTCCGTACGGGATATACCCATCAAATATGCTAGAGTCAGTGCAATCCTCCGTATGCTATGTATATGTCCAGCACTATGGGGTATTTACATTCATCTACAACAAGCCAAGCGTGTCCAATACAGGGATGCCCGTGAGCTCATGACCATGAAGAGCTCTGCACTCGATAATTACGTTGGGATACTCTGGGTAAGTCTTTCCAAGAAAAAAAAAAAAAAAGACATTCACGAATTGAAAAATTCAACATGTTTTTTTTTTTTTTTTTTTTTTTTTGGTTTACCACCCATATTAGTGTATGCTCGGTGGACTATGGGGTGTGTGGTTTACCAACAATTTGATCCGCCGATGGTTTATTCGTTATGAACCTCGACATGCCATCATTCGATTGTTCACTCTCGCTACCATCTTCTGGTTCTCTGTCGCTTCATTTGTCAGTTATTTTGGTGTAGACGAACCGATCTGGCCATGGATGGCCATCTGTGCTATCCTTGCAGTGGCTCAAATCATTCAAACGATCCATTATCGATTTAGAGGCATGTATAAACATAACTCACGCCCACTTGATTATGATCGGGATCGGGATCGGGATCGGGACTATAGTCTTCCTTATCAGCACAATGGCAATGTCGGTAGTGTTGGCCTCGATCCTCGTATCATCATTCTACGCACAGTCCTTATCCCAGGTGGCGTTATCTCATTTCTTACTATGATGATGCTTCTCCATCAAAACAACACTCGTCCCTCCTCTGCTGAAATTTTGGCCTCCACTGGAGCCACAACCATCGCTTCTCTCAACGCAGCAAAGCAAATCATGGGCACTGCACAGACTCAAATCTTGATCTTGATCTTGACCTCATGGACTCCCAAAGGATTTCAGAAACGGCAGGTGTTTCGAGAATCAACCCTTCGATTGCTACCACCATCCTCTTCCCAATTTACATTCAAGTACAAGTTTATTTTGGGAGAACCACCCAACGCTAAAGCGAAGGAGATCATGGGCCCCAAAATCCGAGAAGAACAGGACCGACACGATGATCTTCTTATTTTGCCTGTCTCGGATACTTATGAGGATTTAAGTCTAAAAGTGTTCAAGGCTTTGGAGTGGAGTAACAAGTTCAGATTTGATTTTTTGTGCAAGACAGATGATGATATCTTTGTCCGCTGGGATGTAGTTGCTCAGGAGCTGGTGGATCTTGGACCGACTCATTATTATTGGCGAGGCCTTGGTTACTGGTAAGGCCTTTATTATTATTTTTTTAAGGGCTCGCAGTAATTTAAACCATGGAGGAGTTTTTTTTTTACTTAATGCCTCGCTATTACCTTTTTTTTTTTTTTTTTTTTTTTTTTTCTACAATGATAGGGATATTAAACCTATTACCAACCCAGAAAATAAAAATATTGAGAACCATTTCAAACTAGGCGTTTTCCCACCATTTGTTGCAGGATCACTTTACATCTTCTCCCGAGACGTTGTCACCCTTCTTACTTACCCTGGCCCACGCTTCTTCACTAAGAATGAGGACCAAAACATCGGGATCTGGCTCCACGCTTACAATATCAAACCTATTCATGATCGACGGATTCAGCAGTGGGATGTCTGTGAGAACGATATGATTGCTAAACATTTTAGTGATTCATTCACCCCACTTGAGTCTATGCATGATATGTATAAAAACATTCAGGAGGGTCGACCTTTATGTCATGGATTCCGGCAATTTTATTGTGCAGCTTGTTATTCTTGTGTAGGCCGGAACAACCACTGGAGAGACTGGGGCGTGGCATGCGACAGTGTCAAAGGGATCACCAACATCAACAAACATGGACTCTACCAGGGCAAGGCCTATGTCGATATCAAGGATCCTATGCCAGCACTCAGTAAAAAAGACGAATGGATCCTCCCGGGCTTGTTAACGGATGCCAGTAGTATCTACTCTGATACGGATGATTGGGCAAGGCTGCATTGGGCTATTTGGACCACAGACCCTGCGACCACATGGCAACCTCGTCATTTCCAAGCGATCGAGACACTCTTTGTTCATAACCCCAATGCAGTCCTAATCATCCTCTCTAATACTTTACCCAGAGACTTTTTTGCAGAGTACACACAGCAGGGTTATCAACTCCATGTCCTATCCTTCTCAAAGGAATTGCTCTTGAGGCGCAAATGGTTCTTTAGTCCCAACACTGAGGATTGGTTATCACGCTGGGAGGAATGGGAGGCTGCTGGAAAGTTTTTCCCTGTTCATCTGGCTGACTACTTGCGTTTGGTGGCGCTGTACAAGTACGGAGGACTTTACATGGACATGGATGCACTCTGGGTTCGTGCTCCTGGTGATGGTATGACCGAGTTTATTGGATCGGACATGTCTGACACAGAAAGTGATCGTGCATGGACTTTGGACGATAAGAACACCTATCTGGCTAATGGGGTCATGCGGTTCCAGCGTGGGAGATCCATGTTCCGACATATCGCGGACAGTTACTTCACAGTGACAAACTATGATCCAGAATGTTTCAACTGTGGGGGGCCCAAGGCTTTTACAATCTATGTGAGAGATCATCGGGCTGCATTAGAGAACACTGGATTGAGTATCTTGAACCGTGCAGTTCTTTACCCTTATAACTGGAGAGAGGTTGAAGGAGCCATTCGACGAAGCTCAAACGCAGAAGAGGAAATTCAAAGAGTGGAACAACATGGTATTGGGCTTCATTTGTATGGAAAGGTGACCAGTAGGAAACCAATTGAGGATGGTAGTGTGGTTGCAACGGCTATCAAGCTTTGGGGATTGGACCTGTTTACTCGAGGATCATCGTCATCGTCATCAGCACCGACATTACAAGGACCTGAAAAACTGGTCTATCCTATGACCAAGTCGTCTTCTTCTTCTTCTTCTTCTCTTACGACCTCAATGACACCTATGAATTCATTGTTTGAAAAAGTACCTGGAGCGTTCCGAGGAATAGATGCAGTTTTTGTAAGAGGAGGGACTAATAGTGCTACTATTACTGCTACTGCTACTACTACAGAGTTTAGTAACAACACGCTCATTACAAAAAGGGCTGCCATCCTGATCGTTGTTCAGGAAGGTTACATAGTCATGGATGCGTCTGCGGCAGGTACGCGACGGGTTGAGATGGATCTAGGAGAGAATGTGACGATGGCACAACTCAACACAGCACTGTCCAGGATACGCTACTTGCCTCCCTTCCTCCCCACAACGATCACTAGGGGAAATATAAATACAAATACAAATAGAGCACAACAAGAATGGGATGGAACCGACAAAATCACGATTCAGGTCACATTTGGTGATATGCAACGCCAGTTGGTGATTCCTGTCCTACAGAAAGTAATCAAACCCTAAAGAGGAGGAAAAGGAGGAATAATAGCCTTTTTTTCTTTTTTTTTTCTTTACTTGATCAAAATGATATACATATTAATGTATACATTGATACCCAATTATAAATATTTTTTTCTTTTATAATTTTTTTTTATTTTTATTTACTTTTTTTTTTTTTTTTTTTTAAAAAAAAAAATGGCCATGAATGCCAAGAATGAAAATCAAAGCAAGAAAAAAAATGAGCCTTCACTTTCACGTGCATCTGGAGTGTCCTTGAAAACCATTGTGGACCACCATACGAAAAAAAAAAAGGAAAAGGATAGATTGTTTATCAGATGTGGTTCGCAAATAGCATAAACATCATCATCAATGGTTCAAAGGAAAGTAAAAAAATAAATGTGTCTTGTGAGTTACAATTACTATTGTACAAAGATGCGAAAGAAAGAAGGACTATACAAATAGGATATGAAATGAACAAATAGACTCATAAAAAAATATGAAAGGAGCTAAAACAATGTTGCTAGAAAATATGTAAAAGAAAAAAGTAAAAAAAAACAAGTGATCAGATAAAAAAAAAAAAAAATAGAGTAAAATAAATGATGCAGGTTGCTTAGTCCCAGACTCCTGCCCAAAGTTCCTCTTCCTCCTTGAGCCATGCCTGTGAAATCGCCTTATCGCCACCATTTTGGTCCCAGATATCGCGGAAAATCATCATTAGGTTCTTCAAGCCGAGCAAATATCCTTTGTCAGGCTCATCTGGATGCATCGGCGGGTAGGGCGGTATGTTACCCTCTTCGAAAATACCCGCTGTACAATGCGCAAAATCAATGACTTTAAGATCTGTCCTGCAATGATCCTGAAATCTTTTGGAATTTTGACGGGTATGGAGACGTTCCAACGATCTATTCGAGGAAGTCCCTAAAGGTTCTGTTTTTGTGATCATCGGTGTGCCTGATGGTGGTTCCACAGCAGATGATGAGGACATTTGGTCTAATGGCTCTGCTCTTGGAGAGCTGTTGTTACTATGATGGGACATTCCAGTGACTCCGTCATAGTAAATGAGTAGACTGCTGGAATAAAAGCGGTATCCTACGAGGTTCTTGATGATCCTGGCAAGACCCCTCAACTTCCTCTGCAGCGGTGGAATATGGTTCAGGATAACTTTCTCTCCGTTAAATAAGAATTCGCGCAAGGTGAGTGGTAATGTTTCTTTTGTCAGCTTCCGACCATAATATTTGTCTTGGAACAGGAAGCGGCCAGTTGTGACGTTGTAAACCTATATGAATATTGAGGTTGCAAAAGAGACTTTATCAGTAAAGGTTTGTATAATAATAACCTTTTTTTTTTTTTTTTTTTTTTTTTTTTTTTAATAGAGTAAGCTTTCCCGAGAAATTCTTTCTCACCTGCATGCCACAGATCCTAATGCCCGTTTCGTAACTTGTTGTCTTTTGACATTTACGTGTCTGACTTTTCATCTTCTTCTCAGTGACCCAAACGCCATATTGTCGAGTACCCATCTTGATGTCAAGGATACAAGGCGCTTGGAGACCGTCTGTAAGATCCTCCAAGAGAATATACTTTCCAGGGACAGCCTGTGATGGTCGCAGCGCCTGTTCGGGCAACTCCTTTTCAGCATTCTCTGCAGCGAAATTAGCCTGTTGCACTTGCCTTCCGAGATCAGGGGTTGTGAACAAATGAGGCTGTTCAGCTCCAGAGTTTGGAATACTTCCTGAGCCTTCTATAATCCATTCATTGCGATTTATGGCGATGGGCGAACCATTTTGAGCTTCTGTTTGTGAAGGTCCCTTCTCCGTACCTTGGATGGTGGGATGGTTGCTGTCAATCGAGGGGGATTCAAGCATGGTCCCGGGAAGTTCAAGATCATCCATCTGGAACATATCATGATTTATGCCATTTGAATCAATGTCTTTGGTATTTGATACTGACTCCTGATGAAGAGGTTTCTTAAGAGTCGGATGCACCGATGTCCTATCTGATTCTACTTGATGATTGGGTTTAGGCTGGTCAGTGAAACATGAAGTTGCCTCCGAACTACAGCGGGCACTAGAAGTGGCCATCTCTCTTCGCTTGTGCTCTTCACGGGAGGACATTGCCAAATTAAGATTCGAGAGAGAGTGACGCCGAGTGACATGTTTGGATCTATCTCCACATTCTTCATCATGCGAATCATGGGAAGCAGAGCAGCCATTACGTGACTTTGAAGTGAAACCAAAATGTTGTCTGAACGCTTTTGCTCGTGCTCTTAAGGAGTGAGGAGAGAGCACTTCACGCAAAACCTTCTCTTTGAGTGCCAGGTTGATCCTTGTCAACCCCCTGATCTTTGAAAGGCTGGTTGAACTTGAGACGGATGATGTTGGGAGACTGGAGTGTGTAGGAACAGAAGACGCCCCTGAGAAGGCATTTAGATACCGTTCACGAAGATGGCCAGGTCGGCTATCCAACGATCGCCCTTCTTCTACGATATCAACTGTCGATCCTGGAAATCGTCCAGGTGTTGAGGGCCATTTCCAGGATTTTTTCATCTTTTCCAACATCGCATCTGTGACAATGTGTCGGTTCTGTTCCAGTACGACTTCAGGAACTAGCTCTCCTGGTCGGTCTCCGTTTTCAGGATCCGGCAGCTGGCGATAAGTGACATTCAGTACACCTAGGTAAGCAGGAATATAAGGCAAGACTTCTGGATGGTGTATTTCAATATATTCGTAAAACACTTGTTCGTTCTGGGAGACAGGTTTACAGATTGCCTTATTAGAGAAGCGAAGAAAAGACGCATGGCCGCCCACTTGGTTTGTGAAGGGCACAAGTGGAAGGGCTGGAGAACCAGAATGATAGGCGCTAGTCTCTCCTCCAAAGTCCTCGTCTGCAGAATGCCACGAGTCGTCACCATCATCCAGGTCGCCCAAGTCATTTTCTGCATCTGCATCATTCTCATTGTCGAGATTTTGACGTTCGACTGTTGGGCTTGGGTTACGATCCGTGTCCGGTGCGTTTTTGTCGAGATTTTCTGGTGATGATGACCAGAAGGATTGGATCTGGGCTGTTATTGCTGAGGGTGATTGAACACGGGGACTTGTGGGGACATAGGCTCTCTTTCCAGAGGGTTCTGTCGGTAACTGGGCTGTAAAAGAAGTGGGTGATTTCTGAACCGCATGTTTTGCGCGAAAAGTGGGCGAGAGTACCTCTTTGCGTGTGGGAGTAGAGTGGTTGCTGTTGTTGACGATAATGTTGTTGCTGTTGCTACTCGCGGCTAAGGTATTGGCGGCCAGAAGTGCACCGAGTGATTTCCTTTTGTTCAAGGCAGAGAGAGGAGAGCAAGAATGATCAGAGAGATTGTTGGTCTCGTCAGGACCGGATGTGGGTGAATCCGAAACGGAGTCATCGGAGGAGCAGATCGAAGCACCGGGAGAATTCTGCCCACTGGAAGTATAGTGTAAATTGGAAGAGGGTGCACTTGAAGTGGCAGGATTCTGGGCATGCCCAAGAGGCGAATAGAGTAGGTCACTCTTTAGTCGTGATGGTGGTTTAGGCCGTTGTTTGAGGGAAGGCGGGAGCGATGAACTGAAAGAGATTGCAGTCTGGTTAGGTTTGTTAGATTGATACAAGGACTGAGAGACATTGGGGGGATCTGTAAGAGCTACGGCTGCATCGTTATTGTTATTGTTACCAATACTGTTATTGTAATGAGAATGCTGGGGATAGTCGGTTATTGAAGTACCATGGTGGCTGTTTGGCTGTTTCGAGGCTCTTAAACCAAAGCCCACGACATGGTTGGTAGTGCTATCTTGAGTTCGATCAGGGTTGGTGCACAAGGAGAATGATAGAGAACGCTTTGCTTGTGATGGTTGCATGCCTTCTTCATGGGATGATATTGGGAAATGATTAAGCGATAATGGACCATTGTCAGGAAGGGAGCATGAAGACAATGGGGAGATTGGTCCGGAGGGAAGAGATGTTGGAGAAGCAGAGTAAAATGAAGTTGGACTAGAGGATTGATGCTGGGTCTGAAGGGGGACTTGGACCGGCAGTGGTTGTGTGAGAGGATGCATTGAAAACGAAGTGGAAGAGTCTGTAGAATGTGTTGACATGGTGGCACTTTTTTTTAATATCAGGTTTCTCTTCACTTTATTTTTTCCTTTTATTTTTTTTTTTTTCTTTTCACGTTCGCGGATGTAGACAATGCCGGTTGATCATTTGCAACAGCGAGGAGTGAAAGAGTAGGGGCGGAGTAAAAGAAATAGGCGAAGTAACTGTTGGAATGAGCCTTTTGTTGCGTTCTTTTAACCCTGTTTTTAAACTTGCTTGTTTTAGAGCTGATCCTTTACAAGAATGAGCAAAATAGATGGGGATTATAAAGAGACAAAGGCTAAAAAAGGGAAGAAGCGAACAGATCAGATGGCTGATCTTTGAAGAGCGAATAAGAAAGAGAGGATTAGAGTTGTTTCTGTTTGCTCTGAGGATTGGAATGGTGCGTTGCAATCAAATGATGAGGTAAAATAAAATAAAATAAAATAGAGACAAATAACAGCGTGGGAAGAGAGACAATGAATAGGGATGGATGAATGAAAAAGAAAAGACAATGGAAGGAGGGGGTTAGAGAAAGAAGTGGCCCAGAGTAGAAAATGAGCAAAAGGATGGAAAAAAAAAAAAAAAAAAAAAAAAAGAAAAAAGAGAAAAGAGAAATGAGAGGAGAGAAGAGAAGAAAGAAGAGAAGAGAAGAGAAAAGAAGAGAAGGGAAGAGAAAAGAGAGGTATAAAAAGAAAGAGACAACCGTGCTTGCTTTTTTGCCAGGTTTAAATAGTCTTTTTTTTTTTTTATTTTGTTGGCTCTCAGTTCAATGACGATGTGCTGCGTTTTCTATATACACTCAATTGCCCCGCGGGACAACTGCACACAACTGCACTTGGGTGTGTCCGTTCTAGTCTAACTTTTTTTAAAAAATTAAAAATGCCACTATGATATTTTTTTTATCAATATCAAGGGTGGCAAAGCTTGCCAACTTTCTTCCTTTCTGCTTTTTAATCCTTTTATGGGTAAGGAAAAAGAGGGAGAAAGGAGGATTACATGTATTATGTGGAATAGTGGCAACACAGGGGAACAATTTTGTTTATGTCTAATGCCTCCATTCATTAATTTCACTCTCCTCCTTTGCCTTTTTTTTTTTATTTTTTTATTTTTTACACATCTCTATCTTGGGTATAAATGAACATGTGCATCTAAACCTCATGCGATTTAAAAAAGATTATCATCAGGTTTAAAAAAAAAAAATTTAAAAACAAAACGATGCATTCATGCATTGACCTGAAGGATAGTCTATCGCCATTGTTGCTATTGCTATTTCGATCTCGTAATCAACACATGTACATGTACCTCTGCTTCATTTAATGAAATGCAAACTATCCATCAACACTTTTTTAAGGTGCCAAAAAAAAATAATTTAGGATGATCCTTTTACTTTTTGTTTAGTTATCTCGATAATTTAAAAAAATGCTGCTCAGCTCATTTCAAATTGAAAAAGATCCATGTGCTCTGTCCGTTCTCACGTTTAAACTATTACCATGAGCATGACTCGAATAGAAACCAAAAGGTTTACAAGTCTAACAAATCAAAAAACCGACACTTTCCCATGACTTTCCTTCTTGACTTGCAACCAGGGATAAATGTGTGTTTACATTCTTCCTAGTCCCCTTTGCTTCAAAGGTCAATCTTTATTTCTTTTCTTTTCTTTTGTACCGTGACGCAAACTACCTCCTTTATCCCTGTCTGCTTCTACAAAAGAGGGACCAATACACCAACGACGTCGCTTTAACAAACACATGGTCCGAGTTTGTTCGGCTATTTATCTGTTGTACCTTTGCTGTGATGTGCACAACTGGCACGTCTCCTGATCGTTAGTTCGGATTGGATATCCAACCAACCAAAAAAAAAAAAAAAAAAAAAAAAAAAAACCTTTTTTCTCTCTTTGCTAGATTAGAAAATACCTCAATTATATTCCTAGTTACTGCAACATCTAGAAAAGTGATTATGTTCAACAGTATAAAAACATTTCGAATCAAGCACAATTGCAAGTTCATAGAGAAGTGTGAACCAGCAGGAGTCACAATCCATTTCTGTTATAATTCGGGCTTCATATAACTTTTATAGATATTATATTTTTAGCTTTTTTTTACCAAATGAATATGAGTAAGAACTCATGAGTATGAATGTCTCTAAAATGAAATGAAAAAGAGAAAAGTATGGAGAAAATGGGAATTGAGAGCGTGGAGGACTTTATTGGTTGTGGTACCCTCAAAATAAAAAAACGTGCTATTCCCTTCCCTCCACATACAAAACAAACAGAACACACCCTTCAATCCTAATCGACTATTGGGTGACTGGAAAGGAAGAGAAAAAAGCAGTTATAACATTATAAAAATATAATCAACTAGAAAGATTCAAAAAGGGGCGCAGTCAAAATTATATATATTTTTTAAACTTATTTAAAGAAATATGATTTTGACCGCAGTTTTACTTTTTACTTACACGTTTATGAACTTTTGGGTGTAGACTTCGCCATCGTGCATTTAAGGAATGGAAATAATCCTTATTTGCAACCCCTTTTTCTTTCTTTGTTACATCTTCCATGTATTGATTCAATAAACTTCAATTCAAAAAAACTCATCTTGCTTCACTCCACTCCATCATCTCATCTACACAATGTCCACACGACAATCCCGCACCGCAGACAAATCTACCAATGATAAACATACACGCATCCTCAAGAAGCTTTTGCAAAAGCCCGAAAACAAGTTTTGTGTGGATTGTCGCAAGAAAGGTATGACTGCTCTAGTGGCCTTGGTCCACATTCTGTCCAAGCCTGCTTATTCGACCTTTTTTTTTTTGTTCATTTGCAGACTTTTTACAACCGCTTTGAAGCTTTACTGAGGCAACTCCTTGCACTTTATCATTATATTCTCTTTTAGATCCTCGATGGGCTAGGTGAGGTTTGATAACTTGTATGGAGTCATGCAGCTGCTTTTGCTAATTCAAGCACTAAAAAAAAAAAAAATGATGTGGTAATTGTTTGTTGTCATAGCTTCAATCTTGGATGCTTCATGTGCATTCGCTGCTCTGGCGTCCATCGTTCAATGGGAACTCATATCACTAAAGGTAAGTTAGAGCCAGCTTATGTGATTCGTGAACAAATGATAGGCTTGTGATTCTTTATCTGATATTCCTCTCATTGATAGTCAAATCCGTGGATCTGGACAGCTGGACACCAGAACAGGTGGAGAATATGATCAAGTGGGGCAATGAAAAAGCCAATATGTACTGGGAAGCTCGCCTTCCAGCAAACAGCATTCCAAATGAATCGTAAGTTTGCTGTGCAGGATTAAAATACTCAAACAATGTTAAAGGAGCTTTATTGTATTAATCATAGTATATTTCCTTCCTTCACAATAGCACTTCAGGAATCGACCCCTGGATCCGTTCAAAGTACGAACACAAACAATTTGCGAGGAAGGGATCTTTCCCTGACCCATCCGAGCTTGGGCCTATAGATGAAGCAATGCTTATGGAATTGGTATGGGCCAAAATATTTTCTCACGCGAAGTCGGTTTTTTTTTATTGCGGATCAAATTAGCCCCTTTTTTTTCTCCTCTTAACCACCCAATGTCAATGTTTGGCTCTTTTTTTTTTTAGTATGGAAAGTCAGATAGCCAGTCCCGACCACAGGCACAAATGAATAGATCCAAGGATACTTCTGGTTCATTTGCAGGAAATATCGCACCCCCACCAGCAAATCCAACCCGATCCTCCTTCCCTAAACCTGCAGCTTCACCCGGTCTACAAGGTGCTGATCTTTTTTCAATCGGACAGCGGTCTGCATCGCCAGCCAAACCGGCGCAAGCTTCTGCAGCCCCAGTGGATTTTTTTGGATTGAATGACTCTACACCTGCACAAAGCACTCAAGTTCAGGCACCAAAACTCGTCTCAGGCAGTGCTACTCAGGACTTGTTTTCGATTACTAGCACAACCAATCAACCTTCAGCTCCATCCAGTAATAACGGACCACAGGCAGCAAAACCTGTTGCTAATACTGACTGGAAGAACTCGATCATGTCTTTATACGGAAACCAATCTTCCGCTCCCAAGCCCAACACAGGTGGATTTAATAGCGCACCCTTTGGTCAGCTCCAAGGTATTGATGCTTTCGGTTTTGGACAACCACAACAACAGCAACAGCAACAGCAACAGCAACAGCAGCAACGACAGCAACAACAGCAACAACAGCAACAACAGCAGCATAATCCGTGGGGTAATGATGATGGATTTGGAGATATGCAACAAGCTTCAGCACCTGCGCCTTCAGCGTCATCTTTTGATATATTTGGTATGGGCTCTAGCACCAGTAATGCTAATAACAATAATATTAATAACAATAATAACTTCTTTGGGGCAAATAATAACAATGGCTTCGGGAAAAGCCTCAATAATGGCTTTGGGCCTCAAAATGGATCCAATGGTGGTGGTGGTGGTGTTCCGCAAGGAGGCGATCTTTTCAGCATGATTGCCGATGCAACAAAATCACCAGTGGCTAGCCCCCCTCCAAGCAACAACAAGAACAATAGGTTTGAAATTTCTCCACAATTGTTTCCGGATATTGACTTTTGGTATGCGTCCAATAGTATTGACACCCTTGTTTATCTTTTTGTTATCCATGAATTACTCTAGCGCCTTTGGAGACCTTTCTTGGAACTAAAAAAAATCTACTACCTCGTACCCATGGAAGTTTGATAGATTAGACTCTTAATAAAATTATATTAAGGCTTTTTACATTTACTTTTATTTCGCCCATTAGAAAAAGTATAAATATTCCGTTTCTCTTTGTTGCTTTATACAATCCTTTTGTGAATTAATCTCATTCAGTTTATTTTTTTTAAAAAAAAAGTCATGGACGCATTTACGCCATCGTCAGGAGAGGAAGTCGTTACTTCATTGGGACCATCGCTTGAGAATCTACCTTTGGAATGCATTCAAGTCATCCTCGAATACTTGTCAAACGATTGTCATGCACTCTACAGTCTCTTGCTCATGAACAAGACATGGTTCCAAATGGTCCTCCCATTCCTCTACCGTAGCCCCATGGCACTTGTTGATGCCACCTGGCCAAAGTTGTCTGCATACTCCCAGGTCTTGAAGAAAGGACCCTCATCACTAACGCCACAGTCACCGTTACTTTCACCAATACCTGTAGAAGTACAGGGCGCCAATGCAGGAACAGTGGGAGAGACACGCAGTAGATCAGTCAGCCGTAACACAACTTCAGAGTCGAGTACTACTAGCGATGGTACAGCCACTGAGAGTGTCCGCTCGGGAAGAAGCCAGAGTAACACGCGTAGGACAAGCACCATTTCTTCGTCCAATGGAGGATACGGACTTGGGTATGCTCCACGTACCCACAGTCGAAGCAGTAGTCATAGTAGCACCAGGAGCTGGACAGGCGACGCATTCCATCAAGGCAGGAATGAGGCTGTTCTCCAAAAAGATCAACGAGAGAAACTTGTGAAGCGGAAAAAAATGCAGCTTCTCTGGGTGCTCTTAAACTGCACGCTGTCCGAAGAGGAGTACGAGGCCAGTGTCACAATGAATGCCGCCTCGTCCAAAACTGCCAGCGACAACGATACCGAAAAAGACAAAGCTGCGGCTGCCGTGTGGGCCTCCTCAACATTGTTATCACAAAAGCTGGGCTTGAATCTGGAGATTGAGACAGAATATTTCAGACCAATGGTCGACTACTTGGCTCATTACACGCATCTTCACCATCCAGGGCTACGACTCATCATTTGGAAAGTCTTCCCTTCTATCGACGACGCCTTTAGAATTGAATGGAGACTCCTCAGTCATTCACCTGAACGCATTCGGGAACTTTATTTGGAAAGTGTGGAGCTGCAAGACATGATACCCTTAATTCCAAAACTGGAGAAGCTGCAGCGCATCAAGGCTTGTTGTCAAGAGGACTGGGATGTATCTGGACCAATTGAATTTATGAAGCAGCATAACAAACTCTTCGGGACAGTGAGGATGATGGAGCTAGAGGGATATCTTCCAGATAAACATGAAACCCCTATGGATGAACGGTTCAGCGATTTGATTTCACAAGTAGAGCATTTGAAAGTACTGGAGCTAACAGGATTTGAGTCACTAAAGGCACGGTTGAATACGATCCCTTACAAGAGCTTGAAAGTCTTGAAACTAAATTGTGGTACATTGAAACCAGAGTACACACCATACACATCTATAACAGAAGAACAACAACAACATGGTCTGGCGGGACAAACGACAGGCTCATCATCAGGACAAGATGGTAGAATGCCGGTCAGTTCCTTCCTGAGTCAGTGCCGCCAATTAGAAGAGCTGTTGTTAGATCCAGTCGACGAAGACGTGTTGGAGTGGGCAGTTCAGGAACGTAGAGATTTTGAGGTAAATACATTGAACTAAGCTGTTTCTATAAAAAAGAAAAAAAAAAAAAAAAAAAAAAAAAAAAGATATCTTCTTTCCAGGATAGCTTGAAATTCAATGGGTCTCCCATAAACTTATTTATCCTCGCTTTCTAACATTCTACGAACTTCTAAACCTACAAATCGCTAGGCTGCGCTGCTAACATCCAATCTGAGCTCCTCGTCAGCCATCATCTCGACCCATAATTCCCCGCCGACATTGATACCACTAAAGATACTCGAGCTTTCAGGAGAGGACAGTGAACGTGTCGCCATGACTGTGTCTCAAGCTGCTGAAGCTTTCCAGGACACGCTTGAAGTGATCAAGGCCAACTCATACTCTTATCGATATAACCGGCTACTTACACCCCTCTCTTGGCGGTGTTTAATGCCGCGACTCCAAGTCTTGAAAGTGGTAGGGAGATCCAATTTGCCACTAGACTTTCAATCATTTCAATACTGCCCTTCACTCAGGATATTGGATCTCTCAAAGTATTCAGGGATGCGCGCATGTTCTGAAGCAGCCCTCCTAAACCTGAAGTACCTAACCAAGTTGGAATACTTGGGTCTGTCAAGCTTCGACCATTTGACGGATTCTACACTAAGGACCATATTGGGATGCATGCCAAGGCTTAAGCATCTGAGGTTGGCCATTGGAGATTCGAGCACGTCATCGTCAGCAGGCGGAACTCTTTCGACGACAACAATATCCTCATTTATGAACCCGGCTAGCTCGGGAACAATCAAGAACACAGGAAGTACCAGAGCATCAGGGGCATTCGGAAGCAGTGCTGGTACTGGAACTAACGGAGGCGGCAATAGCAATAGCAATAGCAATAGCAATGGCAGTGGGAGTGGTAGTGGTAGTGGTAGTGCTAGCGTCAGTGTAAGCAGTACCACGAATGGAAATGGCGGCGGTATAGATCTACTCAAATCACCTTTTGCTTCACTCTCCATTTCTTCATCGTCTGCATCGTCTCCTGTCTCGAATTCGTTGACGGCATCCCCTGTTTCTCAATACGTTTATTCTCCTTATAGTCACCATCATACTCCGCCACCACTTCCTCACTCGTCCTCATCATTCTCTACAACAATATCCAGTCCATATCTGATGAACACTACTAGCACTAGCAGTTTGGTAGGCAGTATCAACAGCAACAGTGGTGGTGGTGTTGGTGACATGGCTTCTTCTGCTTGGTCAACCTCCTCCTTGATGGACCGGTTTCACCTTGAGAATAACTTTTTGTCCCTCGAGGGGATCTTGGATGCGATCGATGGATTATCCGATTCCAAAGATCAACTGGAGAAATTATCGATTGTCCTGGGCAAATTGGACTTTGAAGATCATTATCGGCGTTTAGAACAATATAACCAACTACATCCTGATTTAGAGATCACCGTGTATCGGTATGCTCATGCAGTTTAGATAATAATAGGAGGCAGAAACCAATTTTATTTTTTTATTTTTTTTATTTTATTTTTTATATTGGAATAAACCTCTCTAAGCGCAAAAGCGTTTCTATTACAGATAAAACCATGAAGCCCTGTTGCACTCTAATGATACCCTTATTGATAATACTATTAAGAAAAAGGAAAAAAAATAAAAAATAAAAAAATAAAAAAAGATAACACAAAGAAGATCGTTAGAATGATTATTCTTGACATTGAAATTAGAAGGCAACTTTTTTTTAAATAAAAAAAAAATAATATTAATAAATAAGTAAATAAATAAACGAATACTTTACCAAACTAGCCGCAAAGACAATATCACGCTTGATAGCTTGACCAGCCAACTCCATCTTATTGTACAGAGCCGCATCTCCAATCATCCTCGCCGCGTTTCTGACTTCGTTGCATGTCTCATCCAGACGATGGATTGTTCTCACAATAGAACCTAAAAGAATTAATCAGGGTCAATAAACAGATATTATGAATGATATGAATTTGTATATCCTCCCTCCATGAAACTCGAAAACTCTGCAGATTTTTTTTTCTTTTTTTGGTTTTGTTTTGTTTTGTTTTGTTTTGTTTTGTAGTCATGGCAAGTACCTTCTTGAACATCTGTCAGGTCTGTGATCTGCTTGAAGCTCATTCCCCTAGCCCATTCGTACACGACCTCAGTCAAGCCAAAACGTAAAGCGGACGACCCCGGAGCAGTCGCAGACTCCAGTCCATAAGCTTTTTGAACCTCTGCCATCCTTTCTTCAATAGCCAGGATCATCTCCTTGCCTCTTTGCAATTGAGGTGTCAGGTTCGGTTCAGACGCATTCTTCTCTTGGCAGACAAAACAGGAGAGTAATGCTACGATCTCTTCGGGTTCAAACTCGGAGAACATGTTATCAAGGATCAACTCTGTGAGGATTAATTCGTCCGCACTGTTGATCTCACAGGCCACTCGACCCTTGAGTTGTACAGTCGAACTCTCCGGATCCAAATAGTTGAGCTCTTTGAGGATCGCAATGCGTTGATGATAATCTGGGAGGAGCTCCAGATTTTGATCAGAAATCGTGCGCTGCAATTCTTCCAATTTATATTTCAGCTCTCTCTCTTGGTGGATCATGGCATACTATATTACCAGGAAAAAAAAAAAAAAAAAAAAAAAACGTTGGTTTCTTATCCTCATTCCTTCTCTTTTCCTATCCAAGGAAACCCATATACATTAGACTTACATGAGCCTTCAGGTCTGGACATTTATTACATTGGCATTCCAGGACTCTGGAGAATAAAGTCTTCTTTTGAGCGAGATATTCTCGGAACTCAAGATCCTTGATCTTATTCCAATTGTATTCCGTAACAAGCCCTCCTTTTTGTTCTTCAACCTCTTCAGCATACCGGCTCAGGTCCTTGCGGACCTTGGTAACAGCCTGGACATCTTTCCGCATGATAGCGTCGACATCAATCTGGAGACTGGTGTCGGTGATTGTGAAGATGTCATGGAATGGTACAGCCTCAGTAACTAGGCTGATTTCCTGTATATTTGAGGCCCTGAGTTGTGTAACAGGAATCAAAACATCCTGCTCAACCACAGGTTTTTCTAGAATATAAATATAGGAAAGGGAGGTGGGATGTTAGCATGACAACTAAACATCATCAATACGATCCGCACTGTAATATCTCATTTTTCCATATAACTATTATTATACCTTTCTTAGCCTCGGTCATGATACAGCACCAATAAGATTTAGATTGCTTAGCCATCATGTCAGCCTCAGCAACTGTCTTGAGGATGACTGCAAGGGTATTTCTGTGGAACTGAAATAAAGAAATAAATGAATAAATAAAGATGTTGAAGGAGATGTCTGTTGACAAGTGTACTTGTTTGAATTCCATCCTTTTTCACCCTTCCTTCATTGATCTCAAGCCTAGATCTGCGCTCATCTTACACTGCTATTCAAGACAACGATGCGACCAGCGCCAAGGGCCCTGATGCCAAACTTGATAACTCTATCCATCAGGTGGTGGTTGATTGTCACCATTCTGGAAGACATGTCGTAAAATTCCTCGATATCCTTATTACAGATAAAACAATCCAATTTCTTGAGGCTTTCCATTGACTTTGCACTCTATATAAAAATACATATTTTTCAAAAGTGAACGTTAAAAAATAAAATAAAATTGAGTGCCTCAACTTTTAAAAATTTCTTATCTCCCATTTCTTTATATATATATATATATATATATATTACCTCCGCAAACAGCTTTTCCTTTTCTGGCATGGCTTTTTGAGATGTATTCTCAGAGAAACTGCGTTTGATCATCTCTTCGACTCGAAGAGCCTCAACTCGAAGTAAGTTCAGGATCATATTATAGGTCAACCGGAATTGGGATAATAATCTTGTTCCTTTGCCTAATAACATCTCCTGTAGATCTGTTGACTCTGGTGGATCACCATTGCTGGCAATGATGACTAACCCTGTCGAATCTAAACCACGTCTTCCTGCACGGCCTGACATTTGTGTGTATTCACCTTTTTTTCATATTTAAAAAAATAAAAATAAAAATAAAATAAAAAATAAAAAAAGAATGATAAAAGCATTATCTTAAACATGCAATGCAAAGAATTAGAGCTAAATAAAATAAAAACTAAAAGTGTTACTTACCTGGCAAGAGATTGCGGAAGCTACGCCCATCATGCTTACGAATACCTGAGAATACAACTGTGCGGGCAGGCATATTTACGCCCTACAACAGTAGTAGATTGAGAGGGAAAAAAAAGATCATAGTATCATGGACTAAATCTGTTTAAAATATAGAAAACTTGGATTAACAAAAAAAAAAAAAAAAAAAAAAATACCATTGCAAATGTTTCAGTAGCAAAGAGGACTTTAACTAGACCACGGGCAAACATGATTTCAACCATCTACACGCATGCATGAAGAGTAAAATATAAAAGTTATTAGACCATGGCTGATTAAGACTGTCATTCCATCAAATAAAAAAACGATTAACAAACCTCTTTCATAATTGGTAAGAGTCCCGAGTGATGAACTGCAATACCCCTGCCCATCAGATCCCTCATCCTTGTAATTTGCGGCAAGTCCCGATCTATGTCGTGTAATCGTTCGAGCGACTTTTGAAAGAACACATGGACTTGGCTCTTTTCCGAGGAAGTCATCAGATCTGTACTCGACAACCCTGCTGCGTTCTCCTCACACTTCTTCTTTGAAAACGTGAAAACAACAACGGGCAAGAACTGTTTCTTATTGAGGAATCCAACCAAATGTGTGAAGAGATTCTTATCTTGTTTGTCATTCCTCCAACCACCGCCACCACCACCGATAGCGCCACGTCCACCGCCACCACGCCCTGTAGCCCCTCCACGGCCGCCCCGCTGAGCAACTTTTGCATCAGATTCCTTCTTGGATATGGCGTCCACTGCATCTTTGTAACCCTTGTTGAGCCATGTTTGTTTGGCATCCACGATCTTGTAGATTTCTCGATTAGCAAAGAGATAATGCTCTAGTGGAACAGGACGCTTGGGTGTACTGATAACATAAATGTCTTTCTTTTTCGTTCGTCCAACCCAATCGGCGAATTCCTTTGTGTTTGGTACCGTAGCTGATAACAAGATCAACGTGACATGCGCAGGAAGCATAATAATGACCTCTTCCCAGACGACTCCACGCTCCAAGTCATTGACATAATGAACTTCATCAAAGATCACAAATTCGACATCACGGATCAGATCAGCGCCTCGATAAAGCATACTCCTGAGAATCTCGGTTGTCATAATCAAACAGGAAGCCTCGGGGTTGATTTGAACATCTCCTGTTAATATTCCAACTTCTTCAAATGTGTCCTTAAAATCCCTGAACTTTTGATTAGATAGCGCCTTGATGGGTGAGGTGTAAATGGCCTTGGTCATGTGTTTGGAGGCTAAAGCGATTGCATACTCTGCCACCACTGTCTTTCCAGCACTAGTATGGGCCGCCACAAAAACAGATTCGCCCTTCTCCAGATGATAGACTGCCCTCTTCTGGAATGTGTCGAGTTCAAAGGGATACGGATGTGCCATCTCTGGGACTAGAGTGTAGAAATCATCAAAGGGCTCATTTACATCTACCACATGCGCCCATTCACGGCCCTTGGTCTGGGCTGCTTTGATGGGGCGTTTTGTTCCAGCTACTGAAATAACACTGTCCAGAATTGTATCCACTTCATCTGGTGTCTCTTTCTCGGCGGCTACTCCAGTCTTCGTCTCCTCCTTGACTTTTGTCGCTTCTGCGGCCGAATCCGCTGGTTCCTGTGCAGTTGGTTGCGGTACAGGATCCATCAAGGCTTCAAAGTCTGCTTCCTCGTCTATATCCTGTCCCGAGAGGATATCTGTGATATTGAACAAGGCCCCATTCAGCTTATTAGAGTCAGCTGTAGTTGTTCCATCCACCCCATGAGCATGGGCCTCTCCATCTGTATCTTCATCCGAGAAAAGGCCTCTAGTGAAACCAGGAGGCTTTGTCAACCATCCCTCAGACTCTATCGATAAATTCTCAGCAATCGTCTTCGCAATGTCGATATCATCCAAGCCGAGCGCGGCTTTTTCTGCCTCCAGGGGACCAACGCCTTTGATTTCTTCTAGATCGAGTCCACCGGGTGTGAAGGGGAAATAGCCCGCTTTGCCTCTTACGAAATCTGTTCTTTTTCCAGGAGCACGAGCAAAGCTTGTGGAGTTTTTAGCGGTCATGATGGAAGTGCTGGCTATAGCATTGGAACCAACGAGGTGAGTCGAACGCAAGTTTTTCTCATAGTATCCACCCCGGACACCATACACATTATGAGGTTCCAATGCGATAGTGGATTCTGCGGGCGAGGGCTCCATTAAGAGTAAGGTATTGAACTCCTGATCTCTATCGAAAACTTCCTGACATTTGTTGAGCCACTCAGTTGAGAAGGTATTACTGGGTAAAAGGTGCTCTTTTTCAATGTCCCGTCTAATGTCATCATAAGTCAGAGGTCCTGCAATTGAAGTCGGTAACTATGTATGATACATTTTTTTTTTTTTTTTTTTTTTTTTTAAAAAAAAAAAAAAAAAAAGCGAAATATAAATTCATCCCATTTTTGTTATCATGACGATGGTGAATCGATACAGCTGAATATAAAAGAAGTAGACGGTTGTCATACCTGGAATGTTTCTGGTAACTCTTCAAGAGGCACACCTGGAAAGGCTGCGGATTTCAAACGCGCCAGAAGGTCTAAAGTATCTAAAATAATACAATATAAAAAAATAAAATAAAAATTGCCTGGCTGTCAGTAAAAACAAGGAAAAAACGAAAAGAGAATGGAATTCATCCTTTGATTCTTGATGTCTTCATTCCTTTGTTACCTTGGGATGGCATAGTTTTGTATTCGCGCTTTTGGCTATTTAAAGACAAGTTTGGCTGATGCAGCAAAGCAGAACTCCATTAGAGAGACCTTTTCGGAGTGCCCTCCTTTACCTTCATTTTGCAGTCACGGATCGCTTTCATCAGTTTGTCCTCGCGCATCAGTAAGCGCGTATAACTTGTATTCGTATAAGTATTTTAGATTTCTAACATTCTTCTCCCTCTCCATTCACTCATCACTTTTTTTTTTTTTACGCTTAAAGACAGGAAAGCATTGCGGTTTATAAACTTTAAATCATTAATTACTGCACTTGGCACTGTCTCAGCGAGTTCCTATGGTAGTTGTTACTGGACCTTTCATACCGAGTCCCCGTGCCAGTGCGCGGCAGGGCGGGGTCGGAAAGGCCAATTTGTTTTTATAACTTCATTTTCTTTTTTTTTTTTTTTTCTACTTATTTTTACGAGTTTACAACAAATAAAAATGAATTCAAGCATGGATATTCAAGTCTCAAAAGGGACGATAGATTGGTTGAAGGAATATGCTGAAACGTTTAGATACTTCAACAGTCTAGATTAAACCGGCGAAAAATGTATGATTTCAGCTGGCCGAAGCCTAGAAAATTATAAAACTTTGACCCTTTCAACATAAAAGTATCGTCTTACGCGCCCGGGAAAGGCCCGTTTAGATGACATATAATTCCATCCGGAGACACAAAACCCTGGCATTTCAGAATGTGATGCCATTTGTAGCCGCTGTAAAGGCGCTCTTGGTTCCTGTAAGGTCTTCACACAGCGAGATATATATATGGCGTCTATAAATGGCCAGCAATTGGGTATGGCCCCTCCCTTTCCTGGATGCCTTACATAGTTAAAGGTTAGGAGATGTTTCCATTTATAAAAATTATCTCGGAAACATCGCGGAGTAAGTTACTGAGTTGATCTATGCCTACATAAGAAAAAAAAAAAAAAAAAAAAAAAAAAAAAGATCACCGCGTCAGTTAAATATCTTGGAGCAGCCAAACAATAGAAGACACCACAATCCGGGGTTCAAGTATGAAGTATTCACGTAAGAGAAGATGGGTAGCTATTACATTTATCTCATCGCCGGCGAAGCGGTAGTTCTCATAAGGGTTGATACAATCTATTTGCTAACGTACGGCAACTGGTCTAGGAATCAGTCCATGGCAGAATGCTGCTTGTGTCTGCATACTGGTCGTCCTAATTAGAAATAGTAGAAAGAACTGCAACCCATCAAATTACACATTATTATCCAATATCTCTGCTTTGTCTTCTCTTTTGCACAACGGGGAACTAACATCAAGGATTGAGATAAGCTACAATAGCGAATGACCAGATGGAGCGCATTTGTGAGTAGGACACAAATTGCTGCTCTTAGTACCTTAATGTAATCAGAAAGTTCTTCTCGAGACCATGAAAGAATTGAAAATAATGTCTGTAACTGGTCGACTACAGTAACGACAAATATGACATTCATGCGGCAGCAACTAATAGCATTAACTTAAGGCTCAAAGGCTACTTTCAACAATGCAGCAAGAACTCTCAGCTGGAAGATGATAAGAGTGATGGTGGTTCCTCCAAACAGATCAAGCTAGACGAGAGTGGCCTAATGACAGCGATTGCTGCAGCAGAAGGCTGTAATGGACGGCATTCCTTACCTCTCCTCCCTTACGGATAATGAACTGGTTTCAGTACTAAAGAGTGTTGGAAAAAGAGTGGTTATGACCGACAGGTACTTTTCGATATTCGGAACCGCCACTTCCCTCCAAAACACATCTTTCCGGATAAACTAGTGTTACCGAGAACTTTTTTTTTTTTTTCTAGGACCAATCTGTATTAAGACATTGTAAAGAGAGTGGATCAGTGTTACTACATGGCTCCATGAGAGCCAGCCACTGACGAACTCAAAAACCCAACGAGGATATTACAATACTTTACACTGGGCGAGAAATTTGTGTTAAAATGGGCCTCTAATTATATCAAGCAAAAAGGCACAGACATCATGGTGCAAGGAAATTGATCGTTCTCGAAAGTCTTCGAGAAGCACTACCGTTTGTCGAGTGCCACCTCCAACAACATGGCCATGAGCACTCTAGGCTAGGTTTTCTTTAGTTAGTTGTTCGTTTCGTTTAGTTTTGTTTTAGTTTAGTTCCCTTTGGCGATCTCCCTGGAGCCACATACAGACATAGTACCGTAGGGAATGGTTCACTGAATGATCTACGAAGGACAACTATTCACATTGTCATAGGTACCATGAACGTATGTCCCACCCACGCCATCCTTTTGGCTCGAGAAGTAGATGCAGAACAGATTTGCAGGGCAGAGAGATCTTTTATTTAGTTTATTTTCTTTATTTCTTGTTGGATTTTCAATGAAGAAAGGTGACACATCCGTCCATGGTGCCTATGACAATGTGAATAGGTCGTAGACCATTCAGTAGCCCATTGTCCTTGGGCTTTATTGAAGATGGATTGTCTGTGGAAGCTTCAAAGATTGGCCACCTCCTATGACTCTTGGCTGATTTTCTCACTTTCGGCATTATTGTAAAAGGTAGAATCAAGAATGTAAGAGTTAAAAAAAGGTCCATTTTAGTAAGATGCAAATCAGAGTTGATTGTAACAAAAAACAAACTCTGGACAGGCCTCTTCTTTATGCTCGCCGAAATTGATAACAAGGACTCCCGAGGTCATGTAGGATTTATTTAGTATATTTGCCCGCCGAAATTACATCCTATGATTGCAGCAAACTTAGTTTTATTAATTATGAATCTTTTTCTTGCTCCTTTGTGCTCTGTAGGCCTTGACAAAGGCATTGTTGGTTCCAGTCATGGCGATCGCCTCGGAAACTGACGCCAGGGCCCCAGTTTCCTTTTCCTTTAAGCTTATACGTGTTGATTTTGATATCTCTTCCAAAACTGCCTCAATCAGATCCTTCTTCATTAGATAATGCTGCCTCTTCTGCGCATTGAATCCTTTACGCCATTTCACTCTATTTTCAACTTGCTTCTTATTCATGGCCCATATGGAGGGCCGCCCTGCGAGGCCATCACCAACGAACCACTCGTTCCACTGCTGACTAAGAGGTGCTGATTGTGGTAGCATATCGTGTGTTGAAACGGTTGGTTCAATTTGGGGGTAGGACATGGCAATCTGATTCGCTATTTCCTCCAGACCGTCTATAGTTGAATCCTCCTTTTCAGCCTCCGTGTGATTTCCGCCTAATGAGACACCATGTTGAATTCGCCTTCTTTGAGCTGCTTCCTCTTCCTCTCCTTCTCCCCGCTCTACTTCATTGAAGAATGAATCCAGTTCTTGTAAAGATGTAGAGGTACTAACCACGCTCTCTTGCCCATGTCCTTGTTCATAGCTATCTAAGTATCCATCCGTATGCTCTTGCTCTCGGGTAAACGAGCTCGTCCGTCCTGATTCGCGCCTCTGCTACATTTGCTTCCGGTGCTCGAGCACTCGTTCCCGCCCTGCCTGAATTAAATTAAGCTTACGTATGGTTTGACCCAGATCTCTTACTGCATTGTCGAAAGTAGCCTCTAAGCGGGCTAATGCTATTAGTTGCTGCTCTGTAGTCGACCAGTTACGGACAGTATTTTCAATTCTTTCATAACTTTCTGATTGCACTAAGACATTAAGGGCATCAATTTGTGTTCCTATATCGTCAAGTTTCTGTACTATTGCTGGAGTATTGGTTGCAAGGCTATCCGTCAGAGGAGATCTTGTCTCGTCCATTGTCTGACACAGCTTTTTACTGAACGCTCCAAATTCTGGCGAACAAAAGACATTTAACTGAAAAATATGGTGCGCGCCGTATAAACAATTAATGCCGTCGGTAGTTCTCATCAGTACAGCCATGTCCTGGAGAATAATTTTTCTTAAATGAGCAAGAATAATGTTGATGCGTATTTTTGGATAGTCCTCCTTGCGGTAGATCGTTTGTTGTAAAAAGGGGCGACCATAGTCTTCAGGGCGGTCCATCGTGACATTCTCAATCCTCTGCTCCCAGCCTTTGTTCCCTTCATAAAGGTTCTCGATAAAAGGAAAAATCATTCTTTGAAGTTTAGGGTCAGGAATAAGCGTGTTACGAGGGATACAGAAGTCCTCATTAGGCTGTGAGAATCCAGCCATTGCATACGGAGCACTCTTTGCGATTGGATGCATATAATAGATCGCCAAGCGGGTGTGAGGCCAGTTGCCTTGCTCAGATATCTGGCCATGCGTCGATCCTATGAGGGCTGCGTGTTGTGCTCCAGCTTTGCGGTCATACGTAACCTTATCGGTATGATAACCTGCCTTTTCCATAATCCCTTTCATGGATCTACAAAAATAAGAAGCCACGAAGAAAAGCCATTTATTAATATTAATACAACTACCACGCATGGCTCTGATTACTTCGATATGCTGCTTTACTTACTTGTAGAGCGTGGCTGAAGAAATTGCAGTACCATCAGAGGCACCGGAAAGGAGAAAAGTTTCCATCCATTTGTCTTCATGAAAATCAGGATAGTTGTTTCCTCTGCCCTACAATCCAAAAGATGGAGTGCCAAATCGAATGTTGGTATGTCGGTATAACATCATAGTATTAAACAAAAAAAAAAAAAAAAAACATGTCGGAAAGCAGGAACTAACCATCCATAACTCCAATAGATAAAATCCTAAAGCACCTATAGGACAGAGCTCAACGTCTTTGTTGCGAATACAAGACGAATAGACGGCGTGGCCCTGATTTGTATTGCCGTGGACGATCTCAAGAACAAGAACGAAACAAAGCTGACGTCCATTCTCTGCTGTTGCGTGGATATATGGGAACAGACTACTCAATTTCGCATCACGTAAACTTTGTCCACGAATAATTAAAAAGTGATTCAAAGCAAAAGCAACTCGATCGCGAGCCCCAATCAGCTTATGGGTTTTAGCTCCCCCCCATTCTGGAATTTGTACGATCGGGTCCAAGAAAGCTTCATGAACTTCTTGAATTGATCTGTCGAGTATGCATTATCAACCGACATGTGATATTGTTGCCTGGTCTTATTAATTTCATGATATCTGCAGGATGGCTACGATTTTGTAGGGCGTACTTTTTCCTGGAGGCAGAAATGTTAAGTTAAAGTCGCTAAAATAATATAGCAGGCAGGTTTTGACGATGAGTGTATGCCCCATAACCATAAATATGCCAATGTCAGCCTGCTTGATCTCCAATTAGAGTCAGTATCTAGTGAATATTGCTGCTTCTACACTGAGATCACCCCATCAGCTTATTTTTCTTTTGAACCATCTCTGTAGAACCTGATAGTAAATAAAACTATCATTTACCTCATTATCGCAAGCTGGTCATGGGTTCATTTTTGGAGGAAGCTGGTTGCTTGTGGCCATCTTCCTAAATCTCAATTCATCAGCTTTCTATCTCAAGCTGTCAAGTAAAGAGATTATCACTTTTATTAAATTTACTATAAGTTGAACATTTTTAATTTTTATTATTATTATTATTATTATTATTATTATTTTTTTTTTTTTTTTTTTTTTTTTCATCAGACGGAACACAAATGGTTGATGACAAACGCATTCTTTGAAAGGTTGCAGCGATGTAAAAGCGCAATTCCTGGACGAAACACTGGCCTATAGAGATGAATATAGCTTGTATTTCAGGAATTTCCAATGCAAAGGTAAAACATACATAATCTGACTTACATGAGAAACGTGACACCAGCACTTGAACAACAGACGAGCAACTAAACCACGCAGCAGGCACTTCAAAGGAAAGTATCAATCGTCAATCCCATCAGCAAGCCGCTAACTAAAAAACAAGACGTCTGCATCACTGCCCTCATGAAGAGAAAAGACATTCTGCAGGGCTTGTTCCTTGTCTGGCTTTGAGATGGCTTGTAACTCTACACAGAGCCTCGCTGAAGAGACAATGCATTCCACAGCTATTTCCTCAATCTGATGAGAATATTGCAGCCAAGCCTATACTGGATGACTAGATTCAAAGCTTTAATATAAAACGTAATCAATTCGCGCCCATACCGGGACACCATGCTGGTTGATACCTGAATTATACAACATTGATCCAAATCTCTGCACACTTTGGAAGCTGTGCATTCCAAAATCTGATGATAAAGTCTCCATCGAAAAGATCCCTACTAAGACAGAAATGAATCCGCTGGCAGAGCTCGGTGAGATATTCCCCAGTCCTCAGAGGATTTGATACACGTCCTAGTAGATGTCGTAAGACCAGGTAAGCAAAAGGATTCTACGAACCTTTATTTGTGCCAATGAAACGGGGAGAGTGTACATATATATAAATAAAAAAATAAAAATAAAAATAAATAAATAAAAAAAAAAGTGAGAACCGCCAAGTTGTAGCTGGATTTATTGAAATAGAACGGAAGTTATAAAAAAGAAATCGAAAACCTCGTGAATCTTAGAAAAAGCGCGTAGGATGGAGAGAGGATAAAAAAGATATAAGTATGATGGATGGAGAGCTCATGGAGATGAAGCCAAGACGTCGTTCCAACGTCCACCTATGTGCGTGTCTTGGTTGGGTTCTTGACGTCTTGCTCTATTTCTTTTGTTATCTAATCCTCTGTTGATGATTTCATATTTTTTTTCATAAGGTCGATGGTGGTGGCCTAGGATAACAATAGTTAATAAGTTATGAAGAATAAATTAACAAGCGACACGATATACATAGATTCAAGACATGCCCGGAAAATCAAGATCGAGTGTAAGGCGCCAAGTGATTGTCCTAAACCCGCTTATTGGCAACAGCCGCTGCTCGGGCTCCGTATTCAAAATGGTAACACTCTCTCCTTGTGCTCCCCAGCATAAAGTTACTCTATGATTCAATCAAATTGATGGCTAGAGTTATCATATTAACACAATGGGAACGTCAAAAGGAGCAATAGAGCAACTTTACCTCCAAAATGTAGTCCTGAAACTAAAGCATCTCGGAACTTGCTTGGGCCTCCTAGCTCCTTTGACTGGTTAGAAAGGATGTCATGGAGCTGCCTTGGCAGCTTGAATTTAGCTTCTTCGGTGTACTTTTGAGTTGGGCACGGAATGCTCTAGAAAATTGGGCGAAATACTATGTTGTACAAAATTATTATAGTAATTTCGCGTAGTAAATGGCTCAAATACAGTTTCCGATGCTGATGCTGCCTCCACAAGCGATGCCGCTGTAGATTGGTCAAAGGAAATCGTAGATTGTGCCGAAGAGGTCGCTGCGGACTTTGGCGAGAAATTGGAGACATGAGGGATCTATGCATCAACGATAGAATGTCACATATTCTCAGAGAGCCGTTCTCTTCATTTAAAAACAAAACAAGAGTAAACAAAGACAATGCCAACAGACGATACCTCCCCGACTTGGTCTGGTACGATTATACGTCGACAACCTATACCACTGCACCAAACTTTGTAGAGTAACTTGTTCACAAAGTTGTTTGATGAAGCTCCTTTAATGATGCAGTGGTATAGGGCCTGGTTGTCGACGTATAATCGTACAAGACCATTTTTCTTGGCAGAGAAACCTATAGCTAGGCATGCCGCGTAAGTCTCTGCCTACTTGGATTCCTTCGGAAGACAATCCTGCGGATTATTTTTCGAGGGTGCAGTGCTCTGCACTACCATCTCTACAAAAAAAAAAAAGTTGGGAAATGCTAGAGAAGAAGGGCTCACTGAGAAGTGAGCGCCTTCACTATTCAATAACGTTTTACCTGAATAATCAGAAAGCTTATGGTATTAAAGAAGACAAACCTTTTTTGTTCACGTCACAAAAAAAAAAGTTTTGTGACGTGCTTTTCGAACACCACAATTGGAAAATAAATGTGTCCCTGACTTTCTGGCGAGGACTAGAATACCAAGCGATGTAACAGTATAGAGCCTTAAGCCTATATAAAGGCTTGTTTTAATAATTATAATAAAATCACCTTTTGTCTTCACTACCTATTACAAGCGAGACCTAGGCTTGTCACCCGAATTGACCAAGCTGCTCAACCACCGGGTCGAGCCTACAAGGCACATTCTGTGTTGATATTGATGTTTGACATTTTTGAAGGCGGAAGAAGGAGGTTTATTGGCAATTAAGATAGCTGATTAACTAGAAGCCATAATATTGAAATTGGGTGTGGTCTCTATGTGGGCTGTTCGGTGTCTCTACAACTACACATACACACACCCAATTCAATGGCACCAAAAAGCGCTTTCTGGGGTTCTTCAGCGCAGAAAATGGATCATGATTGTATGTTTGTACAAGAAGGAAGTACGGGGAAGTAACTGTACGTAGTGGGCTTCAGGTTTCAGACGATTTCCGTAATAAGTAAGGTTCCCTATCTGTTCCTTAAGTTCCAAGTGACACAAAAAACAGGAACTGCCCGTGTGGGGGAGGGATTCATCTTGGGCCCAATAAAAAAAAAAAAGGAATCAATCCTCTCTTTCTTCTTTTCACATTCATACTCTCATTCCATCTGCATTCTGGATTTTTCTTTTCTTTTTTTCCTAATCTTCTCTAATCAAAAAGCACCACTCAACACAATGTCTGTTCGTAATATTGGCCGCATCCACCAGAAGTCGACTGCTTTCTTCCTCTGTGATATTCAGGAAAAGTTCCGGTCCCACATTTTCCAATATCCTTCAGTTGTTGCCACAGCTCAGAAGATGGTATTGGACCCTGCAAGCGTTGAACGGCTTCTTTTTTTTATTTTATTTTATTTTTTGATATAAGGAGGGATCAAAGAGAAAGAAAAGAGAAAGAGAAAGAGAAAGAGAAAGAGAAGGAGAATGAATGAGCATTCATTAATTTAATAACAAATCTCCCTTCTCTCTCTCCTCCTTTTTTTTTTTTTTTTTTTTTTTTTTTTTATAGATTGCTGCACACAAAATTCTTGATATTCCTTTGATCGTCACAGAACAGGTCCGTGAGAAAAAAAAAAAAAAAAAAAAAAAAAAAAACAGCTCCTTTTATTTTTTTTATTTTTTTTTTCATAAAACTTACTGTTTATTTGGACTTGATGATATAGAACCCAACGGCTTTAGGTCAAACAGCAACAGAACTGGATATTTCGCAAGCAAAGGTTAATATCCCCAAAACCAAGTTTTCAATGCTTGTTCCTGAAGTTGAGAAGGAGCTTCAGGGTATCAAGTCAGTTGTGCTTTTTGGCATTGAGGTAAAAAAAAAAAAAAAAAAAAAAAAAAAAAAGGCTTTTTTTTTATTACACCATGCAGAAATAATATCTATACATATTACGAATTTCATTCCAACTAATACATAATCTCGGTCCCCCTTTACGAAAAAAAATAGTCCCATGTGTGCGTGTTGCAGACGGCATTGGACCTGTTGGAAAATAACTTTGATGTCCATGTGCTTGCAGATGGAGTGTCGAGCATGAACAGCTTTGAAATTGATCATGCCCTGAACGTAAGTAAACGTTCATTCAAAAGATCATGATTTTTTTCAATGAATAGATAAAAAAAGTGTTTGAAAACTCGTGTGAATAACATCGATCCCTTTACATATGAAAAAAAAAAAAAAAAAAAAAAAAAAAAAACGATAATAGCGTGTCAAGTCTGCGGGTGGCTTTGTCACTACAAGTGAATCTATCCTATTCCAGTTGATGGGCGATTCAAAGCACGAAAACTTCAGATCAATTTCCAAGCTTGTCAAGGAAACTAAGGAGGCGACAGCATCCAACAAACTTTTTATTAGAAGCAACATCTAAAGAAACAATTTTTTTTTTTCTGACTCCCAACAGCGCACTGACAAACAAAAAAAATAAAAAAATAAAAAAAAAAAAAAATAAAGTAAATGACAAGTATAAATATATACATATCGCATGCTTCGCTTCAGGACATTTGGCCGCTTTGTGATATTTTACTTCTTGGCAGAAATAGAAATAAGGCAATGATTCGCAGAGCAATCTTTTTCAGCTGTTTGGAAAGGGTAAAAAAAGAGAAGAGACGCGTGCACAGACAATTTTTGAGGATTTGTTCGTTCATTGTACCATCGAACAGGTCCATGCGAAGCTATTTCTGAATTGATAAAAGGAAATGGTCCTCTCTTATTGGTGGGCGTATAAAAAAAATGACAATGTGTGGAAATGATAATGATAGAATTGTGGCGATGGAAGGAATTTATGACAGACAACCCCCCTGGCCGTGTGAAGGGCAAAGGACGAGTGAAGGAACAGAAGGAATGCTTTTAAAGTCTTGACAGCTTGATCTTTTTTTTTTTTTTTTTTTTTTTTTTTTTATAAAAAAACCCTTTACTTCGCTAACTTAACCATTATCATTCGTCTTCAATAAAGAAATCTCATATCAAGTTACAGTCATGGGCGTCCCAATTGACTTGCCATCATCACCAAGGTTCACGCCAAGTCTACATCGATATCGCACCTTACGCGACAATAGCTCTCCGGCCTCATCCTTGGCCTATGCCTCCTCATCCCCTTCTTTCGTCTGGGGCGATAGAGGCGATTTTGACTTTTCGTTGAGCCCATCGATTCAATTGCCCCAATCACCTGCCTCACTATCCACGCCCACTTCACCATCACCATCGTCATCATCCTATTCAAGGCATTTGGCCATTGATGTCCCGGACATGAATAACCTGCCAACAGTACAACAGCAGCAGCAGCAACAACAACAACAACAACAACAACAACAACAACAACAACAGCGACATTTGCAACTACTACTGCAATTACGGCAGCAACTACAAGACCAACAGCAGCAAAGACAGAGACTTTATCGTGATTTACCACACGATGCCAACTTTAATCCCACAACAACTTCGCCCAATAGGCTCTCTTCGGATCTTGAAATGGAGACTCCGGACTTGTCGCGTTTTTTGTCCGTCTCATTCGATGATGCCAATTCTCGATCGGTCACGACGAGTCGGACGCTTGCCAGTCCTTTACAGGGCCTCCCTTTTATTTCTACATCTACGTCCATGTCTACGTCTACATCTACGTCTGCGTCTACACCGAGATCTACACCCAGGACGATAGTTCATGTACATGCTATTCATCAGGATGTAATCCAAATCTATTCCGAAGATCATGAACCTATTTTTATGTATGGTAGACCAATCCTACCTTCTTCTCCTTCTCTCTCTTCTTCTTCCTCTTCTTCTTCATCTGTTCATTGAAACGGAAAGAAAAAAAAAAAGGAGGGGGGGGGGGGCACTACTAACAGAAAAAAAGGAGAACTACTAACAAAAAAAAAGAGGACCGTTAACATCAATCAAAAAAACGCTCCCATTCCCCCAAAGGGACAAAAAAATGTTCTTTTGCCGACAAACTTGATCTCATCACTTTTTTTTTTTTTTTTTTTTTTTTTTTCTGTATAAGAGAGGAAGGAAGGGGGGAGGACATGCATCTAATATGTGGCTGTAGCGAATAAGAGAAAAAAGAAAAAGAAAAAAACTTTAGACCCCAGATTGTTTCATGTCTGCAACCTGTTAATCAGCCTTCATTTTAAAGTCGACCACAAGAATAATTCATGACAAAATAAAAATAAATAAAAAAATAAAATAAAAATGAAAAAGGCATTTTCAGTCTTTTTGAAATCCGGAAATAGACAGCGAAAAAGAACAAAAAGAAAGGCAGAGCCTTATTTAGCTTCATTTCTTTTCTTCTTTTTCTTTTTTAAGAATCCGACTGCCATGCGAGACAGGGAGATTGGATCAGAAATGGCTCATCAGGACTCATCAACGTGGGAAAGCAAGATAAATAAATAAACAATTTACAAGTTTAAAAAAAAATCATTTTATCTTTGGAATTATATTGTACACTAAAGAGCTAAAGCCTTGAGAAGAAAATGATGAATGTTAATACATGGTCAAAAGACAATATGAAGTGGTACGCAAAAAAAAAAAAAGAAAAACGAGTGGAGGTGATAAAGTGATAAGCTGATAAAGTAATCGGAGAGAAAGGAGACAGAGGGGAGAGACGAAGGGTATATAATCCTGAATATAGTTTTTTTTTCTTTTTACTCGTCGCTTTCAGTATCGTCTTCCTCGCCTTCAGCGGTAACATAGTCTGAAGAGCTGGTAGACATGAAGGACTCTGTAGACGAGAAAGAGGTCCACGAACCAATAGGGATTTCCTCTTCTTCCTCCTCCTCCTCCTCCTCCTTCTCCTCTAGGTCCTTATCAAAAGATATTTCTAGAGTCAAGCACGACTTGTCTAATTGATTTAATCAAGATGTATTAAAAAAAAAAAAAAAAAAAAAGCCGTTAGTCTTGTAGTTTCGTCATAGTCCATCAGGTGTTATCAAATGATACGCACAAAAGAAACAAAATAGTTCACTTGTTTAGGCTATCTATGCATTTAGACTGGACCCACACCGTTTCTCTTTTTTTTTTTTTTTTTTTTTTTTTCTTACCAAAGCTAAAAAGGTCCTTGCGACGAGGGAGGAAAGCTCGAGGCTTTAGTGGGGCAATTAGCTTGCGAGAGCGAATCATCCTCAATTCCGTAGCCATCATACGCAAATAGGCCGAGTTGGAGCGAGTCTCCCGTGAAGCCAAATGTCGTGGGAGTGGAGGTGGCAATTCGCTCTGATTCACCACAGGAACTCGGCGGCAAGACATTGTTGCTTCAACGATCGGTGAGGGCTTTGGCATACTGCGCTTGACTCGAGGAAGGGGGCGACGGATTAGAGCTCCAGAAGCTGCTGTAGACGCATTTGGAGAAGACGCAGCCCCAGTATCGAGCTTTAAGGATGATTCGACCTCATCAATAAGGGTTTCACAATAGGTAAAGGTCTTTAATGGGATAAGATCTGTTCCCATGACCTTGAATTTATCCATGGATGCGACTGAAACAGGATAGGCAGAAGCATTATTGGCAATATTATTATTGCTACTATGGTTACTTGTGCTGCTATCGTTCTTGATAGTTTGCATTGCAGATCCAGACACATCGATGTCATGAATCGATAGCAATACATCCTCTGGAAACAATGCAGAGGATGAGCTGGTGACTAACGATGTTGCGTCTAATGTGACAACGGGTGGACTATTGGTAACGATCAAAGCTTCAGGTGGTGCAAAGTCACGGTAGCAACCCTGACGGTCCCTCCTGTTGGTCTGTCGGTTGGTTCGACCATTAGTATTGCTGAAAGCTAAGCAGTGGGCCTTGATGGTTGCCCAGAGATTGGAGCGATAGGATGATGTGGAATCTGAGAAGAGGAAGGCAAAGAAAGAATCATGATTGGGAGTTGATGTGGTTGTTGATGTAGTAGAAGTTGTCGTTGTCGTTGTTGTTGTCGTTGTTGTTGAGGCTGTGGTTGTGATTGTGGTATTGGTTAGGGTAAGCTCTAATGAAGGGGATAAAGAGTTGGGAGAACGGTTTGTGGAGGTCTTTTTACGACGAGGAGGAATGACTCCATATGGCTGCGGAGCCTTGTTGACTAACCGAGCCATAGAGGCATTGGAGGAAGTAGACGAAGTAATAGAGGTTGAAACAGAAGCAGGCTGTAAGCAGAGTGTGGTGGAAGTGTTTATGACGGATAACATGATGTTTCCAACGAACGAACTAGCTTTGAGAGAAGGAAGAGAAAGAAAAGAAAAGATAATGATAATGATAGTAATAATAGTAGTAATGCAATGAAAGCAATGAAAGCAATGAATGTAACGAATGAATGTGAATGAATGAATGAATGAAAAAGAATGCAAAGCAAGAAAGAAATAAAAAAAAAAAGAGTTTGTGACAGTTGGTAATTTATAAAATGCATTTCTGTGTTCTGACTCTTCTTTTGTCTGAATGAATAAATCTCCTTTCGGGTGCTGTGTCTGCCATTCCGTTCGAACCACATGCAGTCTATCTAATCTACCATATTTAAACTAGAATATAGCAATCAACTTTGAGCTATCCAACGTAATATAACAATCTCAGCCATCACCTTCTACTTCATCAGAACAATCAGAAAGCTGATCACTCCCTATGCAAAAAAGGGACAATACCTCTTACTGGTCCTCTTTTTTTTTTTCTTTTTCTCGGTATAGTTAGTATAGAAACAAAAGTAAAAAAAAAAAAAAGGGGAGGAGGAGGTAGCCACTCCTTTTTTCTTTTTTCTTTTTTTTATTGTTGTCTCCTTGTAAACACATGTCATGAAAGAAAGAAAGAAAGAAAGAAAGAAAGCAAGAAAGAAACAAAGTCTGTTATATATTTCTAAACATCAGTCCCCCTCCCCCTCCCCACCCTCAAAGATCGCCCAAAACATCTCCTTCATTTATTGTAAGATAGCAAACAATTCTATTTATTCACACTGAAGCTGTTGTAATGCTACATCAGTATGGGGGTTTTTTTTTTTCTTTTTGATCAAAAACTCTTCTCTTTGATCTTCATGTAAAAAAAAAAAAAAAAAAAAGTTCAGCCGACCTGTCTGCCGTATCGACGTCTAATCTCATTGCTCGGACTCTACCGGAAAAATTTTTGACTTTTGTCGCATGACAGACGACGTGTCACCAAAGCCATGCGATCTTATCTTGTCTATTGATAATCACTTGCAACCTAAACTTTCTTTTCAAAGTATACTTGTACATGTAACATTCAGCTATTTGTATATCTATATAATATTGTGAAATTGACCAGAGAGAGAGAGAGAGAAAGAAAGAAAGACAGAGATCATAAAAGAGGGAGGGATCGCAATATGATCATGGTTTCCGTCCTTTGACAGACATGTCAGGACAATCAAATGGTTTTCCATGTGATTTGATCTTCCCCATAGGAATGTTCTCTTGTGAGTTAGCACGCATCGTCTGTACTGTAGATCATGCGTGCTCACGCGCCTAAAAAAAAAATAAATAACAAATGTATACATGTATTATACTTTTTTTAATTTTTTTTTTTTTTTTTTTTTTTTTTACAGTAACATGGGTATGGAGCGTATTCCAACCCGCTTGAAAAGAAAGAAAGAGAGAGAGAGAGAGATAAACAATAAGAGAGACGATGGCATATGTCTATGGATGAGGATGGGAGAGAATTCGACGTCTTTAAACATTTGATTATCTCCTCTCAAAAGAAACATTACTGTACACCCCATGACAACTCCAGCTCGTGTTCATCGCTCGACAAAAATGGTTGATCAATCGTCTTAATCATCAACTCGCCACACAACAAACATTCAGATGCTACAAGATCATCCAATTCGTCCCTCAGTAACTCTAACCGAGGCACAACCACGACCATATCATCTCCACCGCTACCTCCATTCTGTCCTACACCAGAGCCTCCTCCAAGTCCTAATCCCAAGCCCGCTACCTCCTTGCCATCTGCAAAAATCACATCCTTAAACACCCCTGCTGCCGTCCCTGCTGCCGTTGTCGCAATAGCCACCCCTCCATTCACCATGGCCTTACCGCCTGCGCCTATCGCGCCTCCGATCGCCATCACTGCTGCTCCTGTTTGGCCAATCAGATGATTCGGTAGATGAGTTAGCCCCCCTCCAGTCGAACCTGTAGCATGACTTGCATTCAAACTTTGGGACGCATTCCCGCTTGCTACCGTCAAGGGCTGTAAAGAATGATTTCCGTTCATCAGCATCATCTTTTGTTGATTCTGCATCTCGTTCTGGATCTGATCCTGTAGCTCATCCAGCCGCTTCAATTGTCTCGTAGACAAAAACGGCGTCAAGTTCTTGATCAGACAATCCGCATGAAACGTATGTTGACATGGAAACACATAAAACTGGCGCGTCAGCAACGGGTAATCGCATGATGTGCACCGCTCCGTTGACGCCACAATCGCGAACCGAGATCTCAGCTCACGAACATCGATTCGAATGTTCTCTGCACTCTTCGTTGCCTCGTCCATCTCAGTCTTTAGCTCGTCAATGTGTAGATTGTATTCCTCCAAGGCCTTGCAAATCTCGTCCTTGAAATCATCAATCAACACAAAGTCTGGGAAGAAAGGCAAGATATCCTCGATCTTGAGGAGGTCAGAGTTTGATAAAAAGTCCATTGCGGCCTTGATATCCTTCTTTTCTTTTACCACATGACGTGCAATCTTTAGCCATAATGTCTTCCGAAGCATATCATCGTCCGTTGGCTTTTCGGCATTGATACAGGCAAGCTCCAGATCGCCATGCTATTCAATTCATATCAATAAATAAAAATTAGTAAAAAAAAATTTTTTTTTTTTTTTTTTTAATTTTTTTTAGGCCAACTTCCGTTCATAATTCTACCTCTAAGGTATGTATATGCTTCGCCACTTACTTTCAACGCCAAATCAACAGCTTCGCCATAGAGGCCCATACTACTGAAAATGTTTACACAACTCTGAATTCTGTTATTTTGAGTACAAATTCTCAATGCATAATCCAAGTTGTAATGCTTGGCAGGACCCTAGACGGAGATTTGCCAATAAATAATTGCGTCTTAAATAAATGTATGCGCTCACAAGACCATAAAAAAAAAAAAAACAAAAATCTTTTTGACAAATTGAACTAAAAAAAAGTAGGAGAAATTACCTCCGATGCCAAGAATTTCAAAAGCTGGGATTCATCCCGTGTTGGCTGCGTTGCATATAGAGTCAATAGGAAGTTATGGATTGCTGGATCGGTATTTTCGAGAGTAGAGACTACATATGACAAATATCGAATCGCCTGATTCTGGGCAGCCGGATCCATCGTCCTATGGTCGTACCTCAAAAGCGATGGGATCAGGTTACGGGGGTTCAGATTGGGCTGACGCATCCAAGCGCTTACAGTCTCGTAGGGCGCATTCTCCATAAGGACAGGAGAGAAGCGATAATATGTATCAAGTGACTCTTGTTTGCTCAAGATCTCAAAGGCATTCTTGTAATTCTTCTCTTGAATCCAATGCGAAATCACCCGCTCATAGTCCCCAATCAGGATGGCATAAAAGAGCAACTGTTCTGTGCGACCATGTGAAGCCAGAAGCTTGTATGTCGTTTTTTTGTCCAAGTAATTCTAAAAAGGAAATATGAAGAAAAAAATAAAATAAAAAATAAAAAAAGTTCAAATATGCAAACCATTATTATAAAAAAAAGAAATATGACCAATATAAAGATAAGAGTATCCTTTGAGTTCCCAATGATGATGTGTACCTTGTTTGTTTCCAGGAATCCTTTAAATTCATCTTCCAAAACACTTTGCTCCGCCAGGAAATTCTGGACGTCCGACTCTGATGCTGATGATGCAGCTTGGTCCTCAAGTTGATTTAGCTTGCTAAGATAAATCTCTACCAACCATGTACAGACGATATATTTTTGTGTGATATCCTATTATGGACATTCAAAAAAGATGTTAAATTTTTTTTTTTTTTTTTTTTTTTTTTTGACCAGTATTACCGGTTCTGAGAAAGCAAGACGTACCCCTTTTCTGAGTTTATCAACTTTGGCAAGGAGGTAGCTTCTAAGTGCATCCCTTTCATCACGCTCTACAAACTTGAGTGCCACCTCCTCAAATGGAACTGTTGACTGTGCATAGTATTTTGCGGAGAGCATGTATCGACCTTGAGAAAAGTTGTAATTTGCTTGTAGTGTCAACACCCGGTCTCTTTGAGCAGGGTTCTAAATGAGGCATGACGTCAACCGAAAAATTAAAAAATGAGAACTATTTTGCCTTCCTTATTACTGGTATTGTCACAACATCGATATGCAACTGTCCCGACTTACTTTGGCATATTGAAGAGCCATATCGTACTGTTTCTTTTCCAGATAGAGCGTCCATACATCACGATCCTCCTTCGTAACAACGAGCTCGAAAAGCGATATTCCGGTATAGATCCAGAAAGTGTTTTTAGTCGTATCCACTGACATGCCAAGCACTTCTTCATTAGGTTTCTATTTTTTTTTTTTTTTTTTTTTTTTTTTTTTAGAGAAATGCATCAATCGAGTGCTAGTTAACGGACAAGCCTTAGTTCCATAGTGCTAAATAAAGCAAGAAACAAAAATTATGGCGAGAACTAGATATACGTTACCAAAGGTATAAGCTCATCAAACACAATTTGGTCATTGAGTTGATTTACAGCTCTAACCCGTTCCTTGTATAGTAATATGAAGTGGAATTCAGTCAATGCAATTGCAATTGGAATTTCTGATACAGTTGTTGTGGAGTCTACTTCGAGCCGTGTAGCAGGATATGGAAGTAGCTGGGGTGCATCTATAACAGATTCGCCAACATTTTGCGACCCGAAAACGAGGTTGCCATGATAAATTCCTGGTCCTGTAAGCCAAGCAAAAGTCTTGGCTACTCCCTGATATTGTAAATCCTGGAATGGACTGAAAAAGTGCAGTTCGCTGTAAGGAAGATCTCCAGGCAATTCCGAAAACACTAGTAAGCGTATAAAACTCATCAGCTATCTCTTACTTCTCTTCGGAACCAAATTTCATCCTTTTTTTTTTTTTTTTTTTTTTTTTTTTTGCTTTACCTGGATTAACCTCATATTTGGAAAAGAGATTTTCAAACAAAGCTTTCTCTTCTGAATTGCCAATAATACCGCCAGAATTACTGGGTGTTACCGATCCGATAAATTGGTAAATACGTGTGGGTGTTACTGCGATAACAACATATTTTCGTAAGGTGGCGGGAAACTGCTCCATGCGAAGTCCAGTAATGGGCATCTTGGGTCTAGGCAAACGTTCACTACCAGCATGTGCTTCCCCTATTGAGAAGACCTGTCTAAAGTATCTTTCTTCCTTTTTGAATAGTTCAGCTGTTGGTTCCAATTCTGCTTCAAATATAAGGCCATCCCTGGTTCCAATCAAAAATTCCTTTGTTGAAGACTCGTTGCGGCGTTCTGTTGAGCGGTTCCAAGCGATAGACTCAATGACAATACCCTATTTTTTTTTTTTTTTTTTTTTTCCGCACAGGCGCAGATAAAAGGGGCTTAGATCTGAGTAAAAGCAATGGAGAGGGCAGAATGTGCACGGTTGTCTTTTAATCACATAATGCGGAGTATGTATGCATACCCTAATTTTGGAAAGCAGCTTCGCCTTCTTCCACTTTGCAAAAAGGTAGTAGTTATCGCCTGTTTCCGTTGTGATGATTAAATGACGCCCTGTAGGGTCGAAAAAAATTTTGTAAATCTTGCCTTCAGAAGGCTTCCGCGGGATTTCAATGTCTTTGTTACGCAAGTGCGACCCCATGAAGGAAAAAAAGAAAAAAAAAAAGAAAAGAAAAGAAAAGAAAAAAGTCTTCACTCAGTCACATTCTTTATCTACGTTCAGGAACAATCAATTGAAGAAAAAAAAAAAGATGGACAGACATACCCTCCACTTCATGTGCTTTATCGAGGTCAATACGAAGTAAGTGCATTGTCTCCATCGCCATGAATAAGATATTGTTTGAAACTGCCAAAGCAGTCAACCGACTCGGAATTTGATATTGAACTTTGTCTAGAAAGAAAATACGCGACTCGTCTTCAACAAATCCTGTATGTACATAACCACTCTCGAGCTATAAAAAAAAAAAAAAAAAAATCCCCAAAGAGAGAAGGGGAAGACGAAGGAAAGGAAAGGAAAGGAAAGGAAAGGAAAGGAAAGAAAAGGCAATAGAGTCAATGATAAGAGTTTAATGGAATAGTTGACGTGTCTCGTCAATAGTATTCATGTTACCAGGACTAGGTTGTTAGGCTCCCATCCCTGAGACGCCTGAGTGATGACTCCATTAGATGTAGCCAAGTGCCCAGACCTCTGATTGCTGTCGAGATGTTGTTCAATGATTTCGTCCAAATTCATGACGAATTTTTTTGCTCCACAATGAGTGCAGAAAGAGGTTGGTTCAGTTCAGGGAAAAAGGCACAGAAACGTGGCAGTGGTCTGTCAAGCACATGCACCCCCCTCAAATGCGTCACCGGAGCGGGAAATGATGCAAACTCAGCAACGTAAAATTAATCTCATTATCCCTTTCATCCGTCACAAGGGCAAATTTGCCATTATAAATGGGCTTAAAATCCAGCAATCCATGGGCATTGTCTTGAAATTTTATTTCGATGTCGAAATAAATGGCCGAAAACTAAATTGTCATGGAGCTATCCTGGCTTCTTTATTTGTGCAAATAAAAAAACTCTTGAAGACTTTCGCATGACCCTAGCATCCGCTTGGGAGTCCATTGTATCGTTTATTTATTGACTAGTGTAATAGCAGTGATAATATTCGCCGCCGTAGTCTCGACTTGAAAGGAGGGCAATCTGAGTTGATTCATTCTACCGCACCATAGAGCTTGACTAACTTGATCTTTTCCTGTACAGCTCGGCAAGACTTGATTTGTCACATCGTTTGCTTGCTCGTCTTCTTGCGTTCCCTTGATGTATCTGGGTTGGTAAGCACTGCTAATAGAGTTTGTTGGGCCTGTTGAAACCGGGAGCCACAGCAACATATCATACCCAAGGTGATACAAATATCTCTGTTGGAGTGAGTGGTGAATTGTGTGTGGTTCAGATGTAGTGGACATAAACGGCGAACGAATGCATCGAAAGGATGTGGGCGGTTATGAGAGCAAGGAAGAAGGGGTTGGTATGCCTGTTCAAGTCCTTGGCAAGAGAGCATGAGTAGTAGTTGTGATCAATGGTATAGTTTCTAGACCCTATCTTCCACGTACAGCATTGCATTATTGTTGTTTTCAGACCTGGTACCAATCATGCGAGGTATTTCTTTTTCTGAGGGTTCCTTGTGTTAAACGGCCAGACAGAAAGCTTAGAAGAGATACAGACACAACGGTGAAAAAAATGTATGTGAGCAAACAGTTGCTGTGTTTATTTGTTGTCTGCACATGCCTTCTTTCATCGCGGGCTTTTTTTCCTTTTTTGTTCGTCAATCACTGTGTGCACGAATAAGCAGCTGAAGCATCTCTTTGGTTTCTGTACATGTATGATGTATAAGCACATTTTACATCGCGGCGTCTTTTTTTGTTCAAAACACAAGCGTTTTCCATTGGTGCCTCCAAACAAACTTTATTTTGGTGGCCACTCCACAACCATCCCATGGTTATAACGATCCCTAGGAAAGGATCAAACGCGTCGGTATTAATCTCGCTTCTGTAATTCTAGATGCATATATTTTGGCGATTGGTATCAACTATCATGTTCACACATACACACACCAAACGATCGCCAAAAACCACCACTCTCGCTTCTGCTCTCCCTCCATCCACAAGGCGTTGCGCAATATCACCCACCATTAACAAGGCATCGTCCAGTAAGAAAGGGTGCTTAGATAGCTTTTACTCCAAGCAATAAGCGCATGCAACTACATCACTCCTATCTCCGCCATTGATGCCGGAATCTGAGAGTCAACGAATATCTCTGCTTTAACGCGATAGTACTGGGGCTGTTGGAGCAAAGAGCATCATATGAAGCTATTCTCTGATAAAAAAGAAAAAAGAAAAAAGAAGAGGAGATGGGAAAAGGGGAAGAAAGGAAAAATGAGGTAGAAAGGCTTATGATTGCAGCCGAACTTCGATGTAGTGCTTACTTGACGTAGGTTACTCTCTCAGCAAGGATGTATTTGTCCTATTCTAAGGATAGCTAAGCTCAAGTCCTTGGTTTAACGGCACTCACTCCACCGAGTTGATCCCCAGCAGTCGTCCCGCATACCTCCGCATGAACAACTGTTCGCTCTCTTTCAACCCCACAATCTCCCTCACAAAAAAGGGACAAGGAACTTACGTACCATACTGATGCATTGTCTATAATAGAGGTAGCTAAAAAGCCAAGTAATGATCATAAAAGAATACCTCTTACACTGCAAAAGTAATGCTGGAAAGCCTATCTAGAAATTGGGCCAGTGTAACAGTTAAATTCTAGCATTTTCGCTTGTATACCCGCCAAAGCTAAAATACTTAACTTTATTTTTGTTATCGCATTAGGTGAGGAGAATATCGGTTTATTCCCGAAGGGACTAATATAATTCACGTTTATCCACTGTTCTCTACTTTTGCCACTATTACGTTTATTTTTTATTTTATTTTTATTTTTTTTTGGATCTTATTATCTATATTAGTTAAAGATCCCTCTCAATGCTACGCCTCATGGCATGTAGCCTGTGCAGCAGCGACGGACATGGCAAGAGATTATGCCCTCAGAATGTAAGGAATGTGATAAGGCCTTTTTACTTTTTTATTTTTATGTTTTTGGAATATATAAATATTAATGATATTTTCTCAACTGATAGAGACAGAACAAGTTTTCCCAATCGCATCGTTCCTTCTTCCATTCCGCGTCTGAGTGTGGGTGCAGTCGTCCAGGCCATGTGCGCAGCTCATACTCAAATAATGAAGAGTAAGCAATTTCGGTATTTAACAATCCTAGAGAACTTTTTTTTTTTTTTTTTTTTTTTTTGACATGATAGTGGCTGGCGCATGCAGAGCTTAAGCTTATATACCTTCTATAACTTGAATAGCGCTACCAGCAGCCATGTGCAGAATGTCGGATCAATTGGAAGGCATAGGCTCTCTATTTTATATTCAAATGATTTTCATTAGTTTTTGATATTCTTTTTTTAACCCTCCATCATTATTACTTATCCGCAGGGCAAGCACCGTCAACCAGCCTCCTACAGTGTATAAATGCAGTATCTGCAGTTGCCTAGGGATGGTCGTAGGCCATGCCCAAGTAATAAAGGGTGAGTTTGATTTTCAACGGTTGGATTTTTTTCGTCTCATCAGTGGACCATTAACCCTTAGTTTTTTTCCTTTTTACTGCTTTAATAGCGTTGTTAGTAACTCAGTGCAAAATGGCGCTGGGGTAGGGGGCATTTTTAAAGCATATAGCGTAATAACATGTATATAGCATTTAGCACAAGGGGAGGAGGAGAGGGCGAAGAACATGTAGACTACAAACATTTTGCCAACAGACTACAAACTAGAGACTACAGCCTACAGCCTACATGTAATGTGGATATTATTGATTTATAGAAAGTTTTGCTCTCCCCATTTTTACCCTTATCCAATACAAATATGTATAAATTAAGGACGATAGTAAGTAACATTCTTGAAATATATGAAATACTTGAAAAATCTGGAAAAAAAAAAAAAAAAAAAAAAAAAAAAAAGTGTCTTTTAAGCCCTTTAAGACTCTAAAAGATCATGGCATTAGAGAGTAAACCATTAGCCATACCCTACATGGTCTCAACATCACTGAGCATAGACAAAAGTATTCATCTCGACCATATACAATACAGAGGCATATAGGCTTATTGATGTATATATCTTTTAATTAGATTAAAAAAGAGCTAAAGAATGACACGAACGACAAAGTAATACGAATGCCCTAGTTTATCTGGCAAAAAGAGTTGAATAAGCGAACGGCATGTTAGGTTGGACAAGCTGGAACAAATGCAACTATTGAAATCTTATCCACATACTTGGTGGCAACCATCGAAACTCACTCTTGTCGCTTGGACAGTGACTATATAAATATATTTTTCGCTGGGCAGAGACGAATTAAGAGAGAGAGCAGCAAAAGTAGTAAACCTCTCTCTCTCTGCTTATCTCGCTGTCCGCCTCTTGGCTCGTCTCTTTGCCTACTTCTCGATCTATCTCTTGTCTCTTCCTTGGACCGATTGTCTCATGGGAAACAAAGGGCCCAGGCGTCTATCTACTGTGCCTATGCTCTCATTGTGCCTCAAGTCCAAAGTGATCAAGGTCGTGTTTGTCTTGAGTGCCTCTGAAAGCGCCAGAGCTCCTTCATTCCCAATTGAGTTGTATCCCAAGTCCAGATTGGCCAAGGTCATATTTGTCTTGAGTGCCTCTGACAGTGCCAGAGCTCCTTCATCCCCAATTGAGTTGTTCCATAAGTTCAAATTAGTCAAGGCCGTGTTTGTCTTGAGTGCCTCGGAAAGTGCCAGAGTTCCTTCATTCCGAATTAAGTTGTATCCCAAGTTCAAATTGGTCAAGGCCGTGTTTGTCTTGAGCGTCTCTGAAAGTGCCAGAGCTCCTTCATTCTCAATTGAGTTGTCATTCAAGTTCAAATTAGTCAAGGTCGTGTTTGTCTTGAGTGCCTCGGAAAGTGCCAGAGCTCCTTCCTTCCCAATTGAGTTGCTATTCAAGATCAAATTAGTCAAGGCCGTGTTTGTCTTGAGTGCCTCTGAAAGCGCCAGAGCTCCTTCATTCCCAATTGAGTTGTATCCCAAGTCCAGATTGGCCAAGGTCATATTTGTCTTGAGTGCCTCTGACAGTGCCAGAGCTCCTTCATCCCCAATTGAGTTGTTCCATAAGTTCAAATTAGTCAAGGCCGTGTTTGTCTTGAGTGCCTCTGACAGTGCCAGAGCTCCTTCATTCCCAATTGAGTTGTATCTCAAGATCAAATTGGTCAAGGCCGTGTTTGTCTTGAGTGCCTCTGAAAGTGCCAGAGCTCCTTCTTTCCCAATTGAGTTGTGTCTCAAGATCAAATTGGTCAAGGCCGTGTTTGTCTTGAGTGCCTCTGAAAGTGCCAGAGCTCCTTCATTCCCAATTGAGTTGTATCCCAAGTCCAGATTGGCCAAGGTCGTGTTTGTCTTGAGTGCCTCTGACAGTGCCAGAGCTCCTTCATTCCCAATTGAGTTGCTCTCCAAGTCCAGATTGGCCAAGGTCATATTTGTCTTGAGTGCCTCTGCTAGTACCAGAATTATTTCATTCCGAATCGAACTGTAACCCAATTTCAGAGTGGCGGATGTCGCGTTGCCTTTGAGTACCTCCGACAGTTCTTCCTCAACTAAAGTGCTCTGCAGGCCCAAGGTAGTCAATGTAGGACTTGTTCTGAGCGCGCCTAAAAGCGCCAGGACTCCTTCCTTCTCAATCGGATTGTCTCTCAAGTCTAAAGTAGCCAAATGCCTATTAACCTTGAGTGCCTCTGAGAGTGCTAGAGCCCCTTTATCTTCAATGGAGTTGTTCTTCAAATCCAAGCTGGTCAAAGTCATGTTGGTCCCAAGTGAATTTACAAGCACTTGAAAGTCACTTGCTCCGATATTTCGAGCCTTCATCTCAAAGGTTAACTCATGATGATGTCGCGACTTTTTAGTTGGTAGGCTGGAAAGCTTGATGAGGTCTGAAGGCAATGCAATACGGACCACTTTCATAGTGTTGAGCTCTATAATACGAACAAGTCTTTCATATCTCGCAGTTGTTGAAAGCAGTTTCCTGGCAATACCTTCTTGAGGACTACCAAGGTCAAGCCGAAGAATCGATACACTCGACACTCTTAGTGCACTCTCAATTGCTTCAAGGTCAGTCTTGGTCCAATCCCAGTTGAGTGTGGTGTCCAACTCGTAAATATGTTTTGCTTTGGTCAAAGCATCAAAGAATTCTGTAGCTCTGGTTCTGGATCTCAACTCAATGGTCACTTTACCAAGCTGTGAGTCATACTTGCCACCGTTCATCTCCACAGCACCTTCAAATGCTTTTTGTTCTTTCTCTTTATACGTTAAGCGGTAGTGGTCGACACAAACCCATTTGACATGCCCCCTTTCGGTCGTAGTCCTGTACAAGTTGCCAAGCTTCCCATCTTCATCGTTGATTTGAAGGAATTTGCTCAGTCCTCGGAGATCTGCTCCTTCAAGTGCCTCATAGTCCTCGATTGTGTTGATGCTGTTCAAGGCCGGGTACTCAACAGATAGCGCTTTCATATAGTTGAGTGAATGATCGATACCGGCTTTGAGATCCGGGACTGACCCAAGCGAGGCAGCCAAGGGCATTCCTATACTGAGGCACTGTAAAAGGATGGTCATGTATTTTCCATACTTTTGGAAAAACTCCGTGCTCTCCCGGATCTCATATCCCTCATGTCTGGCAAGATGGATCTGGGCGTGACAGCTCTTAACTGCGTTTACGGCGTGGATGCCGTGTTCGCATAAGAAATGAAGTCGGACCTTATTTCTCAAGATATTCATTGGGTCCCACTTGGTACGATCGATAGGCAAAATGATAAACAGCCGAGGGATTGGGTACTCGTGTAGCTCAAAGGACTGGATAAGGATAGCTTCAGCTTTCTGCTGAAGGGTGGCAAGTCTGTCGAGTGCTTGCTGTTGTAAATTAAGAGTCTCCTTCTGCATTTCAAGCATCTTGTCGTCCTTCTCCAAGAAAGCGTATCATTATATGACATCTTCCTTGTGGTACGTCTTAAGGTCCTGACACCAACAGCATTGTCCTCGATTCATGTCTACATTTGTAAACTTCACTTGATATCTCTCTTATGTCTCCCAGAGCTAGCTAGTCTGCGTCAAAGGAAAAAAAAAATGTTCATCTGTTTTTCTGTTGTTATTTTATTTTATTTTTACGATCCAAGCAGGCCTAGCCCTTTTAGACAAATCTACCCCTCTTTTTTGTTGATATTTTGCATGAACATACTTCATAGGTTTTTTTATCCCTAATCCTGAATTCGAAAATAAGATTTTTTGCGACCAAAAATGGGTAGTTTTTTACATGTGTTTTGTACGCAAAATATTATAGCTTATTTTTCTCAATGCAATTCTGCTTTGCTTTCAAGCAAAGAGGAACCCTACATGTAGCCCATATCCATTCTGATCGTGAGGTGGGCTTCATGCCTTCCTTAATACCCTTAGCCCTGCTGTTTTCGCATGCCATCCTACTCTTAACATCTCTTCCTTCACTTTCTTTGGTTCTTATCGGGAAATGAAAGGCTGGTAGATGTCGACGAGGGCTTGGAGGAGAGTGTTTAGTAATATATGGGCCTTTTGAAATCTTGAAAGTAGCCTCCAGAGACTCATTACTTTCTACGTTTCTCTTTGAGTTCCTTTGCTCGATGACAACTTGAGACTTAAATAGCGATAAAAATTGGTTTACAAGATTTAAGCGAAATTGGCGATGTCCATCTTTTTTTTTTTTTTTTTTTTTGATCCAAATCTCCAAAGTCATCAAGTTGGGATTGATAGTCTTCATCATTAACAATGTATTGCAGATCCATCGTGTACTAGATAGAAGTTGAAGGGAAATAACATAAAAGCCTAGCGGTATGGAAGCGTGGAAAAGTGACACTTTTATTGTTTTTCTCTCTCAGTATAACACCAAATGCCTCTGAAAGACATGAAGGCATAGTTTCAATTGAAATAAAAATAGATTAACCACTCTCATTTTCGAATGAATGAATGAAAAAATAAGCTCATAGTTTAGTCGTCGTATTAGAATGTGCATGCTGAATGAATCACCATAATGAAATGCATTTCTTAATGCACTCCCGTAATACCAGAGATTAAGTTCTTTTAAGAATGGGGGGAGTCGCAATTAGTAGAATGTTGTTTAACTGAGCATTTTGGCGACCAAAATGGTCGCAATTCAGGACAAGGGATAATATTTTGCGTACAAAACACATGTAAAAAAACTACCCCAAACTGCGACCATTTTTGGTCGCAAAAAATCTTATTTTCAAATTCACGTTTATCCACTGCTCTCTACTTTTGCCACTATTACGTTTATTTTTCATTTTATTTTATTTTATTTTTTTTTGGATCTTATTATCTATATTAGTTAAAGATCCCTCTCAATGCTACGCCTCATGGCATGTAGCCTGTGCAGCAGCGACGGACATGGCAAGAGACTATGCTCTCAGAACGTAAGGAATGTGGTAAGGCCTTTTTATTTTTTTATTTTTATGTTTTTGGAATATTAATAATATTTTCTCAACTGATAGAGACAGAACGAGTTTTCCCAATCGCATCGTTCCTCCTTCCATTCCATGTCTGTGTGTGGGTGCAGTCATCCGGTCATGTGCGCAGCTCATACTCAAATAATGAAGAGTAAAGTAATTTCGGTATTTAACAATCCTATTGAACTTTTTTTTTTTTTTTTTTTTTTTGACATGGTAGTGGCCGGCGCATGCAGAGCTTAAGCTTATATACCTTCTATAACTTGAATTGCGCTACCAGCAACCATGTGCAGAATGTTGGGTCAATTTGAAGGCATAGGTTCCCTATTTCATATTCAAATGATTTTCATTAGTTTTTGATATTCTTTTTTTAACCCTCCATCATTATTACTTATCCGCAGGGCAAGCACCGTCAACCAGCCTCCTACAGTGTATAAATGCAGTATCTGCAGTTGCCTAGGGATGGTCGTAGGCCATGCCCAAGTAATAAAGGGTGAGTTTGATTTTCAACGGTTGGATTTTTTTCGTCTCATCAGTGGACCATTAACCCTTAGTTTTTTTCCTTTTTACTGCTTTAATAGCGTTGTTAGTAACTCAGTGCAAAATGGCGCTAGGCCTGTGTGCACACGAAGTATTGTTTTTGAAAATGATGAAGACGAAATGAAAGACCCATACAAAGACAAAGGTGTGCTACTTTTTGTTCGGTTTTTTATTGGCTTATTATACTATACATTATGTGTCCTTAATTCTACACTATTACCACTTACCATTGACCTTCAGAATACACTAGCGTAAAGACGATCCTTCTGTTGAGGATGATCCTTCTACCGAAGATAATTCCTTTGCCGAAGATAACTTTCTATCACCCGCTAGAAAAAGGTTTCAGCAAGATTTTGTTTCGGGTCCCAATATTATGCAATATAGGTACCGCTTAGAGCCGATGGTCAGTTGCCCTTATTGCGGTGCCTTCATGTTTATTGAAGAATGTGTGTGCAACGCAGTAGTATAAGCTGACCAGAATTTCCTTTGTGCTGTGGGAGAGGTCAAGTGAATATTCCTCCGCTCGACCTTGATTTAACTTCTTGATGACCAGAGCGGCAAGGTAAGTTATTCCGTAAACACATATAAGCATATAACTGCACTCTTTCGTCCATGTCCATGGAAGTGAATCTTGATAAAGACCTTGCGAACAACCTATATGGAGTGTACACGCTTCGTATCATTGGAGGGGTTAGTACTCTGATTGGTCCTATGACGCCAACTGAAGGCGCTGCCTCTCAGCTCCTGCAGGCTCACACTCACATTCATGACCCTGTTCAGCAAGCAAGGATCCGTATTAACCATTTCGGGGATTCCCTGATGAAGGCCTGTTGCAGGGACTACAGCGACCCCTTGAACTACACTACCCGATAGCCCATACGCTCAAGGACAGCAGAGAATGTGCGCACGAGGATATCATGCGGCTGAAGGTCGTCATCCGTGCTGGGCCTCAGCATGAGAGGAGAGGGCAAAGGCGAATGCAGTACAGGCCCTTTCATCAACTGAAAGCGTGGTTTTGATGGCTGGCGACAGTAATAAGGATTCTCAGCGAGGCATCATAATAGAAAGCAGAGCCGCTGGTTTGAAGAAAGCCAGTGAGGTCCATCCAGCTTACGACAGCCTCCATTATATCCTCTTGCATCCAAAAGGCGAGGACTGGACATATAAAAAGTATAAAAAATGGTCTAGGTCAGGTCAAACTTCTGCAGGGTCTCATGGTGACAGCTATGACGGAGGTAACGATGACAACCAGCTAGAGATGGATGTGGATGGGGGCAATGACCGAGCTAGGGAAAGTCGAGAATACGCCAAGCTAAAGGAGTTTTACATGTACAGGATGCAAATTCGTCCTTTGAGCTCAACAGACCAGCGATCTTTCATCTGGATGAGTACGTGCTTGACTCACCAGTGCGCTACCAACCAATACAGCAGACTGGAGGCGGATCGACTTCAGTTCATCAACGAATACCAGTCCAAGCTGAAGGCGGATGCATATATCGGCGTAATGGGTGCAATTGAGCTTAATCTCAGACCTGGGCTATACATGTGGAACATTGTCTCCAAGGATGCGTTGTAAATAAGCGTCCTCTCATTTACTGCCGTATCTTCCAGATACTCTTTCTTATTTTGTATTTTATTTTTTGATTATTTTACTGCTGTATACAACTTACCTGATCTTGCTTGTGTCGATTTTGTTGGTAGTTTTTAAAATGGTAAAAAAGACCGCAGTCAATAAAAAAGTTATAAATGGTAACGCTTTTTATTTTCAAAACCAATCGTTGGAATACGCTTTATTTTGTCTCCATAAAATTTCTAACGAGGCAAGAGCCGGCCGTGGCGAAGCCACGGTCTCCGGCTCGTATTTATCGAAAGACTAACACGTTAAGGGCGATTGTTCTTTCATGGCATGCCCTGATGGTCGATGCTGATTGGCTACTAAACCAGGACAGGCAAAAAAAAGAAACAAGAGTCGCTGAAACTTAATTTTTTAGTCATTTTAGCGATATGCCTTTTTATTATGAAATAATACTAAACGATCTCTTTTATTTCATTTTGTAAACCATTTGAGCCTGTTATTTTATATTTATCTAGAAAATACTTACTCACCGTTGCCTCTGACGTTTATTGCTAAGTTTGAGTCCTGGTAGCACTGGAAGCCGTGCTTCGCACAGATCAGAGACTTTCTGTACAGCTTGTAGTACTTCTTGTATCCCAGGAATAGGCGCATTGTCATCTATGATGCTTTCTAAATGAGCCATGGCTCTTAAATGATATCTAATAAGCTGTCTAGCTGCCTGTTCAGATGGATTGGTCAACGTAAGCATCATTCGTTCTGCTGCAGCAACGAACAGAGGATCCTTTTGTTTAAAGTAATTCTGGACGGCTTTTAATACCAATGGTTCATCCATAGCCACACAAGCATTGCCACCAAAGATCTTGATACGCCCAAGAGCTGATTCGACTAGTAATGCCGCCTCCTCTTTCAAAATAAATATGGTCTCTCCAAGGAGGTACCACCGCTTGAAGAAGAGTACCAGAGTATCCTCAATGTTGAAGAATGATGAGAATCGTTCTGGATGATTCTTTATCTTGTTTGTCGTCCTCAATAATTCACCGATCATGTTCCCACGACGCACTTTATCCTCCCACGACGATAGCATTGCTTCTGTGTTGGCAATGATACTTTCCCACTTGGCTGCATCATTGGTGGCAATAATACCTTCGATTGCAGTGACAATCGGTCTAAATCGGCCAGTGAGTCTTTTATGAAGCATAGATATTGCCTCTGGTGGAATTAACATATCAATCCTACTACTCCAAGCTTCGTCATTGAGTTGAGACTTGATGCGATCAATAAACGATCTGACAGAATCTTCACTCTGCCAGCCTACAAACTCCAAATGAGGAAACATCGGAGAG